TTTAAGACTTAAACAATTACTCGAGGCGTGAAGTCAATATTCATAAATTATTGATTCTGACGCGGGCCACGTCTGTGGTATTCACAAGATATACTACCATTAACATCACTCACCAAACGACACACGGATCAAATTAAATTCACCATTCAATGGCTATTGGACCATAGCCGATTCTTAGTATTTTTACGAAACAAATTAGTAACTTATTTTTCCTTTTCATTTTAAAAATATGGGTTCATTTATATACCCAGTCTAATTGAGATAAGTATATAGGTCCAAGACACAGTACTGATACATCACAAAAATATGAAGAAACACGAAAAAGGGGAAATGTAACATGGTAAAAAAAAACAGGAAAAAGGTGGATATAGAGGCTTTTCGGCAAGGTTGACCGAGTAAAATCACTTAACTTAAAATATGAGAGAATGATAACCTTTGCAAGTGTTTATCTAATAGTGGAATGAAGTGGAATACGTGAAACACATGATTTCATTTTCTCATTCAATACCGGACTATAGGTATGTCAAATGTATATCTTTTTTTAAATAAGTATGTTGAAGACCAATACTTTCTTCAACAATTAATTTCTAAGAGTAACTACTATGTCTAAAATGGAATATTCCACTGTATTGTACAGAACAGAAATATAAACTGTTATCAAATAACATGATTCTTGATGTGACGTCACTCACAATTTTGCCAATTAACATAAACTAAAAAAAATGTATAGTTCTTACCACATCGATCGAGCCAGCCTTCAGCACGGCAGGGGTACTTTATTATCATCAACAAATTATCACTCCTCATTTTGTGCACAATCACTTTTTAATTTCAAACACTGACGAGAATTCCACCAAACACATTGCAAAATTTACATTTCACTTTATACCGATTGTACTTAGCTGATTTAGCACCTCAAATGTTGGACCCCTCGACAATAAACACTTTCACCAACTGTCAATAAAAAGACAACAATATTGATCATTAGAAATAGCAGCGACAGTAAGTTTAAAATATCAAATGCGTTATCTACGACATACCTACACAAACAAGTTCTATTTTGATCAATGCTTGCTGCAATTTTTATTTTTAGGCAAAAAAATCTCGAGCTTCAATTCGACCCGAATTTTAGTAATGCGTTGAAGTACCTAACCGACACAATTCTAGAAGTACCTACCTTTTTAATGAAAAATAAATAATATATAGACATTTTTAAGTTTTGATCTAGATTGAAAATTAGGAGAGCTTTGTGGTCCGGGACACTATACCGAACACTAAACAAAGTTTATTTCTATCGAGATGTAAATTATTAAACAAAAAAAATCAAAATCAAAAAAACCTTCAGTCTTGCAAAAATAATCCACTTTTAAAACACCTTTCAATAAAATATTTTAGGAAGTAAGCAAATTTTCATCTTGTTAGGTAAACTTATTATGTTTAGATAAATAAATTCATCAGTAAGTTTTAAAATATATAAAAAAGAAAATCTCTATAAAATATATTTTTTTATTTTTTTAGAAAACATGTTACCTTGACGGTAAAAAATTAAAAAGCAGGTATACAATTTTTTTAATTTACGCGCACGTGATAATTACACCAACATTTAAATCGTCTACACAACCAAGTCGGCGCCTTTTCTTCAAAAAACTGAGTTCAATCTGTTTCCCATTCTAGTAAGTTACCCAGTGTGCTGGTGTATCTGATTGTTAGAATGAAATAGAAATACATTATATCTCTCTATCCAGTCGTTATTGACCCGCCCTCTTATCATTCATAATATCAAATTGCGCGCGCAGTGTTTGAAATGTGTAGTAAATTTGACAGTAAATTTTAATAAAAATTTTAGTTTTTACTAAAAACAAATATACTTGATAGAAATAGGAGGAGTTAATCAAGAAAATACGTATTTTAAAAGAGGCCAATAAAATCGATCGTTACTTTTTTTAAATCATAGACAATCCACAGAGGGAAACTTTAGTTGTTGTAGAAAGTAATGATGCAAAAATATCAATACTTACTTTTTCGATAGTTGTCATTAAAAATCAGCACAGTAAATAGTACCTAAGCTAAGTTTCATAAGTGCAAAGTGATATTATTTTAATGTAACTTTTGCACTGTAATTTCTAATAAGCCGTCTTTGTATCTGACATAGAACGACCGACTATTGGAAAGATCGCATTCTTTAACATCACAATAACAAATTGTTAAGATCTAAACTACTGGATACAGGCTATGAAGGGTCGCACGGCACACGTTGAACGTCGCACTCGCACCTCATCAGCGTAACGAGCTAACGAGAAAAAACAAGATATTTTCCGTAACTTTACTAATAATTAAAATTATTTAAAAAATATTGGAATGGTCATATAAAAGTGAGATCGCAACGCCTGTTATGTTTAAAAATACAAATTAATTTTTATTTAATTAATTTGTTTGTTTAAGATAAATACATAACAGGCGTTGCGATCCCACATTTACATGACCCTTCTAATTTATTTTAATTTATGTATTAGGATACTCTTAGGTGTAAACTATTCGAAGAGATGAAAAAATCTACTCAGGAGGGTCCCAGACTCACTATGTCTAGAGAGTCCCTCCCGAAGCTAGACCGTTCCGGCAGCTCCCAAACGTACTCTGGGGGGAGCAACGAGTGCCCTACCCGTACGTCACCGAGCGGTAAATCCGGCGACCAAATTTTACGCGAAGCACGCGAAAAGCCTTGGGGAAGTGTCGAATTCAGACACGTCCTCAGAAAGGCGCGGTGCGAGCAGCCCCTGATAGATGCAGAGCAGTGCCAAAAGGGTACTCAATAGCACAAAAGGCGCCAGTTACGCTCGGGAGAAAACAGCCAGGTCGAGTCAGCCTCAAGTGATGACGCCACGTCGCCCAAAGTCGGCACAAGCCGCAGAGGGGCTCGTGGCAGAGGCCGACCCCCCAAAACTGGACGGGTCGCACACAAAGAGAAGGAGACTGGCGGATCTACGGTAGCAAAGAGGGCTCAGGATGAGCTCCTGCTCAAGGCCCTACTTGAGAAAGTCACATCCGACAAGCCCACCATCTCTGACGTGAGGAGTGAAGGCGGGAGTGCTGACTTGAATCGAGAACCAGGGGTACTGAACAAGATGCCTTAGTAACGGTCGTGCGCTCCATAGTCGAGGCGGGAAGACTCGTCGTGGCCGAGAATAAGGCCCACGAAAGGGAGAAAGCCTGCCTCGAAGCAGATCTCGCCAAAGCGATAGCGTCGGGTTCCCGTCGTGCCCACGCTGGTGCCACACCATGGTCTTCGGCACCGTTGGCGTTGTCCAGCCGTACGGTGCCGGACTTAGTCCGACTCATGGCGGAGATGAAGAAGCGACTAATGAAGCGCATGTCTGCGGTAGAGAACGCTCATTGTCGCCCACCTCTGGCTCCGCCACGGACGACATACGCGGCCGCCGCTAAGACGGACCTAATAGCCCAGCCAACAGCTAGGGTGGCAAAGCCAACATCCATAGCGCCTCAGATGGCCAAAAAAGGGATAGTAAAAGGGAAGGGGAAGGCGACCCCAATCCTAGCCCCAATCTCAGCCCCGGCTGACACCGCATAGCGCCGGTTGGTAGGGGGCTGGACGGTAGCTGGGGATAAAAAAAAAGGCGGCAGGCTGCAAAAAAAAAGCGGCTAAAAAGGCCAGAAAGGCCGACGCCGCCATGACGGGAGCGTCAAGGAGGCTCCGCGCCCCTCGCTCCTCGGTCGTTATCATTACTCTAAAGGTGGAGGCAGCGGAGAGGGGGGTGGGATACGCCGAGGTCTTGGCAAAAGTCAAGGCCAACGTTGACCTCAAAGCCCTCGAGATACCGGGCGTCCGGTGTAAAAACACACGGACGGGAGCCCGGCTCCTTGAGGTCCCCGGCGCCACCAGTGCCCCCAAAGCTGACGTCCTAGCGGCGAAGCTAAGGGAGTCACTGGACGCAGCTGATGTAAGAGTGTCCAGGCCTATTAAATGCGCCGAAGTTCGCATCACAGGCCTGGACGACTCCGTCACGGCGGACGAGCTTAGAGCTTAGACTAGCCGTAGCAGAAACTGGGAGCTGCTCCCTGGATAGTGTGAAGGCTGGAGCAATACGATTTGGCATCGGTGGACAGGGGGCAACGGTGGTCAGCTGCCCCATCGCGGCGGCACAGAAGGTCGCCGATTTACGAAGCCTCCTTGTTGGAGGTTTCCTGAGGGCGAAGGCACGGCTCCTACAGGCCCGGCCGGCAAGGCACGTGAGAGTCCATTGTACGACTCCATTGCTTCCACTGTGGCCAGCCCGGTCACACAAGGCGGGTGGCTGCAATGCTCCGCTGCGTTGCTTTAGGTGCGCAGTGGGGAGCAAGCCTGCCGACCACCGGATTTCCGAACAGAAAAAATAAATAAATAAAAATGTGTAAACTATTCGTTCAAAGAAGTTGAAGCACTTAAGTAGTGTAAATATCACGGTCGACTACTCAATATTAAATAATGAGTATTGGCTTTTCTAAACCCAAAACCGTTCCTTGCACCTGTTTAGTTGATGAAAATCAACATAGTTCCTCGTGTACTTCAACAGATTGGTGAAATATTCGGCAATTTAAAGACTTATTATTTTTTATAGTAGAATAATGTATCAATCTAGTTTATTTTACATAATACATTAGCTCACTGCAGTACATTTCTAGTAGTTAATCTAAGTTTTGGCCATTTACCCTGATTTTGACCACAGAGAAATAAGCGTAGGGAGAACACGGGGTACAGCTACCTGTAAGTGGAAGCGATAAAGGCAACGAGAGATCTGAACAGGTGGGAGATTAGAAATTTTCCAAGACAACCACAGAGCTAGACTAGAAAGAGATAGAGGGACCTATCTATTATCCATCTCTCTCGTTGTCTATATTACAAGATTGGGGCTCTTGTTCACTCTATGTTTAAATCTCTATGATTTTGACTGACGGATCTCGTACTCTTCGGTAATCTGGTAGTCTATGGCAGTTTACGATTCAAGATGGCTCTCAAAGCACTTGTCGGGCAAAGTGAGTTTAAAAAAATATATTTTAACAGTTTATCATATCTTAGTTTAGCTGAATTGAAACGATAAAGAAGAAGAATATGATCCTTAACATTATAGCATCAAACATTGTCCTTAATGTTTTACATTGTGAACTACTTATTGCATCAAAAGTTATCATCAACACATCGATGACTAATATTGATGTTTTAGTTATAATTATTTTTATGAGTTGAATTCAAATGGTTTCAGCTTCTTTCTGTTGTTACAGTTACATAACCATCTTATTAATTTTGTCTTTTTCATCTCTGTGGTCTTCAGGAGTTATTTTTAATTTAAGTGTTAAGTCTTCAATATTTGCAATATATAGGTGTTAAATTGGGCACTAGCATAAGGTAGTGTTAAACCCAGCGTTCTATATTTGCTAATAAAACTTTCTACGAAGAAAAAAGAATGGAAACATTTGTACGAACACGAATATTGATTTTTTACTGTCACTTGGTAAGGGGGTGGGGTGCAAAAGACGTCATAAAGTAGTACCATATTATGTTCTGAAATCATCTACATGTAACATTTATTTTGCTGCTGACAAGCATTACTCACCTTCTAACATTACATTTACTATTTAAAAAGAAACACTAAATGAAATTTTATTATGAAGCAATTTATCTGTTGCGTCTAATTGTCTTTATTTATAATATAAAATATATATAATAAGTAAATGTTACTGCTGTATCTCCTACAAATGTTCTATGCTCAGTAAGAAGAATCAATGAAAAATACTGCTATCACTTGTGCGTAGCAAACTGTTAGCAAGTTAGCTTTACCCAATTGATTGTTAAAAACATACAAATCAAATTTGGTTTCTTAATTTTAAATAATATTTAGTGGGTAAAAACAACTGTAATAAGGTAAAATAAAGTGTAATAACAAAATGGATATAAAATGAAAAACTTTGCAAAGAGAATAAGTTTAATGGGAAACATGATTTCTGATTAGAAAAACTTGCATTTTATTTACCTACTTAAAATATATTATATCTGATAAACATAGATGATTATTTCAATATTTCACGAGGTCATTAGAATTTATTCTTGTCTCCTTAGTAGTTAGTTACTTTTATATATTAAGCCATAAAATACCATAATAATAATAACATCAAACATCTCACACACAATATCATGGTCTGAAACTAGGAGACTAGAGACTAGAGCCTGTGCTATGGTTACCAGACTGCTGATAAACATGCTTTTATATTTCTATATACAATAGATATATTAAACTGAGACACAAAACAAATGGTCATGCTCATCACCTCCGCCTTAGTAGTCAGGGTCACTAAACACTTGACCAATAGGCCAGTCAGTATATGTACATAATACCTGCTGCTATTACATAAAACTTAAATAATAATAATAATAACAAAAATACTTTCACATTATGAAAATTAATGTGAAACTCTTGTTTATTAAGATGACAATTTGAGCATATATCTACTTTGTACACTTCTTAATGGATTATTCCAACAGGACTCCCACCACCCCTACTGTAGACAAAACATGTATTCTTCCAATGGGCGTTGAGACCTAAAGTCGTGGATAGCAGGTCTAAACTCACAAAGATCCCTGAAAGAAAGAAGCTAAAATAAATAATTAAATTTGTAAAAATTTAACTATAGCAGAATATTATTAATTAGTATTGAAATTATGAACTTGATGATGAATTAAACTTATGATATTTTATTCCTTTTGTACCTTTAATATTTATAATAAATGAGAAGAAATCTAAATAAATAATTTTGTCTAACTACTATGACTCAATCCACATTGATTCAGAAATGTTATTTTAACAAAATATTGTATTATTGTGTGAGTTTTATTAAATTATTTTTTTACTGCAGAGGTGATAAAATAATGCTCATTATTAGCCAACATAAAATGGTTATGATAACACATATCCGTTTAAATAACATTACAACTCAAAACATCGAAGAATTTAGAATTTAGCCAATTTTATATTTCACTTTGCGGGTCTTAGTTTCAACAGATTTCAGTAAGTTAGAACCTTGGTTGGAGCTAATCTTATAGCTCTAATCAAACTCCTAACTTGTTCTTCTGACATAAACTGCTGTATTCTTGATGATTTGATATTTAATTGGAGATTTGATAAACCAAAAGGACATTAAATTAAGACTGTTATACTGTGGTCCGATTATATTACTGGTGTTTCTAAGATTTTTTTCGCTTTTTAATACTTAGCTATTAATATTAAATTTGATTTTAAAATGAAACATTATGAATGACCCTTCTTACCTCTTGTCACATAATGTCACACTTCTTCGACCTCTCCCCCCCTCCCCCTTTGACGTGTGATGTAATTTATTGATGGTGTCTTATTAAAAACTGTACTTTTCACATACACCAACTATTTAAGAATCAAAAAACTAATATAACTAATGTATACATTTTGCAGAGATTATGAATGAGGTGATCCGGTATCGATCAAAAGGAAAAGATAAAATAGAATGGCGTGTACTTATAGTGGATCAGCTCTCAATGCGGATGGTCTCAGCATGCTGCAAAATGCATGATATCTCTGCTGAAGGCATCACTTGTAAGTTTTCAGTGAACCTTAAGTTTGCTGTAGAAATTATTTCAACATTTACTTTTGGTATATAACTGTTTTAAAATAATAAATTAATGTCATCATCCCTTGATTCACATGATATATCAATATTGTAAATTACTAATTTATTTTAAACAATAGTTTGGACTATACTAATTGTATAGAAATAGATTTTCTTTAGGCTCAAAAGGTTCTATTACTGCTATTAATTCATTTGACAAAACAGATATTGTTGCTATTGTATGTGTACGACTTTATAGTCTGCATAAAAGGATTTCAACCAATTTTGAAAATTTTATGAAATAAAGATATTTTGAATTAGAATTTAAATGTTAATTGTGTTATGGTAGGTAGTAATAATAAAAATAGGGTTCATACCCTTTATCGAAACCTGTGTTTACGGGTTTCTAAGCAGTCAACTAGCTTTACAAAAAATATGTATTTAACATAAAAAATAATTTAAATAAATTTCCGGGCGTAAAATTTATAGAACCGCATTTTGCTCATTCGCCATGACGTCATTTCGTCAGTAAATCCATAATTTATGCCTATTTATCTGTCATCTAAGTTTAGATTCGTCATTAATCTTGCAGATTATCTAGATCTATTCTATGAAAGAAATATATAAGTCATTATATGAATATGAACCACCATAATAATGTAAATATGTATCTTAAATTATAATCACTTTTTCTGTAACCTGAATATATGTTCTATCATCTAAAATTCTTCATTCTAAACATTTATATACATACATTTGATAATAGGCTTGTGTCCACTAATAACAAATTGCTTGGTTTATATGTAGTTTCAAATTATAAATGAAGAGACATAAATAAGGAAAAAACAGTCTGTACTCATAAAAGTTAAAGATTATTAATATTTTTTAAAATAAATTCGAACAAAATAGGCATTAAGTCACGTTACAGCTAACACCAATCAGAAAGTGTTCACGCCACGCAAAACATCATTGTTGTTGTTGACGTTTTCATACAACAGAGCAGTGCTTATGGTTTTTCGTTTTTAGCATATTTTCTCACCTTAATACAGTTTCAGTTGACACTGGACACAGATGTAAACAGTTTTGTTTCGCAGACTGTGGCGTCATTCAAGACGCCATGACACTATTCAGCGTTTTCAAGGGAAATTTAAATTGTTTTTTTAACTACAAAATGTTCAAAATACTTAATTTAAATATTGCTTTTTCTTTAAGATATAGGTTTTTTGGGATAAAATATATATTAAAGTATAGAATATTGTAAATATTATAAATATAGAATATTAAAATAATACTTTCGACATTGATCTGATCTGTTGAGGATTTCGTAATTAGGCAAAATAACTTATTCTTAGTAGATTCGTACTTTGTCTTACAAAAACTGATGTTCATGGTGAAATTTAGGTAAAATACATTAGAGAAATACCATATTCGAAAATTTACAAATGCTTCATCATCATCAACAGCCTTTAGTAGTCCATTGCTGGACATAGTCCTCTCCTTAGAAAGGAGGTTTTGACCTACTACACATTTCGTATTCTTTTCGTATTCGGTGGTGACATTTCGTATTCTTAATCCGTCACTACACGGACAAATGCTTGGGTCTTACTGATTTCATGTTATGGAGGCTTTCATTCGTATGTTCGCATAATAAAATTGTAGATCTGAAAATTTTAAAATTATAAAAGATTATCAACTAAAACAAGTTAAATAACCTATTGCAGTGGTGGAAGACATCCACAAGAAGAGGGAGCCACTGTGCACTATGGATGGCATATATTTGATAACACCATCTGAGAAGTCCGTACATGCTCTTATAAATGACTTCTCAGTGGGGAACCGTATAATGTACCGCGCCGCTCATGTATTCTTCACCGAAGGTGAGTTTTGAAAAGTTTTAAACTATTTCATAGGTTTTCTTACAGAAGAAATCCATATGTTTTACACTAATTGTTAAAATTTCCCATTATTTTTTTATTATTGTTTCTGCTTAAATGATTATTTGCTTTTATTTTTCATTATTACAGCCTGCCCTGATCCACTTTTTGATGAATTATCACGTAGTCCTGTAGCTAAATACATCAAAACATTAAAGGAAATCAACATTGCTTTCATTCCATATGAACAACAGGTTTGTCATATTTTAGTATGTAGTAGGGCCATAACCACAATACATTGAGCCCTTTCTTGAAAATAATATAACTTACTATTGTTACACGCTGCCTAATATTAGTATGCCCTGAGGAATTATTCAATGAACTGTGTAAGTCATCTGCTGCAAGAAAACTTAAAACATTGAAGGAAATCAACATAGCTTTTTTGCCTTATGAAAGCCAGGTCAGTTGAGTTAATTATGTCAATCTAATAAAAACTGTTTAAGATCGCTATTAAATCCTTTCCGTTTAATAAAATCTGTCTGTAAAATATTAGTTATCAGATTATTTGAAATCAGAGATGGGAGTTCATTTTTTGAAAATTTTAATAACTTATCAAATTTCTTCTAATGTTTGACACAAAACATCAAACATTAGCAGAACTGATAAGAAAAGATTTTTAAATATGAATATCGCCGGGATAGTGCAAAAAGACGTATCTACACACACGGCAGTAAATTTATTACAAATAGATTGGATAAATGAGGCAAGATTTTGTGACCACTGCACGCAGAACTATGTGCAAGGCTTTTTTGTAATGCAAATTGATTTCCATCTAATAAAAGAAATACCACTTATTTAATACCTGCCAATGCCTTAACAACGCTCAATTAGTTTCTTTATGTCGGTTTAGTACCTCTGGTCAAAAGTCGTTTTCAAAAGTTACAGTGTTTTGGATTGGCACGGAAGGGCGGTAGTTACTTTCCATTAGGGGACCCGTCTGGTCGTCCCCTCTTCCATAAAAAAAACATGGATTAACACCTCCCCAATTTTTTTATGTCGGCGGAACATATTTTTTGTCATTCGTTTTATCATTATCAAAATATTCTCTAACACACAGTGAAATCGTTTTTTCTTTAATTATCTTCTACTCAGATAAAACTGTGAAATTTTATATAAATATATATATAAACCCCCGTAAAGTGCCAGTGGATGATTGTTCAGAAGAAAAAAATCTGTTGGTAATGATAGTTAATAGTCCATACTTTTGACACCTAACACAACACAAATAAAGAACACTAAGAAAGTTAAGTGAATAGAAAAGATCCAAAGAATAATATATAGTTATCACAAATGAGTCATCACGATACAAAACTATTATGGTTTTGGGTGTCGCGAAACTTACCACGGATCTTATTACAAATGGTTTAATTTTGTATCGTTAGCGGTTAAATCAAAACCGCCTAAATTTAGTTGCAACTAAATTCAGTCCTTAAAAATTTACATACCAGAGTTAATCTATTCTTCAAATCTTTATACTTTTTTTTGTAGTGCTAGGTAAATCTGTGGTAGAATGGTAAATCTTGCACTATCCTAGACGATATGTAGATCAATATAGGTACCAAATAAACATTGATTGTAAAGTTAAGATTTATTAAAACACCTTTCCTGTATTATTTGACATTTTGTTTTGCTAGGTATTCTCCCTAGACTCGCCAGACACATTCCAGTGCATGTATAATCCTGCTCTTGCCCAAACTCGGAATGGCAATATGGAACGCATCGCCGAACAAATTGCCACGCTTTGTGCCACACTTGGAGAATATCCATCTGTGCGATATCGCAGGTAGGGCTTCATCGTAATCACTTGAACCATATGTGTAATAAATACTATTAGTGAGTCAACTGTGCTACTTAGAGGAGCAACACTGGGGCGAGGTATGAAGGAGAGCGGAGTTCCCCTCCTGCCCGCGACGTCTGCGGTAGTACCGGCCGACTTCTCTTGTTAACCGGTACGCCCGTTCGTTTGGTGCAACAAAAGATTACTCGCAATATTTTTATTATTTGATTAACTCAAATATAAGAGAAAGAACGAATAATAAAACACGATGTATTTGATGGTTTAATAATTTGATGTATTTTTAACATTTACATATAATTACAGAAATACTTATATTACTGTTTTACTTATATATTTATTACATACATTTAATAATAATATTTATTATATTACATTAGTGATGTGCCGGATCGTTAACAAAGTATATCCGCGGATACGGATCCGAATACGGATATTTGGTGTCAAGATCCGCGGATACGGATACGGATACGGATCTTAAGTTTCTTACTCAATCGGAGCCCGTGACCTTGATAGCTGGCGCCACTTGACGCTTTGCCGTTGATATTTAAATATTTCATTATTTTAATAAGCTAATACAAAGATGTTTGATTGATCTCATTATAAAGATAGCTCTTTCAGTACCTACGACCTGCCTAATTGATTTAGTGTAGTAAGATAAATTATTGCAATACAAAGGTGCCAAATATTTGTTTTAAGAAATAAAAAATAACCTGAACAGAATTCAATAGTTTTTCATAGCTACCTAATAACCATTATTCAGGGTTATTTTAAATTTACTGAAAACCTCTGAAGTGCATATTAGTAACATTATAAACAACAACTTTTCTTCTGGACTAACACCGAAAACGAAAGAAAAAAATTGTTTCTCCATACAAACTAACAACATTTGATTGGTCATTTGAACGGAGGACCAATTTTTGTTCATTTTGACGTTGGCCAGAAAAAAGTTGCTGTTTATAGTGTTACAAACACAAAACTAAGAGTTTTACAGTGAATACAAAATCACCTATATAGAATTTCATCTATGTATTGAAACATCCGCCAAAAAAGTCACGGATACGGATACGGTTACGGATCTCTCTTCTCCCTTGGATATCCGCGGATACGGATACGGATACGGATATCCGGCACATCACTATATTACATACAACTATAAATTCATAATTAAGATAATAACATTAATATCGTGATGGAATGCTGCAGCAATCACATGCTTGTAAGAATTCAATTTTACCAAATCTTTTCCTTAACCTGTTTTATCCAATATTTTTATAGGAATAGGTATCCAAGATACTGCTGTATAGGTAAAATATAGTTAAATTAGACAAATAATATTTTTACCTAGCTACATACGATCGTTGTCGTGATCGTTTTTGGTCGTGACAACCCTTGCACATTTTTAGTCGAGACAGCCTTGTAGATATTTAGCAGTCTATCAAAGTAGTTGACTCACTATTAGTAATTATTACACATATGCTTCAACTTAATCTTGTGAATGTAAATCTTAGACACCGTCTCGGCACTTAATTTTTATATAAACATATACTTTGCAGTGACTGGGAACGGAATTTGGATCTCGCCCAGCTCATCCAACAAAAACTTGATGCCTACAAGGTAAACAAATATAATGTTCTACTACATAGTGTAGTAACTTGAGTAATTTTATCATCATCATCAGCCTTTAATAGTCCACTGCTGGACATGAAATGATGTTTTGGTCTACTATACCACGCTGACCAGACAGGTTGGTATAGGGTTTGTTTCAAGTTTTTCCAGTGCTGTTTTCTTACGTAGTTTGCGCCCTTAGTTGGCTCTTACTATACTACGGGGTAAACTGGTAACAGGGGTGGTGACACTCCGTATTCTTAATCCGTTACTACACGGATCATTGTATGGTATTTTAAGAAGGATAATTAAAAAACTAAAACTAAAGTTTCTAACGCCAAAAACCACTTATAGTGTTATTATTGTTCTAAATATCTGGCCATTTAAAAAAGTTTGCTCGATTTTATTTTAATTTGGAAACGTTGTCACAGTATTATCTGTTATCCCTTTTTTTTATTATTTGACCATTCAACTTATTGTTGCGGTGACTTTGTGTATTGATCTATAATTTTAATTAGTAAAAAAAATGGTCGACTTTGAATAACTGTGTTATACTGAACTTAATGTCTTAAGTTCAGCATAACAATAATTTACTTCAGATAAGTCTCAAAAAATAAAAAACAACATCAAAATATATGTATATAAAGTAATAAACTCGTTAAGAGAGTATTGAAAGTCGTAAACATAAAATGGAATATCATCTGACTGCAGACCGCCAAACTATTTTGTATGTTTTGGTGATCATTTTTTACATACATTCAGTTAAAAAAGTATCGGGAATGGATGATTTGTTTATGGTTCCAAATTGAAATTTTTGTTTTCTTTGTTGTTGTTAGATTGGCACAACTGTTTTGCATTTTGGCGCGGAGTTTGAGTTGCATCTGTTATTTATATTATATACAATATCATATCTAGTGTGTATTCCGAATTTCATAATGGACAAAAACATCGAACATAGAGTTTGTCTTAAATTTTGCATCGCCAATAGAATTTCGTGTTCGGAGTCACTGAAAAGGTTACAGAAGGCTTACCGTGAATCGACTTTATCAAAAACACGTGCATATGAGTGGTACAAAGCGTTCAAAAGTGGTCGAGATGTCATTGAAGATTTGCCTCGCTCTGGTAGGCCATCAACGTCTGTATCTCATTAGTCGATTCGTACCATTTTAACTAATCATTTAGGTATGAAACATGTTACCGCTTGGCTAGTCCCAAAAGTCCAGAATTTTCTCGAAAAACTCAATCGCATTAGAGTCGCTGAGGACATGCTAGAACGAGTCAACTCCGACCCAACATTCATGAACCGCATTGTTACTGGTGACGAGACGTTGGTTTACGAGTTTGACATGCAAACTAGTCAACAAGCTTCGCAGTGGCGCCTTCTGAACCGAAACCGAAAAAACCATGCCAAAGTCGATCAAAAGCGAGTGAGTGGTACAAAGCATTCAAAAGTGGTCGAGATGTCATGGAAGATTTGCCTCGCTCTGGTAGGCCATCAACGTCTGCAACTGAAGTTAACATCGCAAAAGTGAAGTAAATAGAGACTGAAAATCCTCATTCAACTTTGAGAGAGATAGCCGCCAAACTTTCTGTATCTCACTAGTCGATTCGTACCATTTTAACTAATCATTTAGGCATGAAACATGTTACCGCTTGGCTAGTCTTAAAAGACCAGAATTTTCTCGAAAAACTCAATCGCATGAGAGTCGCTGAGGACATGCTAGAACGAGTCAACTCCGACCCAACATTGATGAACCGCATTGTTACTGGTGACGAGACGTTGGTTTACGAGTTTGACATGCAAACTAGTCAACAAGCTTCGGAGTGGCGCCTTCTGACCCGAAACCGAAAAAACCACGCCAAAGTCGATCAAAAGCGACATTGAAGAGAGCAAATTTGAGCGTTATTCGGCATTTAAGAGAGCAAAATTCGACGAAAAAGACCAGATTTCTGGTAAGAAAATTCTTGGATTTTGCACCACGATAATGCGCCTTCGCACAAGTCCATCATTGTGAACGAATTTTTGACCACCATAATCACCGGATATGACTCCAGCCGACTTTTTTCTTTGTTCTAAACTCAAATTACCACTTCGTGGCACCCGTTTTCAATCGATAGAAGACATAAATGAGAATTCGCGGTGAGAACTGAACTCAATTCCGGAAACAGCGTTTAAAAAATGTTTTGATGATTGGAGTATTCGTGGGCGTAAGTGTATCGTTTCTCAAAGAGCATACTTTGAAGGTGATAAAATAAATTAGGATTAATAACAAACATTTTGTGTATTATTGGTCTTTTCCCGGTACTTTCTCACTTTTCACTTACGTTTGTATCGTCTAGGAGATATGCAGAGGAATTCCACCTTAACTTAAAGATAAATGCAGACTACATAGATACAACATTATGCTAATACTTTTATTTAAAAAAAAAAAAATATCTAATTAAAAAAAAATCGCATAATGTATTGCAATTTTTATTTTGTTTTATTAAAAACTATTATTTTGTTCTTAGGCCGATGAACCAACTATGGGGGAGGGTCCAGAAAAGGCACGCTCCCAACTCCTCGTCTTAGACCGCGGGTTTGACTGTGTATCACCACTATTGCATGAACTGACTCTGCAAGCTATGGCATACGATCTACTGCCTATTGAGAACGATGTGTATAAGTAAGTTATTACAAATCTGTGTCTGACTTATATGTGTAGTTGTTTTTCAAATTTTAATTTCTAAGCGAAGATAGTCTAAATATATAGAAGCTAATTTATGTGTTGTCATATAGGTATGATGTTTCCGGAAACGTCAAAGAAGTTCTGTTGGATGAGAATGATGAACTGTGGGTTGATTTACGTCATCAACATATTGCGGTCGTATCCACATCTGTTACAAAGAACTTGAAAAAGTTTACAGAATCTAAGCGTATGGGTGGAGGTGAGTAGTATAACTTAATTTTTTACATCGGCATTTTTTCTAGTAGTCCCGCGATCCGCTGTTATTGACTATTACCGATCATGGAATTGCATAGTGTTTTATGCCAGAATTCTTGGCTGCTTATAAAAGGAACCTCCAAATATCACAGAAAAATTTTAGGCCGAGCAAAAACGTCTGAAAAAACGAAAAGAGAAGATAGACTTATTATTTTTATGCCCGGTGCCCACTACCGGCACGGCATGGCAAGGGATCCTTCGGCAAACCTATGCGCAGACGCCCACTGACGGCAATAATTGCCGAGGAACTCTCAGGCATAGTGAAATGTGCTTGGGAATACTGAGGAATTCTTAGTCATGCCGAGGTGTCCTTAGGAATTCCGAGGCGTTCTCAGGCTTGCCGAGGTTTGCTTAGAAATGCCGAGGAGTTCTCAGCCATGCCGAGGTCTGTCACCGCTACAGCCTGGTCCCTAGCTTAATTTAGAACACTGGCAAAGTTGCAAGCGAACAGTCGTATTTATAAAGTTAGATTATGAGGGATGCGGACGATTCCCAGTGTAACTCAAGTGTCCCGAAGACTGCCGAAACTAGCCGAGGCGAGGGTTGGGTCGGCGTCCTAAGGTTTGCCTTGGCTTCCAATTACTTCCGAGGTATATCGAGGTGTCTTTAAGTATACATTACGCTGCCGAAGACTTCTGGGGTATACCTAGGCGTCCTTAGGTATACCCTACGCTGCCAAAAACTGCCTAGGTGTGCCTTAACAGTCTTGAACTGCCATGCGCCGTGCCGATAGTGGGCCTTATTGTCTCACGCTATACTAACTCCTAATAAGTGGTGAATTTTATTAATGTATTGTCTGTAAATTTATAAAAGTCTATGAAATTATTGTAATAAAAATCATGTTTTGTTCTTTTTCATCAGGTGACAAGCAGTCTATGCGTGACTTGTCTCAGATGATCAAAAAGATGCCTCAGTATCAGAAGGAACTATCCAAATACGCCACACATCTGCGTTTGGCCGAGGATTGTATGAAAGCCTATCAAGGCTATGTAGACAAGCTCTGCAAGGTTGAGCAGGTAAAACCAATGACAACTAGTGTGTTTTTAATAAACAAAACCTTTAAAGAATTCACTTAACCCAAAACTATTAAAATAATAACAGTAACGTTTAATCAAAACATGCCTTATATATTTTAGGATTTGGCCATGGGAACAGATGCTGAAGGCGAGAAAATTAAAGATCACATGAGAAGCATTGTACCAGTGCTTCTAGACCAAGTAAGTACGATTTTGAGATTGAAAATGAATAGTTAGATGGCTAGTATTAAAACCTAACATTAAATGTTAGTATATATCAAATTATTATTATGAAATATAAATATATTTATGATTTAATTTTATAAATAACTAAATTCCAAAATAAAAATACAGTTACAATATTAAAACATAGACACAGTCACATGCTGTTTAAAACATAATTATAACTAATAATTGATAACTAGATGCGTTTTAAAATTTGAATATTTTTATCTTTTTTATAATTTTTAGTATCATTAAGTTGCACTAGATACTCTGTACAAATAATTAATGTAAAGCCAGACCACCATTGTACCGCAGACTGTGGTGAACTTCAACAAGATGCGCATCATTGCACTGTACATCATGTCCAAGAATGGCATTTCAGAGGAAAATTTGAACAAACTTGTGACGCACGCCCAACTCGAACCATCAGACAAGCAGACGCTGTTGAACCTTGCCAACCTCGGTCTTAACGTCGTTGTTGATGTATGTACGAAATTATATTTAACACAATTGTATGAGCACATAACGAAAGCTGGTCTAGATATACTACTGGTCTATTTATTGTAGGATTAGCGTTAAACTACAAATCTATCTCATATCCTGGTAGATTATGAACAAAATTATAAAAATAAATAATATTTGTACCTATTGAAATCCACTATCTGGGTTCCGATTTTTTTAGTAGTAGAAGAAGTATGTAAATATTATACTTTAGATCAGTGTTTTAATTTTTTATAAAAATTACATATTTTTCTTGTAAATTTTCCTGCTGTTCGCTATCCTACTCGCTCTGGACATGTAAAAAGATTGTATTTTGGTCTTTTGAGCCGCATCGCGAATAGCAGGAAATAAAAATAATACCGACTAACGCTCTTACTACTAGTTTGTTGGCAAGAATAATAATCAATTAGTTAACAGGTCAAGTTCATTACGCCACTGAAAATCTTTATTTAGAATTACGCATTTTAATGTATTAAATAAATTAAACTAAATATTAAACAACAGTGTTCGACTGCACGAACGGCGTAGCGGTCACGTCGCTACTTCTTACTGAGTGTTGTGGGTTCGATCCCCACGTGGGACAACACTGTGATTCAAAAATTGTTGTTCTGAGTCTGGGTGGTTCTTAATCCCCCGCGGCAGTGGATATATTCCTAGGGCGTAATGCGTTCACACCGGCAGTCGTTACATTCGCCTACGTATTCTATATAGAAAAATTAATTATGATTCTAATTTTCTGTACAGGGTAATAGGAAGAAGCAATACCAAGTTACAAGGAAGGAAAGAATTACTGAACAAACCTACCAAATGTCTAGGTGGACTCCAGTCATCAAGGTAACCCTATTATTTATCTATCTGACTACAGTAATTACTTTTTGTAAACTATTTTTATAGTTATTGTATGAAAATACTTATTTTTATAATTATAGGATATTATGGAAGATGCCATCGAAGATAAACTGGATCAACGTCATTATCCGTTCCTGGCTGGTCGTGCCCAAACTTCAGGATACCAAGCACCTACTAGGTATAAGTTCTAACGTTTCAACTTAAACTGAAAATAATTCATCTTATTGACTTGAGATTTTGTATTGCAGTGTACGCTACGGTCACTGGCATAAGGATAAGGCCCAGCAAACTATCAAGAACGTGCCGCGTTTGATTGTTTTCGTAGTTGGCGGTAAGATTTTGAATATACCTAACTATATCAATGAAGAAAAGCAGTGGATAAGCTTGTTGATTAAGCTTTTTTTCTGAATATGTATGAAACACACAAATAAAAAATCAATTAAAAAAATAGTGCACATATCAATAAACTGTTTCTGGTATTAAGAATAATTAAGAATTGAAAAAACCCTTTTTAAAAAAAAAGTTGAACCGACTTCAAAAAACACCGACAAAGAGCACTAAAAATTTAAAAATAATTACAAATCTAAGTAAAAAACTATAATAAGTACCCTCAATGTAACAGGTAACATTATAATACCAATAGTCCCTTCTAGTCAGTTTGAAGTCGGTGCCAAGCCAAATAGGTGCTTGATAGGCATGGTAGAATGTAGCGCGGCAGCTGCAACAGTCTTCATGCTGCGCAAAACATGATGAACGAGCTAAAGTGGACGCACATCTCCAATTATATTATTATTTTGAATTCTTTAATAAGTAGTTGATAAGTTTGCGCACGTAATTGATCTGGTTGGTCTTTATTAATTAACAAAATCTTCGATGTTTCATTAGAATTATTTTGAATTCTTAATTTTTCATTGTGCTAATATAAAGCTGACATAGACCAGTATTACTTATTGTACATCGAGCTTGGCACCGACTTCAAACAGACTAGAAGGGACTATTGGTATTATAATGTTACCTGTTACATTGAGGGTACTTATTATAGTTTTTTACTTAGATTTGTAATTATTTTTAAATTTTTAGTGCTCTTTGTCGGTGTTTTTTGAAGTCGGTTCAACTTTTTTTTTAAAAAGGGTTTATTTTACCATTTTTAGTGTAGGATATGAAAATGACATTGGCGTCCAAACTGATCAAGATCAGCTTAAATTCTTTTCTAAGAAATAGTCAAATTCTTGTGAGTTGCAACCGAACAAAATAACTTCCGATTCAATTGACACTGATCTCGAAGGTGAAGATAGGGAAGCTTTAGTGAGACTACTCAACAAATATGCTCAATATTTTATAGAAGGAGTTCCAACTAGAAGGGTTAATACTAGTATGTTAGAAATTAACCTAGTTGACCCACCCAAAATTTAAGAGTTTTTTCCAGAACTATTTTAATAAATTAAGTATAAAATTACTTACAAACGAAATGCGATGCCATCCATAGCAACAAAACGTCTATCCGAAATATTTTAACAAGATAGAATACAAAATTTCAACCTTTTCTTCTTAATACAACGAAAATTACTGTGGTGACATAAATACTGCAAGTTCTCTGCGCATCACATCGCGCAGTCTCTGACAGTTGCCATGGTTTGTTTGGCTAAAGAAATACTCGTAGCTAAAACACGTTGTCGGGGCTGTCAAATTCCCAATAATTGTGAGGGTTTCACTCGATTTCTCTAGGATCCCATTATCAGATCCTGAATTGGTGGTAATGGGACCAATTCGGGAGCATACCCTTTCGATTACAAAAAGAATTTTGAAAATCGGTCCACAATTGACGAAGAAATCGCGTAACAAACATACATAAAAAAAAAATACAGATGAATTGAGAACCTCCTCTTTTGTGTTTTGGAAGTCGGTTAAAAAGAAAACATGCTGTCGAATCAAAAACCCTCCTTTTTTGATGTTGGTTAAAAATCGACTAGCATGAAGCTCCTAGTCGAGACGAATCAAATGAGCACAAACACGGCGGAATTGCTTTATTTTATTACAGAGTTCCCATGGCTATTTACCGTCTCCATCATCAGACCCTGAATATCACATAGGATCGGAGTTCTTATTAATTAAACTCAAACACATTCAAATTCGATGGTATTACATAATTTTGTTACAGAGATCCCATACTCCTAAACCATTCATCAACAGCTTCATCATCAGCTCAGCAACATCAGATGGTGACCATTAGATGCAAAAATCTACATAGATTAAGATAATTTCTGATAAACAGTGTATATGCCTACAAAATTTGAGGGTTTCCCTCGATTTCCCCAGGATCCCATCATCAGATCCTGACCTGGTGACAATGGGACCACCTCTGACGTATGACCTACCAAATAAAAAAAGAATTATTCAAATCGGTTTATAATTGCCGGAGTAATCGAGTAACAAATATACAAAAAAAAAAAAAAAAATACAGTCGAATTGAGAACCTCCTCCTTTTTTTGAAGTCGGTTAAAAAGAAGCTAGCCCGTCAATATCTTTACGATTGTAAACTTCATAGTTTATAGTTTATTTTCGAATAGAAGAAGACTTACGATATTATGACATTCAAGATATTCTCTGAAGATCTGAAATGTATCATCGTCTGCTAATTATTTGTCGTGTTCCATAAATGTAAGTTTCTAAATTACTGTTTCCCTCGGGTCACCTACATTGGGCCATCACTTTTGAATTAATTTTACCTAATGTACACAGATGAAAATAAGGCTTGATCAACTTAGTGATTCGGCTTTCAAGCGAAATCAACAAATTATCAATCGTGTTAGGTTGCAAAATAAATGAATAAATCACTTAAAATGTAATGTTGTCTACAATCATGGTTTAATTATTTTTTAAAAGCCAGATTCTCACTATGGATCATACTGTCGCACGTGAATCCTTGTCAAAACAATACAATTATTATTATTATTTTCAGGTGTGTGCTTCTCTGAAATTCGCTGCGCATACGAGGTTACTGCTGCACTCAAGAATTGGGAAGTCATCGTTGGGTCATCACACATACTGACACCAGAGAACTTCCTCTCAGACCTGAGCTCTCTAACCGCCTAAACATTGAGCTGCTACAATATTTTCTGGGCATTGAAATATCGACATCTAGCCTAGTATTGAGTTTTCAAAGTTATTTTAATTAGCAAAATGCGTAGGCGCGTAGGCCCCTTCGACATAATCGAAATTTATTTGAATTCAAATGTACTATTTACTACATTCAAATTAGCGTACCGTAGTACCTTGACTATTTATTGTGATATAATCATAAAATTTTGATCAAGAAAATAATAAGGGCTAAACTTAATTATTTAATAGGTTTTATTTTTCCTTTTAAACTGTTGTTATTTAATTATGTGGTATATAACCCCATTTCAATTAGTAGTTAGTATGATAATAATACCATACTTTTATTATATCAATTGAAGCTTCAGTCATTCAAATAATTGTTATTACTAATAATAAAAATATGTTGGATTTTCTCTTCGGAGTTTATTGTAACATCAAATTGTTTATATGTTTGACCGTAAGTGTTTATAACGAAACGTTTAAAAATTATCAAAGTTATTAGATGTAAGAATTTCAGTCGTATGTTTTTTATCGATAGAGGTGATAACCAATAGATGGTTTACAGCTAATTAATATATACGGATAAAATAATGTTACCTTATAATTTTTATGAGCATCAGGCATGGCTTATAAAAAATAATAAGCAGGAATAAGTGTCATAGCCCTTTTAAGTACATTTTGAAGCCCAGGTCGCTTAATGTAGTACAAAAATATACTTATGCCCAACGGCCAATGGGTGCATGGGGCAGCAGTAATAGACAGCAGTTCTGGTGAACAGATCGATTGATGACAATCACTGCATTAGTGCTATCACGCACTTATTTAGGCACAGATAACGCTGTGCGTATGGCACGCACAGCGTTATCTGTGCCTAAATAAGTGCGTTTTAGGTAAAAATATTTTTTAGTATCAAATTGGAACAAGATGTTACGAGAGCTGCTATTTATTTAAATTTCTGGTTGCAGTAAACCATCTGTTGTACTATAAATTATTATATGGTATTACTAGATAATCTTGCTTCCAAAATCAAGTGCAGTTTGTTTAATGCCAAAACCTAGAATCTTACGAGTAGTAAACATAGTTATAATTGAAAGAATCAGTACTTGCACATGCGATTGCACCTATTTCACATATATACATCACGTTGATTGATTGCTGTACTATTATTTTATATCACATACCTATATCATACTATTCATATTATTCAGCGTTATGCATTTATGTAATAATCACACTTGTTTTAACATTCCAAACTACATGTATACATATATAACTGTGAAGTCATTTGCCTTGCAATTCTCATTTTATCTTCGCCTCTTTGTAACCTTTCTAAAAGTAACTAAGGTTTTAACTTATTACGATTAGATAAGCGTATAGTAATTCATCTAGATGTTAAAGGAATCATGTGATTTGATGTTTTCAAATAAAACTACAGACACCCTCTACATGTGGTCATTGGGTCCTTTAGGACTTTCAGACATCATTTTGCATGCATTGTGTGTTATTGACGGATTGTGCAATTATGTAGGAAATTGAGTTTAAAACCATTAAATAATATATCAGTATTTAATTGTTAAAATTTCATTAAATTATTTAATCATCATTAATATTGACTTTCATTTATTTTTCGTATCCCTTGAGCTGAGGATGTTAAAACAGGTATGCTTATTTTTTTTTATGAAAATCTTTTAGGTTAGGTAATAGAAAAATAATAGGAACCAGTATAAAACAAAACTGAACCATCCAATCCTATTTCTTTTGCATTTAATTTCAAATATGGCAACAAAATCATCGCCCTGCCTAATAAATCAAGCCATAGTCGACTTAGAAACCAAAAGACCTTTCAGTGAAGTGCAGTTATAGTATGCTCGATATGGCTCCGGTAATTTTACGACTAGTTGGCACACCAAACAACGTGTGCTTTCTTTTACTATAATTATAATTATTACTAACCAATCATTATTAGTTATAAAAACTAATTATTCACTAAGATCAGGAGAAGGTCAGAGGCTATCTATTTTATTTTCACATACTTAGGGCATACTGAAAGTTTCTGGATTCTGATAAATTAGACTTACGATGCATTTATTGTTTTTAGGGTTCCGTACCTCAAAAGGTAAAAAAGGAACCCTTATAAGATCACTTTCTTGTCCGTCTGTCCGTGTGTCACCACCGATTTTCTCAGGAACGGGTAGGCCTAGCAAGTTGAAATTTATACCAGATACTACGGTCTATAGTCTCTATTAGATGTATAAAAATCTAGTTCCTGAGTCAACACGATAAAAAGATATGGGCAAATTACGATTTTCGCGAAAACTTGTAAGTACCAAAATTTACTTTAATTTTCAATTTTTTTTTTATTTTATAGAATTTTCTCTTTACTTGTGCTGTAAGACCTTGCTTTTAACTAAAATTGACAATTCTAGGTCAACCGGATGTACCCTATAGGTTTTGGGTCGAAAACCTATATGGTAGTTCCCGTTGATCTAGAATCGCGAAATTTGGCTAAAAGAAACGTCTTACAGAACAAATAAAGGAATAATTCCAAAAAATAAAAAAGTTGAAAATTAAGATAAATTTTGGTACTTACAAATTTTCGCGAAAATTACGTAAAATCTGGGTAGGTCGGGAACCCTCAACGCACGAGTTCGACTCGTACCTGACCGGTTTTTTTAAAGTATTTTCCTTCGCAAATAATGCATTTTTGCATTCGCTAAAATCGCTGTACAAAGCAGTTGGACCAATCTTAAATTACTGTAAAAGTTAAGTCGTGCGGTATCCATCGAGTGCAAAGCTGCCGAACCTTCAGATGCACATGTAAAATGGTTCATTCCAATGCCTAACAAAGCACGAATTTGCTGGCAAGTATTTTTTTGACAGTTTCAATAAGTCGTCATACGGTGTAAATATTAGTCTGTAACTGCAGTCGCCGGCCAGCCTTTACGTACCTCGTCATGAAGATTATCACACGTCCACATCTCAATTCTCCAAACCACAAATACACAGAGCTGCGACATGGAGCGTCATCACCAAATGCCAATTGAAATCTCTGCCAACCCTCTTGTCGACTTAAGTCATCATAAAAATCATTAAACGAAAATGTTCACTAGTTAAATTCATTTTGATAGCGACACACAATTTTCGAAAGGACGTCACAATGAAAGAACAAATGACAGTCTCGCAAATTAAAAAGTTCCATTTTCGAATTCCATGATTGTTTTTTCATTCTTTTTCAGTAGGCCCCACGTGTACCGACAGTCGTGCGTAATTAAAAATCGTTTTATAAAGTAAATTTTTTTTTTTTTATAGTTTCCCCTCACGGTTAAACCACCATGAGGGGGAGTTTATTAAATTATTATGGTACATTCTGCTATTTGATACAGAAATATTTGAGTGCGTTATGTGTTATTAAATTCTTTAAGTGTGTTAACTATAAGGGTGAGGTGAGTCATAAAGGTATGGGTGGCGGTGTTGTTGGTGATCAGTAATGTTAAATTATATGGGTCTAAATTAAAGTGGTGACAGAGTTGTTCATGGTTGAGTCTTGTGCGAGTGTATCGTGGGCATTCTGTAATGAGGTGTCTAAATGTCTGGGTAGTTGTGTTGTCGCAGGGGCAGGTGTTGTCGTCTGTAATATGAAATCTGTGTAGGTATTGTTTGTGGTAGCCGTGGTTGGTGAGTAATTGTGTGAGTGCGAATGTGTGTCCTGTTATGTCGATAAGTTTATATAGGTGTGTAAGTGATGGGCACCAATTTTTAATAATGGTTCCTTTGACATTATCAGCATATCTGTTACAAGCTACGTCATGGCTATCAGTTTTGGCCTTTTTTGTGACGTAGCTTATCGGGAAGTGCTTGAAAATGGGTGAGTAGGATTCGGAGGCTGCAGATTTAGCGGCTATGTCAGCAGCCTCATTGCCGTGTATGCCCGTATGAGCTTTAACCCATACAAAGTTAATTTGTGTGTGTGTGGTATGCAAAAACTTTTGTATGTTAGTGGTAACTTGATGTGTGCTATAAGTGTTGCTAATGTCTTCCAGAGCTGACCTGGAGTCCGACATGATGAAAGCTATATCAACCTGTTGCTTGTGTAACCACTGACAGGCTTGGTCGATGGCCACCAGTTCAGCCTGAAAGACAGTACACGATGAATGTAGCTTGTATGTTCTGGTGATAAGGGTGTTTTGTGGAGTGCGTACCACAACGGCAGCTCCCACTAAGTCGTCGTGCTTACTGCCGTCAGTGTAGATGTGGTGTGCATGTTGTTGATTGATTAAGATGTCGTCTAATTCAGTTTGTGTACTGATAATGTCAAAGGAGTGTGGTTGTCTGTGTGCCGGGTGAAGTAAATGAGATGGTTCAGTGGGTGTATCAAGTGTGACATCGAGTGGGAGGCAATCGGTGAGCCCTGTAATTCTAGTTGATTCGATTCGTGCTCTTTCTTTGACTTTAAGGTCAAGTGGTGTGAGTGTAGATATTGCTATGGCGTTAATTGTGTTAATGGTGCGGAATCCTCTAATTATTTTGAGAGCAAACCCTCTTTGTAGTGATAATAGTTTATTACAGTTGGTTTTGAAATTTAGAGCAGTGTGCCATACGCTGGAAGCGTAGCATATTATGGGTTCGATTACCCCCCTATAAAGTGTGAGTATGTTTTGAGAGTGTACTCCCCAGGTGGGTCTGATGAATTTAGTGAGTGTGTTATGTAGAATACGTGTTTTGTTAGTGATATAGTTTACATGTTGCGTGAAGTGTAAGTTGTCGTCGATGATCACCCCCAAAACTCTAGCAGTCCGGCTGAATGGGATGTGCGTATTGTTCATGGTTAAGTGAAGAAGTTTAGTTTTGTTAGTGAAGGCTAAAGCGATGGTTTTGTCAGGTCCAAAGGTAAGTTTATTAGTGTTGCCCCATTCTTGAATGGTCTGTAAACTTTGATTGATATTGTTTTGGAGAGTGATGAGCTTTTTGGTTATTAGAGTGATGTCATCTGCAAAGGCCTGCAGCTGGCACCCCTCCGGAAGTCTGCTCCCAGACGAGTCACTGGACATGTCCAGTAGTTCGTCCAAAATCAGATTCCAGAAGGTCGGCCCACATACAGACCCCTGGATGCATCCCCTACTTAGTTGTTTAGTGGCGGTGGCGTCAGAATATAATAGGGTAGCCGTACGATCTGATAAGTAATTTTGGATGATGGTGTACATGTTTTTAGGGCATTTGGTGTGGTGTAATCGTGCGAGTATGGCGGGCCACCAAGCATGATCGAATGCAGCTTTAATATCGAGGGAGATCATCGCGACATGTAATCCCTTCTTTTTGTGTGTTTTGATAGTATTGACTATGTTGGTGAATGCGTGTACTGTAGAGGTTTGTTGCTTGAATCCATATTGTCTTGTGTTATGCGTATGTGTAATATTTAGGTGATGTGTAAGGCGTTGAGTAATTAATTTTTCAAGTGTTTTACCCAGTATAGGTAAAAGTCCTATAGGGCGATATGAGGATGAAGAAGTGTAATTGGATTTATTGGGTTTCGGAATTATTTTAATTATTGCATGTTTCATGTTTTGGGGAAAACAGAGATTGATAGGCAGCGGTTCATGAGCCCAGTGATGATTTCAGGGAAACATAGAGCAAACTGATAACAAATGTCAGAGGTAAGGTGGTCTGCACCCGGGGATTTGGAGGGATTCATGTTTTTCAAGATAGTAGTTATTTCATGTTGTGTAAATGGAGCATCGTCTTCAGTGTCGGGTGGATTGTTCGTTTGATTACGAGTGGAGTTCTGTGTGGGAGTGTCAGGTGTGTCATCAGGGTAAAACTTATTGAGGAAAGCTGTTGCTGTTTGGTGACTCGATGTGGTATGTATGCCGGGTGACAGTTCAATGGTTGACGGTGGCCTCTGAGGAGGCGCCCTCTTCATAATTCGGTTGGTAACCGACCACACATTTTCTTTACCCTGTCTATTGCAGAATTCTCGAAAGTGTTCAGTCGAAGCAATTTTGATTGCTTGAGCGTATGCTACTTTGAGGGTGTCCCTTTCAGCGAGAGCATCGGTGAGTGGTTGGTTCTTATGTTTGAGCTGTTGTAATTTATGGTGGTTTGCTATCACCTGTTGTTTCATGATGTCTAGTTGGTCGGTCCACCAGGGTGACCGTGGCGAACCTCGACCTGTGCGTGGCAGATGTAGGTTGCAGGTGTTCTGTATGAATTTTGTAAGTTTTTTAGTGTAAATGTCTATGTCCTGTTGTGTGTTTAGAGTATTGCAGTCGGTAGAATGTAGGTCCGTATGTAGTATTTGTTCTTTAAAATGCTCCTTTAGTTCATCCCAATTTCTATAGAATTTAGTGTTGTATCTAAATGTGCTTGTTTTGGGGTTAGTTTTGAAATGTTGTAAGAAGTGTAATGTGAAAGTTATGGCGTGGTGGTCGGATGAGGGGCAGATGGAATGGTCGATCCTCCAGCCGTCAACGTAACAGGCAATATTGTCACTGACGATGGTAAGGTCAACAATAGAGCCCCTAATTCGGCCGAGGGCCACGCTCTCGTATGTATGTGAGGTTCCCGTATTGAGTACGACGATATTATTCGTGTGTAGGAGGTCTACTATTTCCTCTCCTCTTTGATTGTTGGAGGTTGACCCCCACATACGGTGCCACCCGTTGAAGTCGCCGGCAATGATGTGTGCGGCGTCTCGAGTATCGTTAAGTAATGCTTGTAGTTTATTCAGTGTGCTGTTTGTATCTATGTTGGGTTCTATGTATATACATGTTAGAATTAATCTTTTGCCTTGTTTGGTTGTCAACTGTACACAGCATAGGTTGGGTGTAGAATATTGTGAGAGGCCTAGTGCGGTTCCTATATTGTTTTTGGTTAGAATACAAGCCTTGGTGTGTGTTTTATTTGGATATTGGTGTGTGATATATCCTGCTGTATTTTTCATGGTAGGTTGGCTCTCGACGTATGGCTCATTTATAAAGATTAAGTCGGTGTTGTTTTATAGAGTATGGTTTATTAATTCATGCGTAGCAGCGTATCCGCGCCCCAGGTTAGCTTGCGTGAGTGTGAGTGTCGGTGATGGGTTTTTCTGCCTTTGAGGTCTATTCTGAGTGGTGTGACGGGTGGGTGGAGTATTAATATGGGTTGGAGTGTGAGTGTTAGGGTGTCCATGTGTGTAAGTAGTGTGTGTGTTATTGTTATTGTTGTGATGAATGTTATACATAAGATCGTATTAACTTACTGTATTTTGTACACAGTTATACATAACAAATAAACTTGTACACAGTTATATAAAGTAAATTACGGGACATTTCATATTTTTAAAAACCATGTGAGCCCATAGTAATTAATAAAGTTACCTTATTAACTTCGCCTTATATTTTTGCGGAGGTTCTAAGGCGTGATAAAGAAACAACACCCGTATATACACACATCCAAACACAAGTACCCACATCCATACACAGGTATCCACATCCATACACGTATCCACATCCATACACACGTATCCACATCCATGCATACGTACACGTACCTACCTACACCTTGCGAAGTCGTATAAGAAAAAGCAAAGTAATTTCTTTTAGAAAAAATATTTTAAAGCAGCGTTTTTACGATCTTTTTGCTTAGGAACCGAAGGTTGTTTGAATAAAACAAAGTCAATGATATAAAAGGTTATTAATCTTGTGACTTTGATAACGTAATAATGAAGTGACGAAGAGTACATATTATGATATCGTCAATCTGTATTATCTCGTATTATGTATAGGCAATGTACCTATACAATACTTAAAAAGTTTAGGAAGTATATAAAATATTATTAAAATTTTACGAAAAGGCAGTTCTGCGAGCAGACAGAAATCGCAGTGCATATTTCAATTTAGGCATAAAGCAAAAGTACAAACGTACCATACTTTTCTCAAATGATTAATTACATTTTCGAAACTCCTGTAATTTATTTGTGCATAAAGCTAGAAGCCTTAGTTTCTCATCTAGATATACAAACTGCATATATCTATAGAACTACGTCTTAGTTTTCGGTGACCTAATGAATGATAAACGAAATTTGACTACGTACCTACTAAGCTAAGGTTTGGTTTAATGTTCTAAGGTACTAAGCGATCTCTAGTTTTTATATTTTTGCCTAATGGTCAATTGGCTCGCAAATTTCAGTATACGTTCTATTACAATATAGCACTGCTATATTAAGTACTTGGTTCATAGCGTATACTAACTTTTATTTGGTGTTTATTGTATACACAACCATGTTTTAGCACTACAGCTGTAAAACGCAGTACTTGCTACTAGGTTTTTTTAGCTTTGGTAGCAGGGTGTTGTTAGGTAAGTAGCCATGGTGGTTTGAGCTCAACACAGTGCACTTTAACAGGTGAAAGAAAATTACGTGTGCATAATTGTAACCAATATAAGTATACAATGAATTCAATGGGACGACACTTTGTGTGATCCACAAATTGTTGTTCTGAGTCTGGGTGTTCTTTGTGTCCGTTTCATGTATGTTTGTAAAGTCCCCCGCGACACAGGATTTATTCCTAATGCGGGCGTTGTCTTTTTAAAAAAAAAAAAATAGTTTTTGTTAGTTTAGGCTTAATATCAAAAACGTTAAAAGAATCGATTGTGTTCTGCGTTTTATCTGCCTATTTAAGGTTCCGTAGACCTAACAAGGAACCCATAGGTAGGTATAGTTCTGTCATGACCGTCTGTTTATCTAAGTATCCATCCACCCTGGACTTAGCTTAGGATTGGATGATAATTTTTCTCGTCTATCCTATGGTGGTGTGGGTTGTCATCGAATAAGTATTTCAAGCATTGTGGAAGTATGAAGACAATTTTTCGATTCAGAGCCAATTGCAAAATACTTAAACTTGGGAACATTCGACGGCGCGTAACTCAATACGCACTTGACCGGTTTCTTACTAAAAGAATGTTGCTTGAGCTCTGGAAAGTATAGATAACTTATCTGCCCTCATAGCAGTAGTAGGTATTAATCAATAGTCAAACATCAAAAGACACATTATTACGCGAAAGGCATCATATAGCATCCCTTATTTTTTTTTTCTTAAAACTTAATGTTCTGGACTGTTAATGAAATCTGTAAACCTAATGTGTTATTTTAGTAACGATATTAATAATAATAATAATAATATAATATAATATAATATAATATAATATAATATAATATAATATTCTACCACAATCACACAACGCCATCTAGTCCCAAACTAAGCAAAGCTTGTACTATGGGTACTAGACAACTGATATAAATACATATATACTTTTTTTTGTAAATACATACATATTATACATAGAAACACCCAGACCAAATCAAACATTAAATGTTCATGCACACAAATGCTTGACTTGAGCGGGAATCGAACCCGCGACCTTTGTGGAATAGCAGTCCGTTACACAAACCACTACGCCATTCGGTCAATAATAATTACTTTATGTCTCTGACCATCTATTTAAGGCGTCTTTAAAAAAGGAGAAGATTCTTAAAACGACTACCTACTTATTGCTTTTGCGTGTGTCTACTACCTATTACCTACGAAACTACGTTAACTGCTGTCCTCACCAATTTTGTAAAGATTTTAACAATTATAATTAAATTGAATGCATTACATTCTAAGTTGGTTCCATATAAATGGTAAGAAATATTTGTTACTAGTGAGTTTTAAACGTAAAAGCCCAAGAATATTGACTAAGTACATTAAAATAGCTAAATCAATAAGATAAGATAAGTAATTACCCATCACGGGCCATCACCTACCTAGTTATCGAGCTATTTAATGTGATGTGTCTATTTATTCAAACTTATTTAGTTAACCTGAAGGTTATCAAACTTTAGAGTTGTTTATATTAACGATCTTTGTCAGTGTCGCGGGCACACGCAGTCTACTCGTAAACAATGGCTAAAGATCTCGTAATTCTCGCTTACTCCGGTGGTCTAGACACCAGCTGTATTCTCAAATGGTAAGTAATGTTTAATTTTTTAACTCCTACATGAGTGGCATTTAATAACTCTGCTATACTTCGCGTAAGGAAAGACAGTAACGATGTCTCGATAGTTACTCTGGCATAGGCTGGACAAAGGCCTCTCCTTAGAAAGGTGGTTTTGGCCTACTATACCGCACTGACCAGACGGGTTGGTTTAGGGTTTGTTTCAAGTTTTCCTTCTTTTGCAGTGCTGTTGTCCTGCGGAGTTTGCTCCCTTAGTCGGGTCTTAGGACACCCATTGGATAAATAATCCTATTAAATATGATCTAAAATTTCATACTCATAATTAACTGGCTTTTATGTATTCTAGGTTAATTAAAAAAAGCTACGATGTTGTTTGTTTTATGGCCGATGTTGGCCAGAATGAGGACTTCAAGAAAGCAAAGGAAAAGGCATTGGGAATAGGCGCAAAAGATGTAAGTAAACTAAATACATTACGAATTCGTGTGTTCATATCAGCAATCATAATTATCAATAAATGTTCATATTTCTTTTGGAGGGTATTTTTCCTGGATAGTTATGTTACTGGATTTTGGTACACTATTAGTGATTGTTTACTGTTACTGTAAAATGGTTTGTATCTGATCTCTATCAGCGATAGGTTCTATGTATGTCAAATTAAGATGTACCCAAATATGCCATCGTCCATACCATTTGAGTGTTCGTATTATTGAAAAAAATATATAATAATAATAATAATTCATGACATCGAAATCAAGTGTGGCCAGAAATGAGTCACGACTGACAGTCTTATCATATCCAAGTAATAAAAAGCCCATTACAAAAATTGAGAAACAATAAGTAAATATGAATATCAAGAACAGAAAGGTAATTAATAGGTTAATTTATGACAATTATTTTTCATGAACAAAGTTTATATAAATCCTTTGTACCCTCGGATTAACAATTGAATTGTAAAGAATACCATTTCCAGTGAAAGGTATCTTTGTAGAAGAGATAAATTTTTGTATAAATGTCTTATATATGTATTGGCTTATATATCTAGGATAGGGTACGGTAGACAAGCATAGTGAATAATATATATAGTAACACCACCAGAAAATGTTTCTAATAGTATTGTCTGTACTGATACTGTAGTAGTAGGTACCTATTACAAATCATCAGTCTGTGATTAATTACTTATTATTAAAACTATACTTATTTTTATAACGGAACACAAATACGTAAGTACTTAGAATAGTATATTTACAATAAAAATGTTTATTTATTTCTTTGTTCAATTATTTTATGTTTTATTATTTAGACTAATAATAAATTATAGTTTATAAAGATTTCATTTTGTAAGATATAAGTAAGTGTAAGTGTGTAAGTGTTGTAAGTGTAAGATATCTGACACACAACGCCATTTAGTTTCAAACTAAGCAGAGCTTGTACCAAAAAAGCTAGATTGACTGATAGGATACTGATATACTTTTTTTCAAAAATACATAACTATTACACATATAAAACACCCAAACTACGAAACAAATATTTGCAGATTATACAAACATTTGGTCTGACCCGGTAATCGAACCCAAAACTTTAACACAGCAGTCGGATACGTTACCACCGATTGCACCGACCGATTTCTAGCTAAGATAAAACTTGTAGAATATGGGCTAAGTGGTAACCGACTATGTTAAAACATTGCAAACTGGAGCAATCCTACCCAGATCAGTCCGACCATGCTTAACAAATTGAGACCCGGAGAGCACGTTAAGCCGTCGGTCCCGGTTTCCATTAGAACATCTGTGGCAATGGTTACGGCTAGTTGGAGCCCTAAAAAGTCTGACAACAGTCTTTCTACAGAACTTCGATATGGCCTAGTAGGTACTTGGATTATGGAGGTCTGATAGCAGTCGCTCCGTGTAAAAAATCGAAGCTCAGCCGTGTTGTAGTAGACTGAAAGCCGACCCCAACCTAGTTTCAGAAAAGGTTCGGAGGAAGAAGGAAACTTGTAAATTTAATCTTATTTAAAACTAAGATGTCAATAAAAATACAATGTGTTCCTCTTTGTAGGTGATAGTGGAGGACTTGCGCAATGAGTTTGTTTTAAACTATATGCTGCCTGCGGTTCAAATGGGCCTGATATACGAAAGCCGATATTACTTGGGCACTTCTCTCGCTCGGCCCTGTATCTCTGTGGGTCTAGTCAACGCTGCTAAGAAACTTGGAGCTAAGTAAGCAAATTATAAATATATTGTTTTGGAAGTTATGTGTATTTCTAGATCGAATATTATTAATTGGTTCGAGTTATCTCTAGAAATAATAGTAATAAGAATTTATCGACAGTATAAGCTGCTATAAAACACCAATTGTAAGTGAAAACCTACAAATATTACTTATTAAGGCCTAAACTTAGTGCAATACTATTAGGATCTCTGACTCATAATAAGGGTTTGGGCTCCGGTTACTACCTGGGCTCACTTACTCGATGAAAAGAAACCAAAGAATTGCTTTGAATGCACTGTTGTATTCTAGCCGAGAAGTTATAGACGTTAAATATAGTATAACCAATAAAAGTAGACTACAATATAAGTATACCTAAACATAATACTTAGAAGAAAATAAGAATAGAAGTTATAATATTTCTATTACTTAAATATATATATACTCAATATATAACTTAACTCTATTTGTTCGTAGATACATTTCTCACGGTGCTACTGGCAAAGGCAATGACCAAGTCAGATTTGAACTCAGTGTTTATTCACTGTGGCCCGAAGGAAAGGTAAGAACTGGTAGAAGATTAGAATCACACAATGCTACAATTCTAAACTCGTAATATTAATTTAATTAAACAATTATACATTTATTAGATTATTGCACCTTGGCGTCTGCCAGAGTTTTTCGAGAGATTTCAAGGTCGGAACGATCTCATGGAATACGCCAAACAGGAAAATATACCCGTGTCAGCCACTCCTAAAGAACCCTGGTCAACTGATGAAAATATTATGCACATCAGGTAATATTACCTAAACACATAGTTTTATAGCAAAATAAAACAACTATTAGGAAGTATTAAGTATATCTTTATATGGACAGTTACGAGTCTGGTGTTCTTGAGGACCCTAGTGCCGCTCCTCCGAATGGTATTTTCAAAATAACACGTAATTTAAAAGACGCTGAAGATTACCCAAGCATCATAGACATCAATTTTGAAAAAGGTCAGTATGTTGTTATTATTGTACCTGATACACCATGTTTATTATGTGTAGGTAACACATAATAAACATGGTGTCATTATAGCTATTGTAAATTCTTATTTATTTAACAGGGTTACCAGTCTCTGTCCGGATCCCAAGTGGACACGAAAAGTCTCTTCTGTTAACAAACCCGCTGGCTATCGTAGAAACACTGAACAAGTTAGGCGGGCAACACGGAGTTGGTCGTATCGACATTGTAGAAAACCGATTTCTGGGATTGAAGGTAAAAAAACTAACTAATTTATTTAACTGTTTAGAATAATAATAATTCACAAACATTAAACATTTCCTGTCACAATTTTACCTATCCATTCAAATACTGATTCATCTATACAAATAAATAAAATTGGAGTGTCTGTTTGTAATATTAAAATAACCGCTTTTTACTAAATGCATATGTACGTTTACACGGTACATATGCCAAAATAACATTTTTTACAATTTTTATCTGTCTGTCTGTCTGTCTGTTTGTTCCGTGTAATCTCTGGAACGGCTGGACCGATTTCGACGGGACTTTCACCGGCAGATAGCTGATGACATAAGGAGTAACTTAGGCTACTTTTTTTAGACTAGCTTCGCCCCGCGGCGTAGCCCGCGGTTATAACAACAAACGCGGGTAACACCGCGGGTCTCAGCTAGTTAATACTAAATTACCTAATTTTCAATTTTAAAATAAAATTAAATCCATTTCTAATATTTTTTTCAGTCACGAGGCCTTTACGAGACGCCCGCGGGCACTATTTTGCATGCAGTACACCTCGACCTAGAAGTTTTCACACTCGACAAAGAAGTTTTAAGGTACTCTGTTACACGGGAAAATAAATGAAGTATACAAATTTCCTATGTGGACAATGATTATTAAACCAAAAATACCTTTACAGAGTGAAAAAATATCTACAAGAGAAGATGGCAGATTTTGTGTATAACGGATTCTGGTTTTCACCTGAAGCAAACTATACGCGAAAGTGTTTGCAATTATCTCAAGATATGGTTAATGGCACTGTAACGGTTCAAATATACAAAGGGAATGGTAAGAAGGTTCTATCTTATCTAAATACTAGATTTAAAGTAAAACTGCTTGGACCAAACCAAAGCAATGTCAAATATTGTTTGTTTTAATGTAATAATTTTTGTGTGTCTGAATAAGAAAAGGATTTAACTGATTTATCAATAAAACGACCCTGCAATACATACGTGTATATTCCAATCAGAATATTTATCTGTTTATCGATTGCTAATCACGAAGTTTTTTTTTTTGACTAGTTAACAACAATATTATGAAATTACAGTTACCATCTTGTCAAGAAAGAGTCCGACGAGCTTGTACAATCAAGATCTAGTCTCCATGAATATAGCTGGCGGTTTCTCTCCTGAAGATAGTACTGGATTTATCAACATCAATGCTCTGCGCCTCAAAGAATATTCCCGACTTGCTCAGCAAGAAAACAAAAGGGGAAAAAATTAAGTTATCAAATGTATGAACAAAGTTGTTATAAAGAACATCCTTACTATTGTTTGTGTTCTACAATAAAAATCTAGAAATATTCGTAGACCGTTTTATTATTAAACGTGAAACATCTGTCGCTGCCGACTAAGAAACCTGCCATGGTGTGGTGAGCTGAGTCCTCACTACAATCGCAGTAGGGAGCCTGTCCCTACTGCGATTGTAGTGAGGCAATCAATTCTCTCCTAACGACCGACTGCAGGTACTTCAAAAGTACGGCGGTACGGCAAAAGCTTTGGAGCAAGCCTTCGGATGTGCTCGTCAAAGAGTCACCTTCCGTCAAGCATCAGGTCACGATAATTCATCTGTGCCTGCACCGGTACGAGGGCCAAATTGACCACGGTTGAGGAGCCGGGGGTGGACCACGATAGGGTCCATGAAACAAGATGGCCTCCTTTTATCCAGGGCCATTCGTAAGCCCAGCGCTTCAATGCGTCAGACCACTAGAGAAATTCCCACGGTGGCCAGGCGAGATGCTTATTGAAAGTCGAGTCACGTCAAGAATTATTTTAAGAAACACATTCATCTTGTATATCCTCCGCGAGATCAATCGGGTATAGTTTGTACAGTTCTTTGGCATTTACTCTACCTTCTGCTTCAGACATTGTATCAAATTTGCATGGAAATGCAAACTTGGCACGTCATAGAAAGTTTTGCGCTTCCTTAACTAAATAATAATTGAGCAGAAGGGCATAACCCAGAAATTGTCACGACCGCGTCCTTGTTACACAACTTCTCGCTCGCGACACTCATCGTCTTGTTTCTTTCTCTTTTCTCGTTTGATTTCTTGGTATTGCCTTTTTAATTATTTCATTCATTATTATCATTCACTATCACTCAGTTCACCACGTCAACACACTGCTGGATTTGTTTTATGATAAAAAAATGTTTTTCGTTAATTTATGGAGCGGAAAACACGGGCCCGGGGCGCTGATTCTTGAAATACGCCACTGGCAGACGACATTAGCGATCCTATAAGGATTACCTTACAAAATATGCGAAAAAGGCTACAAAATTACAATTAGTTTTTTTTTATTACAAAGACAACTCCCGCATTAGTGGGTGGGGATCGAACCCACAACACTCAACGCAGTAGGAAGCGGCGTGGCGACCGCTAAACCACTACGCCATCCGTGCAGTCAAGATTATTGACTTGTCATGATATGGAAAGTCTATACATTACCCATACCCATTATATGCCTAGTTTGGGATCAGACGGCCATGTGTGGGATATGTGAGGTATATTATTATTATTACTAGTGAGCGATAATAAAAAACATTTGAAGTTACCAAATCCTTTTTAATTTTATGCCTGCCTCTATTTTCCTAGTATTTATTATTGATGTAATCATTCCTTTGTTGTTGTTGTCAAATGTACAAAAGGGACTAAGTATTCAGAATATTTCGATACAAAAATAAAAGATTTTGTGATAAAAACATTATTCGCATTAGGTAAAATCTTGGCGATAAAAGCCTCAATTATCTTAATTTAAAGCAGATATTAGAATCTAGTATCATGATACAAATCAATTTCATCAGAATTACTACCAAATATAAATCTGCAGTAGGTACTACTCCCGCACTTACAAAAATAGTACCTACCCATTTGTCAAGTTATGAGATGACGCAGAACAGACTGCTCACACAGAACAGACTGCAAACATTACGACCAACAGTGCAACCTATTTATAATACTATATACCTATATATAAATAGGCTAAATATCTAACACGGTGTGCAGCGTGGTATAGTAAAACCTAAGTAGGCTAAAACCTCCTTTCTAAGCAGAGGCCGATGTCCAGTGGATTTCGGTACGCTTGTGACTATGCTCTACTTATTTCAGCTTGAAGCTACTACTTGTGTTCAAGTTACACAAGTACTTAAATTTTGTCTTTGACTTAACACTTCTTTGTGAAGGTTCACCAATTTCTAAAATATTACTACCTTTTATAGCATACTCTGAAAGAGTTTCATTTACCAGTGATAGTCTTTGTCTTTTAACTACGGCCATTCTTTCACCTGAAATAAATTATCAATCATCAAAATTTCGTAAAATCGCAAAAGGAATAAGCAAGCTCTTTTAATAAACTTTTGTAAACTAGATTAGGTTAGTTTTAGATCGAATCTACTACTGCTTAAAAACTAATTCACACTAAGCTATACATAAATATAGCATACTTACGTTAAAATGATATCACGCCTTATTCTAGGCGGTCAGAGCTTCCGCCCACACCGGTCACCGTATAGTGTAACTCATAGAGTAATCTTAACTACAGCTGCAAAGGCAAAGGCATGATGTAGGCTTTGTACTAGAGAGAGAAAAAGGTTTCGGAGTCAAGAAAGTAGTTAATAATGTGGGCTATAACTTCGAGGACGTAATCCATGATGGTAATTATCATCCTACGGTTTGCAAACCATTGCGTTACAACAGACAGACCGGATGATAATTTAAATGTCCCCAGAAGGCATAGGAGAAAATTCAAAGTCGACAAAATTGGGTCTGGGCAGACTAGCTATATAACTCCAGGTCCGACTCTATGTTTTATGATCCGGTTGAGTAGCAGAAGAGAAATGAAGATTGATATCGTTCAAACCAATGAAACTCGGTCCGTTGTTGAATACCCAGCGTGTTAAGGAACTTCTATATTAGAGGTATTACTCTTCAAAGATGCCCTAGGGGCCAAGGGACTTCGACATTAAATAACTAGCGACCTTTGGTATACCTCTCTTAATATTGCCTCATTAGAATTCCAATGTTGAGTTGAGAGACTATGGGTATTAAACAGTAACGCGTCCCGTTATTGTTCAAAAAAATGACAAAATATGCCGACTATTGTAAACACATAAAAATAAAACGAAAATAAAATACCCTAGCACCGTTAAACAGACCCTCTATAAAATAGCAATAAAAAAGGGCAAACTAAGGTTTTCTCACGGTAAAACGGGAAATTTGTATTGTAGCATTTAGTATAAATAAGCAACACGTTATGTATTAAACACACTTCCTCTCTTGGAAGCAACCAAGGCGTTTCATTCCTATCCCTGGGCGATAGCACTACGGTTCAAAAGCTGAGCTTCAGCTTAGCCGGTCGTTATTACCTTACCCCTAGTACCTCTCAGCCAGCTGGCCGAGTCATTAGGAAAAGTAGTACACTCAAACATTAAGGATAGTAAATCACCAGAAGTCTTAAACCTGGCGATCGAAGACCTTAAAAGAGGAATAGAATGAAGTTAAATATTTTATCTGCTATGTTAAGAATACGCTGTGGCTTGAAGTTGGAAGGAGAATGCTGCAACAAATATGAAATATAACTAAACATTGTAAAACAAATCGGTACCACAAAATCGTATTAATTTTGAACCGACGATGATGGTGCTGACAAAAACGACTATAACCCGGCAATCTCGTGCGCGATCGTCCCGCGGGGTGACAGACAGTGGCGGGGGCGAGGTAGCGCGTCATTCTAGCACACGGCTACACACGATTCCCTTCCCCGCGACACCACCCGCTACCCGCTGACATCTTGAGTAACTCGTCCCCGCCACCGTCTGTCACCCCGCAGGACGGTCGCGCAAGACGTTGATAGACTATAGTATCCGTAATTTATTTTAATAAAGGAAACTAGTTATTAATATACTTATGGTTTTCTTTCCTAATTACTTAAAAAAAATGGAGTGAATAATTTAGTGCCTATTAGAGTAGGGTAGTTTTTCGTTAGTGGTTTTCTGGTGGATTTAGATGTTGAATCTGGTGGAGAGTACATTTAACTGTTGGCCACACTGCTCAAGGGCCCTGTAGGGATGTTAAAAAATAATCGATTTTTATTGAAATCGATTATTATTTTCTTATAATCGATTTTTTATTCTCGATTTTTATAGTAATGATAATCGATTTTTAGTAAATCGATTATATAAATTACGTGTTTAAATCGATTTTCAGAAACAGCTCGCATCTATGCGACGAATGAAAAAATCTTGCAGTATGTTTCAATTTTAAAAACAGCGCCGTCTATGCGTTGGATCAAAAATCTCTGCTCCGTCCGAAAGATTATTTTCCAAAGCGGGAAATGTGGTCAGGAAAACACGAAACCGTATTTTAGAAAAGAGACTATCAAAATTATTGTTTTTAAACTGCTTACTTACCTGAAAATTTATGGTAATAATTATTTTAAATTTTAATAATGTTTAATCCTAGTCAAATGTAAAATAGGACTGCACATTTGTGGAAATAATTATTTTTAATTTTATTATTGTTTAAACTTGCAGATTAACGAAAGATTGTTTTTTATTTTAGTTTTAGAGACCATAACGTAGTTGTTGAGGATTGATAATGATCCTTTTAAGTATTTTATTTTAATACTAGTCAAATGTAAAATAGGACTGCATGGACATTTGTGACAATAATTATTATTTAAACTTAAAGATTAACGAATGATTTGTAATTTAGTTTAGTTTTTGAGACTATAGAGTAACCAAAGCCAAAACCTCCTTTCTAAGGAGAGGTTGATGAAGAGTAGTCGTTTAGTTTTTTAATTCTCATTTTAAGTGTTTTATTTTAAAACTAGTCAAATAAAAAATTCTCATCATTTCATTTTTATTATAATAAATAAAACGTTTCATAGAACTAAAATGAGTATCAATAATGCTATTTAGTTTCCTAATTCCCTACTTTGAAATTTTTCGAATAGGTTATTTTTTTATTCATAAAATTTTATTTTATTTTTAATCTGATAAATAGTTAATATGAATCTCTTAGGTTTATTATTGGAATGTGGAAAGCATATACTTTTAAATAATACAAAAAAATCGATTATTTATTTTTATTAAAATCGATTTTTGGCAAATCGATTAATTTTTAATATAGAAAAATCGATTTTTATTTAATCGATTCTTTTCCATTAATCTCACATCCCTAGGGCCCTGTCAGCACTGGTATCATCAGAATTTTAGAATCAACTGTTGTTACTTATTATAATCTGTGGTTGTTATTGACGATTTGTGAATTAAGAATTTTTATTTTAGGTTAATTTACTTTGAAAAAAGACAGTCAGTCTCAATTATCGCTGTTCATAATGCAAAGAAATTTACCCCAAAATAAAGAAGCCCTACTAAAATCTTACACAACACGATTAAAAGAAGATGTAAAGAGTATGTTAGAGAATTTCGAAGGTAAGTTTTTATAGTACAACTTCTTGACTCTCTTTTGAATTAGTAATGAATAAATCGTATTTTTGACCTTAACCTTTAGTTGCATATATATGATCTAGCCTTGTTTCATATAAATTATACTTTTGAATATAAAATTCATTACACATTCTTTCAACAAGCCTTTAACCTAAAGTGTGTAAAATTTCAAATATTTTATTTACTAAAACCCTAACATCTTCTTTACATGCACCTTAACATCACTAGAGCTAAACACTATCATATATTCCGGAGCAGTAATTATTATATTAGTTTTATGGTTTCAGAAATCATAAAGCTTGCAAAACTAGAAAATGAATCACAATTGAACAGAATGACACAAATTGAACAGGACACATTTGAAATGCAAGTGAGAGCTGCTAACATAGGTATTTCTTGACTTTTTAGTGTAACATTGTTGTAGTGTGAAATTATATTTGATGGAAGCATGTACACACACCTATGTGTGAGGACTATCAGCGAATGTAACAAGTAACAATGTTGTGTTAATAAAGCTGTCAATATAAAGTAACATTGTCTTTAATTAGAACATTGATTTTGCCATTTTGACTGATTTCAGCTTTTTTGTTTTGATTCTTGTTGTGGTTTGAAGGTTTATCATTAAAGGGTAGATAAGACTTCTAGCTAGCTCTATTGGTTGTTGTTTACTTTTATTATAGAGTTCTTTTGCGGTCTTTAATTTAAAATTAGTTGACAATTTAATAAGAGTGTTGAAATGGCTTACGTACAACATACACTGTAGGGATTCAGATTCAAAAGCCATAAATTGAAGTAGTTTGCTATTCTGACTAAATCATCTTGCAGATGCTCCTGCTTGACTTAGGAAATAAATAATAAAGTATCTATGTTTAGTCTCACAAGTTCTGAGGCTGATAAAGGTATAAATATTGTACATCTAAAAGTAGATACACATGGGTGAGCATGATCAGAGTGATACCATAGCCTTTGTTGTCTTACAAAGTAGGTGAGGGTACTAGACTTCAAACCACCACTTCATTCTGATCAAAGGCAATACATTATATCTCTTGAGTTCAGGTGTCAGTTGTTTAGAGCGAGCCCTGCTTTTGACCTGGTTGGATGAATTTTGACAAATGTCTAATTTCAATTATCATATACTTTGTCAGAGTTGAAAAACCTACCGTATTAAAAAAAAAACCTAAGAAATAGGTCTATAATTATTGTGAGTAACAATTAGTTAATTGTTAATAGAGAATACCACCATAACAATTGACAGTTAATTATCATTAATTTTAGTCATGGTTTATTGTCATTTGAAGTTTTTCTATGAAAAGTTCAATGCTTGATTGGGATAATTTAATTATGCAATTATTAAATCAGTATATTTTAAAGGATGCTTAATTTAAATAATTTAATTGTTTCACATATTTTTATCATCATCAATATCTGTAGTATTTAAGCTGTTGGTTACTTTGATAAATTCCTCATATATACATAAATATAACTTATAAAGAGGCAGGTAATTAAATAATTAATTAAACAAACCTTTTTTTACAGTTCGTGCTGGAGAATCCCTAATGAAATTGGTATCAGATATAAAACAGTATTTAATACTTAATGATTTCCCTTCCGTTAATGAAGCAATTACTCAGAATTCTAAGCTTTTCCGCACAAAACAACAGGAGTGTGACCAGAAACTAATGTCACTACGAGATGATATTGCAGCTGATTTATATGATTTAGAAGATGAATATTTTACAAGTATATATAAGTAGTAAGAATATTATTAGTATATAAAATAAGCTTAAAGTTTAAGTAACATAAAACTCTTAATATAAAAATAGAAAAAACAATGATTTTAATGTTCTGTATATTGTATATAATTTGTATTCAAATAAATAATAAAACAATTGTACAGCACACAATGTCATCACTTTATTGAAACTACCACGAAAAAAAACCCAGTATTCTTGAACAATTTGAATTTAAGTTTCTTTTCATTATTTTAATTTGCACTAAACAAGTAATGAGGTCCGTTTGATGGCAATTGTTTAGCAGTAACAGGCCTTCCAAATTTAAAGTCCTCCAAATAGAGGTACAATGCAAAAGATCCACCTATTGTACCCAAAAACCAGGTCCATTGGTGAAGCAATGAAAATCTCCTCTTCATAGCTGGATCATAACGGTCACCTCCAAATATTTCCATTCTTGCATGCATCTGGAAAAAAATTATAAAGAAAATTATATTGTCATGAAGCTTTTCTAGAAAAATAAGATATTGTAGTTTAAAATAACCACTTTGTGTTATTTTTATTTTACAAAATATGGATATATATGTAGCTTATGAATAGTTTTAAACCATTTTGTTTAGTTTATACTATTCACTATTAAAATATAATTAAATGGGATGGAACAGCAGATAAATGATCCAGACTAAGGAGACAGGTTGAGAGTAAAATAGATAAATAACAATAAATGATTCTGTAATGAGAATGAGGATTTGTTTTGTGTGGTGTCATTAATATGTATTATGTATGTATTTAGTATTACATATATAAGTACATGACCAGCAGTCTGTGATTAAAGTACAGACTATCTAGTTTGGTCTATCTAATTAGAACAAATAATATTTTTACTAAATTAACTTTAATCCATATTTTTTTATAAAAACAATTTTAAGGAATAGCATTATATCAAGTGGTGGTGGTGACAATTTGTATTCTTAGTCCGTGTGGTGACGGATTAAGAATACAAATTGTCACCACCCCAATTCATCCCGCGGGTGTCGTAAGAGCCGACTAAGGGAGCAAACTAAGCAGGACAACAGCACTGCAAAGAGAAGGAAAACTTGAAACAAACCCTATACCAACCCGTCTGGCCAGCGTGGTATGGTAGGCCAAAACCTCCTTTCTAAGGAGAGGCCTATGTCCAGCAGTGGACTAGTATAGGCTGTTGATGATGATGATGATGATGATTATATCAACAAATTAAAAAAAAAATTGGCATACCGGTTCGTTAAAGTTCCTTTTCAATTCGGGGCAATCATAAGGATAGTGAGGGTCTCTGGAATCCTCGCCAACGTCAGGTAATCTTGGATAGTCTCCATAACCCATATGCTCAGGATATGGTTGATATTCTTCAACGGTCATCCCATAGCGCTTGGCAGCGGCCTCACGCTGTTCAGGAGTCCTAGGATATTGGCCGGGTTGGTATTGATAGTTCCAGTCTAGAAAGATATGACGTAACAATCATAACATGATCTAATGATTGTAACAATGATGTATAAAAACATTTTGGCCTTACGATTTCGGGTAGCATTGTACAGTATGCCTAAGGACTTGTTAAGAGATAACGGGTTAGAAAATACTGCTTTTTTAAGCAAATGCGATGCCAATGCCATTTTTAAAACAAAATGTTCACCAAAACATCTGACATTGACATCAATGACAGTCAAGTACCATAGTACCAATGTACCAAAAAAAAAAAAAAAAAAAGACTAGTCTGGAGTCATTGGTTAAACAACAAGTGTACACCTTCATGTAGGTTCATCAGTGTGCGTTACCCCAGCAAAATAATGTCGAAAATGGTCATTTAAACGTTATAGATAATTAGTTGTTTATTTGTATTTTATTGTAGTTTATTTCTCAATTTATCAAGTCCTAGGGTCTTTCTGCTGTAGTGCGTCGATTTTTTCAATTAGATTTTGTTTCAGGCTCTATTTTAACATATTTAGTCAAATGATGAACCGTGTGAGTTACCCCAGCAAAATAATGTCGAAAATAATCATTTAAACGTTATAGATAATTAGTTGCTTCTTAATTGTTAAGCACATTTTTAAATTTGTTTCACTTAAACTTTTTTAGTTATTTCAAAAAAACATTTCCTGCTGCGGTAACGTTTGAAACGTTACCGCAGCCAGACATTTTCTTTTTTAATTGAAATATTGAAATAAATTTTAGCTAAATAATTAGTTATCTGGACTAGGTAAATGTTACAACTTATTTGGTATTTGTATTTTCTTCGGCTGCGAAGTTATTCGAGATCCTGCTGGAGTAACGTTTGTGGGTTTGCTGGATCTCTGAAACGGGTAAGCGGATTGTAACCATCTTTTGTACATAACTTCTTAAGGATTAGTTTTAATTTGTTCGACAGTAAAATAACAAAAATAATGGACCGTTTAAAAATTATTTAGGTAAGTATGAAACCACTTCAATACGTCCTAACACTTTGAATAAGACCTCTAAAGACTTATTTCAAACGTTATTCTATTGCTTGTAACTACCTAGTGTGAGTGTAAGTGACTAAAAAGTTATGATGAAATGTAGCTCTCCACGTTCACGATCACAATGTGTGCGGCCTTTTTTGGCCACCGATAAACCTGTGTGGAGATATATAAACTGAATGTTATGCCAATAATTAGTTGTTTAGTTCAGTTGTCTACCTGTAAAATTTCAGCGTCGTACATATAATAATTTACGAGATAATTAAATAAAAGTCATTAGAAGGTGCAAGACCGTGGTAACCCGACCATGTTTAGGTGGTTACAAAAAAGCGATCACCCAGTACATTGTGCTGGCTTTTAAAATATGTAGGATATTATTTGCAAGTTTACTACGGATATGTACATAAGTGTTACAAAAAACTACATGTTTTGAAATAATTTTTATTTAGGATTGTTTATTGCATAATTAGTAATCAGCCGGGAGGTTAGGTATTGTTTTGAATGCACATAAATCGTGACACATACTACAATCATAACACACACTTTATTAACATAATGCATATGCATGAAGGCACTAATGAATACGGGTTCACTTTTGTTTGCTTATTCTACCTCTTATATTGTGTACTTCATAATTGGCGTAATACTCTACAAATACTCTATAAATTTTCTACATGTTCTTAATGTCAGCTGTGAAGGACCTAAATAAATAAATAAAAAGCCCCCCTTGAGGAATGTGGATTGGTGAAAATTGAGAATATAAAATGAAATGCATGGCTGGATACACTTATACACAACTTATGTAAAACGAGTAAATAATATAACATTCGTTGCATACAATTTTTGTGAGGTTAATTACTGTATATTAACAATGCGATAATATGCCTAAAAACTGCTATAGGATATGATTATGTTAAGAATTTCGGAAACTTGGTAACTGCCGAGTCTGCCGACTTGGGCCGGTTGGATTGTAGTTCACTAGTATGTGAGATGAAAGGAGAGAACTTGAAGCGTAACTACAGGAACGTACCTTCTCTTGCGTAGCCGAGCAGAGGATCTCGAGAGCGGCAAGTAAAAGTCCCAACAAGTATTTCGAAACAGTTTATTGTCACTTTATAACACCAACACTAAGTACACAGTTAACCGTGTGGTGACGGATTAAGAATACGGAGTGTCACCACCCCTGTTCATCCCGTGGGTGTCGTAAGAGACGACTAAGGGAGCAAATTACGCAGGACAACAGCACTGCAAAGAGAAGGAAAACTTGACACAAACCCTATACCAACCCGTCTGGCCAGCGTGGTATAGTAGGCCAAAACCTCATTTCTAAGGAGAGGCCTATGACCAGCAGTGCACTGTTAAAGGCTGTTGATGATGAAGTACACAGTTTAAATCCACAAGTATACAAACTATTGACAAGAATATTTTGTACTAAAGATAAACCGCTGTTGATTAGTTCACCTTATGTATCGCACTGTCCGAGAGCACGACTGCTGATTACCTCCAGTAACAAATCGAAACAGTGTACACCCTGGGCAAGAAGTTTGACTTTTGATGATTTTAATTTAATTTTAATTATTTATTTATACGCGAACCAAATTTTAAGTTTTCAGAAAGTTATTTAATATTATAATTGCTAACACTACTAATAGGATAAAAATAGGTTTTTAACAATAATAAGAATTTAACAATTTTTATGAAAATGAAATGTTAGTGTTTAGACACACTACAAACTAAGCCAAACCGGACAAGTGCAGTTATTACTTTGGGTAGGCTTTTTTGTTCGACAAATACAATCGAACTAAAAATACCAGGCCCCTTTTGTGTACTTGTATAGCCATCTTCATTGCTGGCATCTCACCTATCACCTGATGCCCACAATGATTGCTCAAATCAAGTTTGACTTGATAAATAAGTGAAGTTCCTGTAACACGCTGACGTCTCTTCACACAAAATCACTCCAACAGATTGCAGGAAATTGGGCAGAAAGATTCATTGTGAGAGTATTTTATAATGGCAAGTTAAGTACATCTGTTGGTGCAATTTATGAATGTAATTGTTATAATAGATGATCTGTTTATATACAAGCCATCATCATTAACAGCCTTTAATAGTCCACTGCTGGACATAGGCCACTCCTTAGAAAAGAGGTTTTGACTTACTAAACCTTTTTTTTCCTTCTCTTTGCAGTGCTGTTGTCCTGCGTAGTTTGCTGCCTTAGTCTTATTGCTTAGGCTCTTACGATGCCCACGGGGTGTCGCAAGAGCCGCAGCCGACTAGAAGGCCACATAAAAGTTACTACAACTTATTTTAAAATAATGTGTTTAGGCTAGACTTAAGCCTGCCTAATCGTATTTGCAGATCCAGTCACTAACCATAAAAATATCTTTTTAACTTCAGTTATCTATTGGCTTCTGCTACAAAAAAGCGTTTTGTGGTCTCCATAGTGGTCTCTCATCGATTTTTAAGTTTCTGTGGATATTTATTTATGTCTTGTTTTGCACTACCAATAAAATGTCAATTACGTTGAACTACCTATAGTGACAGTTGGCAGTTACCAAAAAAACCAAGTGTGAACCAAGTAGTTTCTAAAGAAATGTCAGACAAGACGTGTTTTGTGGACTATACTAAGTTCAGCGTTTTTCACAAATGAGAAGCTTACAACAATAGCAGGATAAAATCTTAAATGATGGGTAACGAGAGTTCGCAGCTAAGTGGTTTGGAAATTGAAGAAAAGGCTATAGAGATAACAGACTTTTGGTGCCACTATCAGGCTACCATTAATGATAGTTGTAGATATTTCAGTTTAAAAAGTGATGGTTCAGTATCTGTGTTTAAAGGAGAAGCAGCGGTGGGACCATTATGGGCAATATCCACGCCTTTGGAAAAGTTTTCCAATGTTAGTATTAAAATCTACATAGGTAACTAAAGTTGAGTGTGTGTAATACCTTAATGTTATTGTGTTTACTTACAAGTACTTGTTTTTATTACAGAATCTTCTGAAATACCGTCATCCTTGTATAGTTCGATATGTATCTGCTTGGCAACAACGTTCTACTCTTCATTTAGCTACAGAATATGTACAGCCACTATCACATGTATTACGTTCTCAGACTCCGCTTCAAAGATGTATAGGTTTAAATAATATCTTAAGAGCCTTAGTGTTCCTACATGAACAGGTAAATGTGTATGTGATAGATGTAAAAACAAAATAACAGAGTAGATAATATTAAAGGACTATTAAAAAAACATTTAACTATCTTCAACAACAGTGGTCAAATATCATTATTTTTTAAAAGGGAAATCTCATAAGATATAGTCTAATAGTATTACTTGCTAATAGTGTTATTTAAAATTTCAAAATATCTATCCAGGAGATTTGAATAGGATAGCTAATAATATATATCATGAATTATTTATGGTTTGTAGACAAAATACGGGGCAAATCTGTAAACTTAAAAAAATATATATTTATAAATATATAAGGCACACTAAAATATATATTGTTTTTCATTACTGATCAACAGCTATTAGTGTAATTTTTAGGCTGGTATGAGTCATAACAATGTCAGTGTATCAGCTGTATATGTAACTGGTGATGGACAGTGGAAGCTAGGAGGATTGCAGTACTTGTGTCCAGTGAGTGAACTTACTTCTGCATATTTGAAACATGCCAGAATTCATAGGTAAATCAATTTTTTTTTATTATACTAACATGTTAATTAACCAAATATATACTTCAATGATTAGCAATGAACATAGCTTGAGAACTCTTGATACACATAGGGTGATGCCCTTTGTAAAACTTGCTTAAGAGAAGAACTGCACTTGCACTAATAGAAATTAATAAATAAATAATGATGGTGTATAACTTTTAAAATCTAATTGGAAAACTATCACAATAACAAAACCGCACTGGTGAACTGCACTTTGGGTGGTAGGTAATATATATAATAAATCTAATCTTACGATTCCTGTACAACTGGGTTATAGCAACCAAGCAGTGATTCAGTAATAATTTTATTGAATTGTGTAGTGGTATTGACTGCAATGTTATGCTTACAATTTTTACTTAAATTTCCTAGATAGTGTGCATAATGAAAAATTTTGATTGGTGGTTTTATTCTGAAATCAATTGAAATGAACTCTTTTTATGTTTAGATAAGTTAAGATAAGATTAATAAAGAAGTGAGATATATAACTTTAAACAACAACTTGTTTTAGGTATGATAAGGCAGTAGACCCCAATGAAGATTCATATGAGATTACTACAAAGGTTGACCAATATGGATTTGCAGCATTAGTAGATGATGTCTACAAAGACAGTAAAGATGGTAAAACAACAAAATAAATACCTACATGCTATTCTATGATTATATCATATTCATATCGCACCGAATAATTTATTTTCAGATGAAGTACCACATTTGAAAGAATTTAGAAAATATTGCAGAGATATTTTGCAACACCAGAATCCTGCGAACAGGCCCAATCTGTCTGAAGTGTTGGTGCATAATTTTTTTAATCATGAATTTATAACTATATATAAATTTCTGAACTTCCTACCATTAAAAACTGAAGAGGAGAGATGCCAGTTCTTCTCTAACATTTCAGACAATCTTAAATGTTATGATGAAGAAACTGTTGCAAAACAACTTAGTGGTCTTTTACTATCCAGGCTCACTATGTTAGACCAAACTGCCCAAAAAGACGTCATACCTTTTATTCTCAAGCCTAGAAATGGTAATTAGGTATTCTTTAATTAATGTATTATTATAAAATTATTTGTATTCTTATTAAACTGTTAAATAAATACCTATTTTTATTTTTCAGATAGACTAACTAATGGAGAAATACCAGGATTTTTCAGTCTTGGTGTTTTTAAAGAACATATAAAACCAAGACTGATGCAATTGTTTGGTGTAAGAGACAGTCAAATTAGAATGCTGCTTTTAAAACATTTTTCTAAATTTGTTCATGTGTTTTCACATGATGAGCTCTCTCAACATATTCTGCCAGAGGTAAATATTAAATTTACTTGATTATTTTTGTCCTGCATGGTATTAAACCCACAACCTCTGTTCACCACTCAGGATAGACTATCAGGCCTATTCCCATTTTTTTGTATCACTTATGTTATTATACACTTATATTAATTAGTAGCAAAAAATGCAAATCAATTAATAATTGTTCTAAGTTGGAAATGTGGCAGCAAAATACTCAGCACAGTATTCATTTTATGTAAAATATAAATATTAAATTATGTTTTTTTTCTGCCAATGGCATAAAACAAGAAACAAAAGCAAAATAATTCAGACATTAAAAGTTGTCTGTCTCTACTATATTTGAATTGATGTTTCAAAATATAAAATGTTTCTCTCTACTCTAAACTCCAATTTTTATCTCAATACATTTTTTCTCTTTATTTCAGTTACTTTTAGGGATAAAGGACATAGATGATAATTTGGTTTCATCAACTCTAATATGTTTAAGTGAATTAGTGCCTATCTTAGGAGCCAATACAGTTATTGGAGGGAAAAGATCTAAATTTTTCACAGATGGAAGACCTAACTCTAAGAGCAAGTCAATATTACCGACAGTTAGTCAAATACCTGACTCTAGTGTTTACATTCCACCAAAATCGTTACGAGATTTACCTTGTTCTGAAGATATTTATGTAAATGACAACAATGAATTAACAGCTTTTGAAAAAACGTTAACACTAAACGAAAGGCCTTCTCCTGTCGGTGGAGAATCCTTAGATGAGATTACGGCAACAGAAAGATCAGTTAAAAAGATTGACAGTGAAGAAGATTGGAGCGACTGGGATAATAGTCGTCAGTTAACTACGATTGTAACTCCAGCTATATTAGATGATATAATAAAAGAGGATCACATTCATAGGGATGTAATTGACGATAATTTAACGCAAATTTTTAATGCTGATCCTAAAATAACAGATATTAACATTATTTCAGATTCAAGGTCAATTCTGTTACAAAAAGCTGCTATAGAAGCAAAAAAGAACATTGTAGATATATCTGAACTAGATATAAAAAATCAAAAATATGATAATTCTAAAAAGAGTGGAGATGAATTTGATTTCTTTGCAGACATGACACCTGTCATAGAAAAACCAACGATTGTAAATATTGGTCAAGATAACAATACACCGCATGTTAGTAGCAAATTAAATTTCGTACCTGACGAAAGTGTTGATGAAAATGAGGGTTGGGGTGAAGGTTGGAATGACTAAAGTCAATTGATGTGTACTTCTCATGTCGTTATTGAAGGAATATTCATAAAATGTTGGAAACTTAAGAGATTAGTCAATCACACATCACACATCAACAGCGTTTAAGTTAGTCAATACTTTGCATATAAATTATTTGCTACCATAATTCTTCTAAAAACACTTAGATGCAGGTAGTGTATAATCTGTCCATCTGTTATAGAATAAGAGGCAAAACAAAATATTAAAACACTGCTTTATAAGTAAACTATTATATGTATATATTTTCACAATAAATAACAAAGGTAAATGTAAAATACATGTTTATGATGTGACATTTTGGGTTGTAATAAAGTAAAATAATTTACATGTGCAATAAATTTTTTAGATTGCTAATAGAGAAGTGTATTTGATCTGCACCTGTTTGTAAACATTATTTTTTAAGGTTGTTGTATAAAATTATTATATTTTAAAGGGTGACAAGCTTGTGACAAGATATAATAAATGTATCTAACGCAAATATGTCATAGGCGAATTGTAATAAAGAATAGATTTATTATTAATTATATATATATTTAAGTAACTATAGGACATACATATATCCTAATACAGCAAACTGTATAACTTGAAATCAATATATACATAATTACAAAAAGAGCACATGCTATGTATAAAACTTGTCTAATATACTTCAATTTCATCCTTGATAAATAAATTGAGTTTGATATTTTATGAAAAGAAAAATGAAATTAAAACACATCACCTTAAAAATTGTTATTGTTATTTTTTCTGATATCTCTTACACAGCCCAAATTATAGATTATACATTGCAATAAGAGTTGGCTTAGCCAAATAAATAATTATTTAAGATTGTAAAACATGGTTTCATTTTATTACAACAAATAACGAAAGTAAATGTTTATTATCAAACATATTTTAAGGTCTCAAACATTACCATAATATGGTATTTCTAGATCCTTTAAAAATAACAATTGTAAATATAAAAACATGGTAAAAACACTAACATAATAATACTGTAAGGGCCACAAAACTGGATTCATTTTTTTTTATTAACACAACATAGGTCCATGGCAAATAATATACCAGGCTTGTTTAACTTAATATTTATAAACAAAATTGTAAAGGACTAGAAGGAAGATCATTCAATATGAATATCAGTCACTAAATGGTGAGTAAAACTTACAACTAACTCTAGTAAATTGTTCTTATGCACTACAAAAGCATAAATCATGACTAGATAAAATGTTTTTTTTTCTTTTTAAGGAACTAAGTATCTTTCCTCTATGGTTACAATGATCTGAGATCTTCAAGCTAGAAAATGTGTGAAGTTTGTCAAGTTAGTATACTAGTCTAATCCCCATATCTGCACTGTTTATTAGTTCCTAATAAACTTATGGAAAAATTATGTATGTTGATATTGGCTGAAGCCTATGATATATGCCTGCAATTCTCTTAACATGATACAAACTTAACTTTTAGCAGTGAAGCTATCATTACCTAAACATAAATAATATGATTATTAAAGAAAAACTAATTTGAATTATTAACGATGAGATTCTAGGCAATACTTTCTATTATTTATTTTGCCAATGGAATGTTCAGGTGGGTAGTAAGGTTTAAATAGCAACTTTTCTTTGCATCACAAGGTCTTTGGAACTATCATGAAAGACTTCCATCATCTTTTGGCGAGTGCTTTCTGACAATGTTTCAACATCACTACTAGTCATTCCACTAGTAGGAATAGGAGGCAATGTTGTTATTATAACTTTTCCTGAAATAATAATTTATATTAGTGTTTCTGAAAGTTTGTACATTTCAAAATAAACTAAATCTTAACTACTTACCCGGTTCAAATGTTTTGGTCTCACTGTCAAGAAAATAGTACTGACTGAAGACCACTGGTAGAATTGGTATCTGAGCATCAATAGCTAAATAGAATGCACCTTTCTTAAAGTTCTGTATACTTCCTTTATTGAATCTTGCTCCTTCAGGAAATATCCAGAGCTTTGTCTAAAATTTAATCATGCCACAAAAACATACCTAATAAAATAAATTTTATCAAAAAATTATTTTAAAAGAAATAAATCACTGAATACCTACTCTTTCTTTAATCACTCTTTGAGTTGCTTTCTTCATAAGTTGGCGAGCTCTTTCAGTTTTTAATCGATCAATAAATACAAGACCAGAAAGCCAGGCGCCGAACCCGAAAGCGCCAGAGTACATTAGAGGTCTTTTCGCAACCACCGTGCAGCGCTTCATGCGAGGCCACATTTCAAACATACCTTTAAAAATACGTAGTGTTTTAATTTTATTCCTCAAATCTAAAATAGTAAATCCATTCCTTAAGTTACCAATTTAATTTACCTAAAATATCTAGCGAGCTTTGATGATTAGATATCACAATATAACATTGCTCATTATCCCAGTGTTCCAACCCCTGTAATTCCCATTCTATACCTACAATATATGATGCATATCTGCAAAATCTGGAAGCAACTCTGCCGACAAAATATTAATAAAAAAATTAATTACATTTTTGCACCAACTAATGAATCTATAGACAGAGTATATAAATAAATCGATATCTTACATTAGGTTTGTTACGTCGCGAGGATATATTAAAACCACTGGCAAAAGCACCGTACAAGTTATTAACACGTAAGCATAATACAGAAAAAACTTTAAGTAATATCGAAAGACATTACTTTTCTCATATAAAAATGGCAAGGTAAATATAAAACCCGCCAAAAATAATTCAGGATATGAATAAGAGGAAGCCATAGCGAAGAATTTAATAATTTGGCAGACGGGAAACATTGCTATAAGAAAAAAATTGTGAACATTGACACATTCATCGTAGTATTGGGTGAAATTTAGTTGTGTTTACGACAAAGAGTAGATAGATAAACTACATATTTAATAGTAAACACAATAGAAATAAACTAAATTCATCAATAATCCATTAACTTGATCACTGCATAGGTGCATAGGCACAATTTCTTCACACATAATAAACGTACGATACGTCTATGGGCCACTTTATTTTAGAAGCTGGTTTGCAAAATGGCAACTTTTTGACAAACTGTCATTTGTCAATTAAAAAGTTCTTTTTCTGGTGGTGTCCGTGGTTGGACGCCAGTTTCCTAAACCTTTATTAGGAATTTACTAAAATGGTGAGACTTGTTAATGAAATATAATGAATAATAGTTTGTGCGGTGAGGTTTTAAGTGAAATATGAAGTTATTTTACTTTTATTTAAAAGGATTGTGAAAATATAAATAGATGTTTTGAACCATGTCATTCAATTTAAACTCATTTTAATGTGTTTTAAAATATCAAATACGGTGGTAATAATTCAGGATATAAATCTTGAATTCTTAAGAGCCGTTAATTATTATGAATCAGTCTTACATACAGTGAAAGTATTCTACTTCAGTACATTTTCTAACCTACATGATGAAACACCGACACATGCGCGTCATCTGATGCTGCAAAGGAGACAAAACTGAAGAGTAGTTTCATGTTTTATGCAAATTGCTCAACTCAGTTTTGTTCGAATTTGCATCACTAATGATTATAAAGTGTCTCTGATTTTTGCGGTTATAACGCTTATACTGTGCCTAACAGTATGTAAATATATTTGTGCTAATAATTATAAATTTATAGGGTTTCGTGAAAGTTGTTAAGAATAAGCAATACTTTAAGAGGTACCAAGTTAAATTCAAGAGGCGTCGGGAAGGCAAAACTGACTACTATGCTCGCAAACGCCTCGTTGTTCAAGTAAGTCGTGTAAATTTCACCTTTAAGCTAATTCCTTTACAAAGTTTAGTATTCATAGCATGTGTTTTTTTAGGACAAGAATAAATATAATACGCCTAAGTACCGGCTTATTGTTCGTCTTTCCAACAAGGATGTGACTTGCCAGGTGGCTTACTCTCGCATTGAGGGTGACCACATCGTTTGTGCTGCATATTCTCACGAACTGCCACGCTATGGTGTTAAGGTTAGTGATATCTATCTTTATAAAAATGTCATTGTGTATGCTTCAAAAACTCAAAAAAATCTGTAACGATTGACCTTAAATTTTGATACAACATACAGCATGCTTCATAGGTGGTTTTCATTAACTTCTTCAACCAAAATGTGCTACATTGAAGAGTGGCAGATTACAGCTTATTATTAATAAATATTTACATTAGTCTCCTTAACTGATAATTTTATTATCTGCTACATTGTCTATATCTGTGTATATTATATGCCAGAATAGCTTGACAACAAGTACAGATAGTTTAATACTGCCACAAATATCAATGTATTTATTGTTAATAGAATCTTAACTCGTTAGATTTTTATACATGTACATGGTTTTGTTAGGAGTGAAAGGAAAAAAAGTAGATGTCATGTCGAAAAATGTACTTGGTAACAATTAGTTATATCAATTCATTGATTAAATTTGTACTCTGTGGCCTAAAATGCCCATACACAGGATGTTCGGAGGAACATTCTCATACGAAAAGAGGGGGGTACTTTTCCATCTGACAGGTCTTAAAATTTATGTGGTGAATATAGGAATAGAAATTTTTTAATGATGATTTTGAACGGGCGGTCTGAAGAGACGTACAAACTCATTAAAACTGTTGTTTTAAGTTCAACACTGATTTGCGGAAACTTATCTGTTTATATAAAATTTTACTTTCTTTATAATCATGTGTAGATTATTTCCAGGTTGGTCTGACAAATTATGCCGCTGCTTACTGTACTGGTTTGCTCCTAGCAAGAAGACTGCTCCAGAGGCTTGGCCTTGATACCTTGTACACTGGTGCCACAGAAATCACTGGTGATGAATTCAATGTAGAACCTGTAGATGATGGTCCAGGTGCATTCAGGTAAAAACTTAATTGTTCAAAAGAACATTATCTATAATATCTTGTTACAAATATTACGTCTAAAATGTAAATTCTAATCTTCTAGAGGATCTGTTATTTTTTATAGTTGAGTAATGATTGGCTGAAAATCAATTTTGCTTAAAAAAAATGATGAAATTATTACGGGCGGTCTGAAAGCACTGTACAATGCTATCTTTAAATGTTTAATCGTAATTTCTGATATCAATTGTTACCATAAAACTGAACAACATAATTGACACAATACTTCATGATTTGGCATATTTTTTAATTTCAGATGTTACCTGGATGTGGGTCTGGCACGTACCACCACCGGTGCACGTGTTTTTGGCGCCATGAAGGGTGCTGTTGATGGTGGTCTAAATGTTCCACACTCCATCAAGAGATTCCCTGGTTATGATGCTGAAGCAAAGAAATTTAATGCAGAAGTACACAGGTAAGACCTATTTATAACAACAAAAAATTTTGCTCCATTCATCCTCCAAATGAAAACTTAAATGTATTATTTGGACAGCCATTTTTGGAGCTATATCATAAATCAGGATTACTGGTTGTGATGAAAAATGTTTTGATTTTTTGAAACCAATCCTTATAACATTTATATTGAAGTAAAGCTTCAGTAGAAAAATATTAATTGTACACAGGTTGTTCATAAACCTTTCTTTGTTTATTCAGGGCCCACATCTTCGGTTTACATGTAGCTGAATATATGCGCAGCCTTGAAGCTGATGATGAGGACTCATTCAAGAGGCAGTTTGGAAAGTACATCAAATTTGGTGTTAATGCTGATTCTGTAAGTCTGAGTCTTTATGTATACGTCCATACAAATTACTGTTCTTGAAGCTGTACATGAGCAGTGTCGAAGATGGACAATATAAATTGCAATGTCAAGAGTAGTTTTAATCCTTTATGAAAAGGCTTAAAAGTTTTGAATTGCCACAGTTCTATTTATGTGTAGCAGAAAGCATTATTAAATTTGAACTGTATTCAAGTGATTGAAATCATAATTTTTTTGAAGGTTGAAGCTATCTACAAAAAGGCTCATGAAAGCATCCGTGCGGACCCATCCCATAAGAAGAAGGATGTACCCAAAAAGGACGTCGCTAAACAGAAGCGATGGAACAAGCGCAAGTTGACATTGGCTGAAAGAAAGAATAGAATCAAGCAGAAGAAGGAGTCTTACATCAAAAAGCTCCAAGCACAAGCAGAAGCTTAAAGGCGATTATATTAATAAAAGCCTTTGACTTTTATATTACTGCCTTTCACTATCAAAACCATATGTATTATTTAATATATACTATAAGAGACATCTTTCATCTTGAGCTAAAGATTTAAGCCTGTAAGGGCGGGGTTTGTTATCAATACACAACACGCGCGGACCAAGGTCAAAATGTTTTGAACTTATTCCGTGCGGGTCACAGCGCTGTTTTCTTAAACCAATTAAATCGACAACTGATATATAAGAAATAGACTGTTCGCGCTGAAAAACGAGTAGAAAGAGACAGCACCAAGCGTGGGTATCCATCTCTCTCGCACATTGCCAACAGTGGGGTTGGTTGCATCAGCTGAACCTTTCACCGAACGTCTCGAAAGTAAACCAATGGTGGAACTAAAAATTTAAAAAATATTTTTTACGAAATAGCAGTGTACGAGAGAGACAGGTAGACCCCAACAGCAAATAAGTAACGCAATAAAAGCTTAGATTTACGACAACTACTTACATTACGTCTTAACTGCCTGTTTCTGGTATATAATATAAACCAGAACCACTTAAAACACGAAGTGAAAGTCACTGAGACATTGACGTAGTGGCTCAGACTAACACTATCTGCAGGCCCGTCTACGTTGTACAGGTGCTCGAATAACTTAGGATATAAAAACACCATCGGAGCTCTACAAACACCAAAGAGTTACCAAAATGCATGTCTTGTCAAAATCACAAGGCGAAATCGTTAGATCCCTTCCAAATTCATGAGGGCTCGAAAATTTCACAAGAAATTCATGGTGGGTACGCAGTTTAGTAGAGTTCTTCTTCTTCTTCTTTTAATTCAGTGGCTCCATCTAGTAGAGTTGGATTGGGAAATGCTAGAAGACAAATTGACAAAGAGATGTCAAAATCGTTCCTACAACAAGATGAAAATGAGACCTACAAGGTGCACGCATTGAACCTAGAAATGCAGAATGATTGGTTAACTCTAGGAGAATTTTGTATCCCATCGGCTTTGAAATGGCGCACACTTTTATACGATTAGTTTTCGATTTAAAACGGTTACTGTTGATGATTATGTATTTCTTAATTGTAACTACATTTTCTTGATTTTACCGAGGTAGGGATCTAAACTGTGTAAAGATTTTTATGTCTGATTTACTGATATTGATATACTCAGCGATTTTAGTTGTAGTTGGTGTTCGACCAAGCAAAGGTATCACCTACCACTTTGCCAGCTCGCCTACCCTACACAAAAATGCACATGCATTCAAAGTGCGGGAGAGGTATAGTGGCATGGGGCCTGCTGACAATAACTACAGTCGGGGCATTAGCATGGAAATCCTAAATGACACAATAAGCTCTAATTCGGGTTACCTTAAATCCAGCTGGATTTAGTAGTAGTAGTCAATTTGAATTTTCTTTTTTGTTGCGGTAACGTTAATCTCCAGAAGAATCTAATGTTGATAAAGTAGTTGGTAAATTAACCAACATGTCCCTCTCCAAATCCTCGATACGCTGGCGTATTGTGTTGAAAGACTGGCTATTAGATTCATTTCCGTATTTTTAGTTTCTTGTGAGCCTAAGCCTTTTCTTTAATTTTAATAAGTAGAAGTCCACTTATTAACATTAAAGAAAATCAGAGTGGATATTTAATTGCCGCGCGTTTTTTTTTCGCGTTCTGAAAATCAAAATGCTCTTGTTTGACGTGAGCGATCACCCCTGTTTGTGGTTGACGATTGTTTATTTGTTTTTAACCGATTTTTGTTAGTAAAGTTACACCCACACGAGTGTGAACCTGGGTTACTAAGACCGAGTTCTAAAAAGTTTTAGGACAATGGTGCTAATTCTGTTCTTCGAAAACTCTAAACTAAACTAAAAATCACTGAAAATAAGTTTAGCCCTGTCAAATAACGTTAGGTATTCTGAAACTTAATATTCGACAGGACTAAACTAATTTTTAGTTTAATTTGGAGTGTTTTCAAACAACAGAATTAGCACCATTGACTCCAGTTCAGAAGCAATATGGTGGTTTGACAGTTGGCAGTGACAGATGTCATGTCATATTTGAGTGAAACGATTAAATCACATAATTTAATAAACCTGCAATACAAATTTAAATAAAAACTGTGCTAAGTTAGACTCTTCATTCGCTTGCATTGGTTGTTGATTTACTTATTACAGTTCACCATTAATAGTTTAGTCACATAAATGTTGTTTAGTCATAAATCAGAAAGAAGTACTTCAATAGTAACACTTTTTTTATTAAAAGTGACTGCGTTTGTTGAGATCTGCAGGAAAATAGAATGGCTAGTTCTGTAAGAATTGATTATAATATACAGAGATTGTGCCGACTTTGTTTTCTGATTGGAGAAATAGACCTTTTTTCGACACACGAGGAGGCTAAAGATATTCATGACAAAATTTATGAATGTTTTCAAGTTAGCTTACCTTACGAGAAGAATAAGCCTAGTTCTATTTGTAAGACATGTTTAGAAGAATTATATATCTCTCATAACTTCAGAGTAAAATGTCTCACTAGCAATGAACGTTTTAAAAAATATTGGAAAGAAATTGGGAAGAGCAATGCACACAGAGAGGAAATGTTAGCAGTTGCTTCTTCCATTTCCTATGAAGAGTCAGATACTGATAACAGCTATTATGTTCCAAATGTCAATCACATTACAAATAATACAACAAAACAAGGTGGGATTGTTATAGAAACAGATAAATCAGAATGTAATTTTAAATGCAACATGTGTAATAAGGTATTGAAGACAAAAACTTCACTTGTAAAACACTATACATCTATGCATGAGAAAAGAAAGCACATTGGCAAAGTATCTGGAAATGGTGCAGCTAGGAGATATCATTGCACAGCTTGTTCATACTCTACCCCACATAGTCAGACTTTAGTTAACCACATGAGGAGACATAATGGAGAGAGACCATACAGTTGTGAGTGTGGCAAGAATTTCACACAATCATCAAGTCTTGCAGCTCATCGTAAAACACATAGCACAGCACCATATTTTACTTGTGCTCTATGTGGGAAACAATTTAAACATGCATTTGCTATGAAAAATCATTTAAGAGTCCATGAAAATGGTATCTTTTCTTGTAGTGTTTGCTTTAAGACATTGAAGTCTAAACAGTCATTGCAATCTCATATACGTAGACATTACAACATCTGCAATTATAACTGTGAAGACTGTGGAGACACTTTTGTGACGTCATCAGAATTGCTAAACCACAGAAGAAAACACAGCTTAGAAAAGAATATTGAATGCCACTTATGTGGGTACAAAACTCACACCAAAAAGAATCTTATTATTCATCTTAAACGGTTAGTATTTCTCAAAACAACTTTTTTACTATCCTAGATAACGGCTCAAAACTGTTCCAGGCTTAATCACTATGTTCTATACTTAGGAGGAACTGTTATAAGATAAGATGTTGTTAGAAAGTTTTGATCTTTGGAGAAGGTGGCCTGAAACCTAAATGGAAGTGTCTCAGAACATTTCATCTCTTCAGTTCAAACCTTAACACCGATGCAATAAAAAAAAATTTCATTTTAAACAGTTGGAAACTGCTCCCAAAGTTTCCAACTGTTTAAAATGAATATTTTTTTGCCACATTTTAAAAGTGCCCGTGTTTGGTGGCTTGTTTCGAGTGTGCTCCAACCACAATCACACAGCACACTAAAAAAAAAAACTGACTATAGAGGTTACCCAGGTTGGATAGCACATTTTTGTGCTTGATGATTACATATTTATTAGACTTGCAACGAATATTCGGTTACTATTCGGTATTCGGCCTATTCGGCTGCTTTTATTATATTCGGCCGAATACCGAATATCTACATATTATTCGGCCGAATACCGAATACTTAAATAATATATTTTTTCATTGAGAAATAATTGGTAAAATGAAAAATTAAAATCGATTGATTACGTATATATTAATATTTTCATTTCTGTTATAATCATTTAAGTAGTCATGGGTGCATAACACAGGTACATAATCATCTTCTGAATTGGAAAAATGGAGGATTCTATGTATTTGAATTATTGTGGTAATCAAAATTTAGAAGGGTAAGGTTCTCATTTCTTTTATAATCATTTATTAAGTAGTCATTGGTACATAAAACAGGTACATAATTTAATAAACTAAAAACTTGTACAGACGTGAGTCTGTACAAGTTTTTGGCGCTAAAATCCAGCCGAATACTTTTGCCTAATATTCGGCTATTCGGTCAGGGGCCTCGCCGAATATTCGGTATTCGGTATACTGCCGAATATACTATTCGTTGCAAGTCTAATATTTATGTTAATACAATTGAATAATTCTAACTATAATTATTTAATTGTACTATATTACTAACATTTATTACATCATCTACATGGGTATATTAGTAATAATATAGTTTGTCTATTCTTACTATAAAGCTTTTATTTGCAGGCACACAGGCAACAGATCTTTCAAATGTAACACATGCCATGTAGCATTTTACACGCAAAGCAACCTTCAAAGGCACCAGCGCGTGCACACTCGGGACAAGCCTTTCTCCTGCCCTACATGCAGTCAGAAATTCTCCTACAGCCCCAGTTTAAACAAACACATGAAAACCGTTCATGGAGTTGACTACAAATGGGCAGATTTTAAATGGAAAGGGACAAAAACTTCAAAATTTAGTATGAAAACTGATGTGATGACTTGTAATAAAACATAACTTAAACATAGAAATTTATTTTTTATTGATGCCAAAGCAAAACTTACCTATATAAAATCTTATAATACTACAATCTTGCATTCTAAATAACATTGTAATGAGATTAAAATGTCAAATAATTTAAAGGTCACATGTAAAATATATAACTGAAATGATGTTGTTGACAAATATAACAGACCAGAATTAGTCCAATATGATTGAGCATACTTCTAAATTATAGTGTACATTCTTTTTTAATGATTCATTGCTATAGATGTCCTTATTTTAATAACATGTCACTACTACACATAATAAGACATTTACTATAACCCTAAATCCCTTCTAACAGCTAAATAAGTATAAAAGTTTAATTGGTTTTAAATTGAATAATATTTCAATGTCAATTAATAAAGAACAAGTTTTTTTTAGTTAATTATTGTTATCAAGTGATTGAGGGTTTCTAAAATAATTGTCAATATGGCTTAGTACTAGAAGGGCTTATTTTATAATTCTAATCCTCTTCATAATCTTCGTCGTCAGAAATGTATTTGCGCTGTTTTCTTTTTCGGGATGGTGTGCTTTTAGTTTTGCCCTTTAATTTGATTTTCATCTTCATGGACCGATTAGACTCCCCGTCGGAATCATCTTCATCTGTAAACAAATTGTTTGTATGTGAAAAATATACACATGTTATAAGTTCTAACGACATATGAAATGTCCATATCCCATCAAGTACAATGATAGAAGCAAACCAGATAAACTCGTGTTTTTAATTTAAAAGGCGGGGTCATTACAATTTTTCAAATTATCAGACTTCTGACGCATGTAGTCCCGCTCCACGGTATTACGAAATACATTAAATAGATTATGTAAAACAGGACTTAAATAGATTATGTAAAACAGGACTTAATTAGAAATTAAAAACAATTATTGGACATTAAGTTCCGGCAAATAACTCATTCATAATGTAATCTATATCAACCGTCACATGGCTAGTTGAAGCATCCTCTCGTTAAGCTAAAGGGATATATATATATATATATATATATATATATATATATATATATATATATATATATATATAGCATCTAGGAAATATAAACCACCATTTCCATCATCGATTGCCTTCATGGAAATATCATAAACTTCCTTTTGTTGGGAATTCAACAGGGGTACATTCGTTTGAACTACTAAATCTAATTCCCGGTGATCATATTCACATCCCCGTTCCAATTCTCGATTAAATGCGTCATTCATTTCACGATTGGGCGCTGGCATTCCTAACCTGATTAATAAACTACCGCACATGAGGTAACACATATCTTCGATCAAGAGTAAAGCACGATTATGTATCTCCTCATTCATCTCAACATCGTGATTTCTGGTAGTGATACGAATTTGATGTAAAATATCTTCTGACATATTATCCTTATATTTGTGCCCCAGGTTACATGGGTTTGATGGAAAGTATGTCGAAATTATGGTAGCGAATAATGTGCGTATCTGACTTGGAGATGCAGAGATAATGGCTTCAGCGATTGTCGTATCCCAATGGGTATCGTTTTCTAATAAGTTCAGTTCTTCACATGCAGCACGATATGTTGGGAATATTACACCATTAACAGTCCGTAGTGTCTCAAATGACGTCGGCCCACGCACATTTACCAGCAACAACCGCAAATAGAAACATTCATCATTCTTTGGATGAACTGCATACATACGACCAAGAGCATCAGTAGAACGCACATCCGGATACCCAGGTACCGCATCGCCGTGCTTTCGTCTTTGAAAATTCTTCGATGAAGCATTCCAAGTATAATAACGTGGCATCTCCGAGTAAAGCAAAGTTCGTGCAAACTTTGTTTTTTTTTTTTCGGAATAAATAGTATCCTCTGTCCTTCTCCTGGCTCTCAGCTACCTCCTCACCAATTTTCAGCCATATCGGTAAAGTCGTTCTTGCGTTATAAATAGTGTAACTAACACGACTTTCTTTTATATATATATATATATATAAAGTTTGATATATTTTATATATATATAGATGTATATACTTAGGGCATACTGTAAGTTTCTGGATTCTGATAAATAAGACTTACGATACGTTTATTGTTTTTGTAAGTATACTCTGCTGAAACCAGTGTACAAAGCAGTTGGACCAGTCTTCCTTAGGGACCTCTTCAATGGTTTCATAGAACGCATTCACAGCCGATTCAGGGCTCATAAAAGGTGTGTCTTTAGAGACACACCTTTTATGACTTAGGTTTGTCTTTAAATTTTGGAAACAAAAAACAGTCGACGTCCAGGCTGTAAGGCGGATGTGCCATCAGTTCCACATTTGAAGCCTTCAAATAGGCTTCTGTTACCTTAGCGGAATGTGAGGATGCGTTATCGTAGTGAAGGAGGACATTGCTTCGAGGACGCTTTACGCGAACTTTTTCTAAGACTGGGCAAGCAAGTCTTGACTTACCAAACTGCAGTTACTGTTTTTTGATCTTCAAGCTATACTGCAGTGTAATGTCCTGAGTTGCCGAAAAAAGTAGCAACAATTTTTTTACCAATGTTTCGACTGTCTTTTAAAGGAAAGACCCACTCTGCCAACCGGCTTATTCTTTTGGGTTCAAAGCAGTACACCCAGGTTTCGTCACCTGTTTTTCTATCACTATCATAGACATAGATAGCCAATGACTGTCCTCCGTTAAACTTTTTTATCATTTTATAGCACCCCTGGACATAGTCGTTTCTGGTCCTCCGTTAAGTTATGCGGTATCCATCGACTGCAAAGCTGCCGAACCTTCAGGTGCACATGTGAAATGTTTTGCACTTGGCTCATTCAATTGCCTAACAAAGCACGAATTTGCTGGCAAGATTTTTTTTGTCAGTTTCAATAAGTTATCGTACGGTGTCAATATTAGGGTATGTAACCGCAGTCGCCGGCCGACCTTCACGTACCTCTTCATGGAGATGATCACATCTACGTCTGAATTCTCTAAACCACGAATACACAGAGCTGCGACATGGTGCTTCATCACCAAATGCCAATTGAAGTCTTTTTTAACTCTCTAGTGGACTTAAGCCACAATGAAAATCATAAAAAATCATTGAACGAAAATGTTCAAGAGTTAAATTCATTTTGATAGTGACAGACAATTCTCGAAAGGAAAGCACAATGAAAAAACAAAAGGCTCGCAAATTAAAAAGGCGCATATTCCCAGTTCCATTTTCGAAATTCCTTAACTGTTTTTTCATTATTTTATTGTAAGTGGGCAAATCCAGAGACTTTCAGTATGCCCCACGTATACAAGGAGAGATGGCGGGCGATTGTAGGAAGGGCTGTGTCCGCCTCTGCCGCTGGCGTGGACGTCTCAATGTGACCACGACCGCTCTGTCAAGAGCGACACGACGATGAGGAATAATATATATATATATATATATATATGACCATGCCTCTACACATTTTTATATCACTAATTATATAAATATAAAAAAAATACTAACCTTTCTCATTTTCATCAGAATCATCAGAATTTTGCCCGCTCTCGTACCGGCGGCGGATCTCTATGAAGACGTTGCGTAGGCGCACAGAGTCTTCATAAATCAAAGATGCCTCTTCGTTATACGTCTGAGCGTTAGCGCAAAGTGTGAAAAAATCACGCTCCAGATCCAAAATATCTTGGTACTGTAAAGATTTAGTTGGGTTTAACATTAAGGTAATCCATGGTTTTTAAACATATTAATCCAATACGAGTTTAAAAGATATTTTATGTCATCATTTGTTGTTTTAAATTATATCTCTGGAAAATGTATGAACTAAAATAACTGACAACCTGCACCCTGCGACACAAACCATTGCCACTTTTGGCAATTGAGCCAGCAGTTCTCAACTCCTTGAAGCAGTCAATTATTTTGTTATAATTTTCATTCTGCCTCATATTGTTCAATACCTTTAAACGTAAAAGCTTAAGTTCAATTTGTCAGTAGTTCTTATACGACCCTAAAATATTACTACATTTTTAGGTAATACATTGTATGTATATAAAAGTATGACCTACCTTGCCGTCTTCAATTCTGTTCATAATTTTCTTGATATCTAATGGTTTCTTGATGACGTCGTAGTAGTCTGGTAATTCGCGGCGCGATGGCAGCTTCATAAACGGCTCGGACAGAACCCGACCTCCCCTACAACATTTGATTTATGTCAATCGGACCAACAAAACATCGTTCAAAGACATAGAATTCCTATCACAGTAACAAGTTGCTTATTACTTACTCATCTGAGTAGTCAATAACTTTCTTCATAATATTTTTCAAACGTTTCTTTAGTTGGTTGAGCTCAGTTTTACTCTTCTTTTTGGAGGAACTAGGCACTTCTTCTTCATCGGAGTCCTCTTGATTACGACTGCAAACATAATTTTATACAAATACAAATAATAAATTCCCTAGACAGGAATCACTTCTGAAATCGTAAAACTAAGATTTTGAAGACAGTGCTACATTAAAAAAAACTTCTATATAAGGAGTTTATAACTTTGCTACCACATTTATTGATAGATTACAAGGAGGCAATAGGTTGATACTATGCTAAGCTATGTTTTATTTACCAGGTGAAGGTTGAAAGAAACCTTCACCAGGTAAATAAAACATGAACCCAACTGCAGCAAAGGCCAAAAGTTAGGTTTTTAACTGCAATAAGTTACTATGTTCATTTTATGAAACACTAAGTAATGTGTCTAAATTGCAGGACTTGCAACTTATAAAATTTAAATGGATTATTTATAAATAAAATTTATTTATTATCTATTTATCATAGCACTAATTATAATCATATTTTTGCAGTTAATATAGTCAATGCGTTTGTCTCACCGTCGCTTGCGTCCCTTCTTCCGTTTCTTATCCAGCACTTCGTCATCATCATCTTCCTCCTCTTCTTCTTCAAACTCATCATCAATTGCTTTGAGCCATTCTTTCTCTGTGAGTGAGTCAGTGTAGTCAACTTCTTTACGCTGACGCGAACCTCGGCCAAGGATTTCGTCATCGTCTAAGTGCCACCCTTGGCCCTATACAACACAAGTAAAGTTGTTCTTTTTTTAAGACCACGTACTTTTAGGTATTTAATAATTAAAGCTAAGCACTTACTCATATTTTTACTTTTTGATACATTTGGTTTTTTAAGGCATTTTATTATTTATTGAAAAGTTCAATAAATAATAAAATCATTAAATTTGGTCTACCAAAAAATTTTCATTTTTCTTTTATTTTATTATATTTATTTTGTAATTTCACCATTCGTTATGTATTTGAGGTATACCATATGAAAATGCTTTTTTTAGAGGTATGAAAAAGGATCATAATGTGCTGCACCTTACATACTATGGATAACTTAAAAGGTAGGTATATATATTTTTTGCTGCACAACTGAGATACTTTATTAATGCACTTAACATTTGCTTCATTTGTGTTGTGAGCTACCGGTATAATAATGCGGATTTTTAAATGTGATTAATGAGACAGTTTTATCATACTTGAACTATTCCAAGCATATTTGTTCGTCGGCCCATATGTTACATTGTTGCTTACAAATATGAAAATCAATAATTTTAATTTACCTTATTGCAAACAACTTCATCATCTTCCTTGACAAGCCAATCTGGCAGCTCGGATTCTTCGACCAGTCGCGATTGAGTCTCTGTCTTCTTCCGCTCTATGTCGATCTGCTTGAATATCTCTAGTTCTTCCTCCGAGCGGGCGATCATCTCATTGATTAGGTCGTCGTCTGGAACTTCATTCTCTTCCTATTGACAATATTTAATAAATGTACATACATTAGACATTATTCAATTATTTGAGAGAGTAGTAAGTGGCGAATTAATTAATAAACAAATGTATAAACAGAAACAAACCTCTTCATCATCTCCATCTTGATGCAGAATGCTCTGAAGGAATTGTTGACGCTCAGAACCGGTGGACTTTTGATCGAACATACCAGCCTGGATAACTTTTTCATCCATGTTTAACTTATATCTATAAAGAAGGTATGAGTTATTTACATAGACGGTTTACGGTTACTTTACATGAATGAAAGTCTAGTACACTCTGATACAATATATATGCAAAACTTTTGTAGTGTTCAATTGAATACAGCTCATGAAAAACAAAAACATGTAATAGAATAACATGAAATTAATGAAAGCTAAAACTTTTGTATTGTCATACATTAGTTATAAACAACGAAATATTAATGTACACATGAAATGCGCTTTTTATTATTTTTCGTTTTAACTACGAATTTATAATTCTTTTTAATAGTTTTTGTATTATTTTGACTGCTTAGCCGCCTATCTATGTCATACATACCTAGCGGCCGCAAGAATTCGTTCTTCCACAGAGTTTACCGTCATAAGACGCAACACGCGCACTTCGTTGCGTTGACCAATACGATGGGCGCGATCTTGCGCTTGTAGGTCCTATAATGTACCAGAAATTTAATTAAATAAGCATTTTAAAAATATATTATCATCAGCATCACATCAAAAGCCTATAATAGTCCACTGCTGGACATAGGGCTCTCCATAGAAAGGAGGTATTGGCCTACTATACCAGGCTGGCCATATGGGTTGGTATTATTGGGGTTTATTTTAAGTTTTCCTTCTCTTTGCAGCGTTGTCTTGCGTAATTTTTTTTTTTTTTGTTTAAAATATAGCATAGGGTTTATTATACACCTGTAAAATGCATCATATTAAGCTTAGTTTGGGTCTAGTTCGCAGTGTATAATATATCCTAGAATTTTACTGAGTGTCCTACTATTATTTACCTGATGCGGATTCCAGTCTGAATCGAATATCACGACAGTGTCAGCGCTTTGTAAGTTGAGGCCGAGGCCTCCAGCACGCGTTGATAACAGGAAAATAAAGTACTCTGAGCCTGTCTCATTGAATTTCTTCAGCAGCTCCCCGCGGTCTTCAGCCTTTGTCATACCGTCCAATCTGTGGTTTATTTAAGAAAAAATAAGCTTAAATAAAAAAAATATCTTCAATTTTAAGAGTGAAAATACAATAACGGTCTATTACTGTAATTTTCTATCTCAGTAAAAAGTTTAAGGTATCACTGTTAATCGTAAACATGATGCACTGAAAACAATATTATCCAGGGAAAGGTTATCCCTTATATTTTAATACAGAATAGGCTATTTGACTAAGTCTAGAAAATGTTTTAAATTATTCTATACATGATATTGTACATAGAACATTCATATTGCCTGGAAATTAGATCTATTTGTATTTAAAAATCGCTACTCAAGGGTAAGTGGGGGAGGGGACAAGGTAACTAAAAGAAAAAACTTAAAAATGCAAACTTAAAATCGGTCGAAGGAATACACAAATTGAGATTGTTTGTTTTGTTCACTTCATATCTTTTAATCTATGGTTCACTTTTGACAGTTATGACTATTACGGTGTCGTCACAGACTTGTGTCCAATCATAGGATGTTGACTTAATTTCACTCACCTTAAATATTGGAAACCCCTCCAAGAAAGGTAATCTTCAATGATCGTCATGCACTGGGTCATTTGACAGAAGACTAGAACTCGATGGCCCGTCCTCTTCAGTTTAGGCAAGATGCGGTCCAGTATTTCAAATTTACCAGACACTCTGTATAAGTCAGGCCTGTAAAAAATTTACAAATTTGATTTAAATCAATTATAATGTTGTTTTTGTTTATATATTATGATGTGATAATATAGGAGACAAACGAGCAGTTCGGTCACCTGGTGGTGAATGACTACCGCCACTCCTAGTAACCCACAACGCAAGAGATACAAGTGTGCGTTAGCACCCTGTGAGCAAACCCACCAACGCACGCACTCGACACGCACTCGCACTTTTCTGTGAGGCCGCTGTACACTCTGGTTGAGCCGACCCATGTGTACCGAAACATGGCTCTCCCATGGTTACGATCGCTATCATTACTATGGCGTTAGTACATTTTGAATAGGAAAAATAAATTATTTGACATGTCCTAATCTTCATGATTTGTAGTACATAATATAATAATAGTTTATAATGCTTATCCAATTAATTAATAATAAACTTATCGAATCAATAATTAATAAAAAAAAATACAGACGCAGATTATTTATAATAAGAAATAATCAAACAAAAAACTAACATTAATTAGCAGTTTGTTTTCAGGTTGTTGTTAGTTTTTTTTTTCAGATAGAGGCCGTCGATTTTAAGGCGTTGATATGAATATTGCGAATTGAGATGACGTATGTTAAATAATACGTATTAATTGGTAGGTAGTGAGTACGTACCCACTGACGACATTTCCGCTGGACCCAACATGGTCACAGAACTTCTCCTCGATGTGCTGGAACATGAAGGGGTGGTTGCACAGCTTACGAAGCTGGACGATAGTGTTCATAAGAGCCTTTGCACCGCCCTTGCCCTTGTTGCCTTTCTCAGAGCCATCTGTTAACAGGACCCCCTTGGACTGCATGTGCCTGGGCAAATAGAAGGTAAAATATAGTTACAACCTCGATTTCGACCTATTCTCATTTCGAAAGAAATTTAATAACAATGCAATGAATTTAGAAATTAAATTATTTCTCTTTCATAATTATATTTCTGTCCACCACTAATCTATATTAAATTTAACTTTGTGTTGTCTAAATATATTTAAAATAATATATTACTGCAGAACTGCTACAAAAATATATAAATATATATCCTATCGCAAATTCATATATTTAACATTTGATGAGAATAATAAAGTGAGCCGAATAAATTTAAATGTTGAAAATATAAAGACTTGTTAAAAGTAAATTCCTTAATAATTTAAGTTCACGAGATAGGCTGTTTGCAGTTAATACATGACGAATATAAAGTTACGATTCTATTCCTAAGGAAGAGTTGCGAAATCATAGAGATCGTGAATTTTACCTCCAGTGACAATAGTAATGCATTTATAGAACTATAGCTAAACTTACTTGTACAGTACACGTTGTAAACCACTCATGTCGCACTTGATAATGTATTCGACCTTGTCGGGCAATTGACTTTCTACTTCCTTCTTCAATCTTCGTAACAAGAAGGGGCGTAGAACTTTGTGCAGACGACGGATAATAAGGATTGTTTCTTCCTCGTTGAGCTCCACCTGTTTTATTATCATATTGGTAAGAAGACATATCTATAAAGCATCCTCACTGCATTTACAGGTTTTGGTCAAAACTTATAACAATAAGTGTGACTAAGTTTTCTAAAACCTATTTAAATAGGTAGATTTGTGAAAAGAGAACCGACAAATTATCATCTTTGCTTGTATCACGAAAACAAAAATGCGAACGTTGTGATGTATATTTTAAACATTTAAGCATTTTTTAAGTAATACTAATAACTTCACACATCTCACAAACGGCCGTCTGATCCCAAACTATGCAGAGCCTGTGCTATGGTAACCAGACTGCTGATAAACATAGGTGAAAGATTAATTTTAGTAGTATTTAACAATGAAAATATTACTTAATGTTATGACTACATTTCTTAATATATATATTTTTTGCAAATTACTATACTGATTTGTAGTAAAGAGTTAAGAATGTAACCTTTTCTCCTGTTGTAGCAAACGGGGCATTAAACCATTGTTCGAAAGTAGAACAACTCTTGAATATAGACGGAAGCAGAAAATTGAGTAACGCCCACAGCTCTGGGAGCTTATTCTGTAGCGGCGTGCCCGTTAGCAACAGACGGTGCGGCGCGATGTAGTGCGTGTTTAGAACTTGGGTCAGTTTGCAGTGGTGATTCTTCATACGATGTCCCTCGTCAATAATCATGTATTTCCATTGCACCTATTAAATAATATAACAATTAGAAATGACCGTGAAGGTTCTAACGTGAGTAACACATAACTAGTTCTTTGTTGTTTTTGTATTAGGTGGTGCGTTCACGTCGGTAGTGCATTGAATTGATTTCGAACCAACGCTACAGCCGTAAAAGTTATTCAGTAAGTCCAGGTTTCCCTATAAGGCTTTAGTGATGCGAGTAAAGTATTTGCCAGATAAGTATACAAGTAAACTTGTACTTAAGGTAATTACTTTAAATTTATTATTTAGTTTTCAATAACAACGTCAGACTAACCTTAGCCAGCACAGCTTTATCCTTGATTACATACTCATACGTAGTTAGCAATACGTTAAACTTAGTGGAGCGCATTTGAGTCTGTACCAAACGGCGCGACTGAGGGGAGCCCTTATATGAGACTACGGTCACTGTCGGGGCCCACTTTTCAAACTCCAACACCCAATTCGACAGTGTACTGAAAATCATAATTACAAATAAAAACATTTTATGCCTATTTAATTTGCACGTGATATGGCAGAACCTTATTTCGTCAATACATAATCATTGATAATTTCTTTCTAAAACAACTTTCTAAAAATTATATTAAGTCATTTAAATATATTTAACAATATTTTGCCCAATTAAAAATGAATTTACAAACATAAATTGTGTGAAATCACCTCAATTGGTAAATTCGTTGATAACTTGTGTAACAAGATGTGTAACGGGCTAGTTCGTTATGTGGTTAGTGATCGTGACTGCTAATTAGCAAGCCAGACTTGATGGGTTTGATTGCCTCCGAAGACAAATGAAGAATTGTTAAAAAATTTGAATGTTTATATTTAAGCACTGATATAATGACTTGGTAAACCTAATTTTAAAAATAAAATAAATAATATTTCGTAATATTAAAGTATGTTTATCAGACTATTTATTTATTTTTTCAGTAACAATTGTGTCTACATATAACAACTTAAAATAGTGAGAAAAGAAAGGTAACATATAATCTCTTAAAAACAATTTACATTAAAAGCATATACGATTGTTTTTTTTTATTTTGTTAAAAAATAATGTGTAATAATAAGTGCGTAATGTCAAATAGAATTATCATGTTAAAGGAAACCAAATATCACACAATAATTATGTCAATATCATATCACTGGGATTTTTATGTCAGTCATAAGATGATAAGTAAAATTTTTCAAATAAAAAGGCTTTAACTCTCTTTTTGAATGCTTGTATCTTAGGGAGAAGCTACACGATGCGCCTAAGTGGTGAGGCTGCTGCGTAATACTTACAAATGTCCATGTTATCACATGGTCTCACACGGGGCTGATTGTGTGAAATGTATTTATGTGCTTGCTCGCATCCTGTATTTTTTCCGTAATTTTATTTCAATCGTAAGTTGTAAAATGAGTAAGTAGTTTTAAATATGTGTACTAAATTACCTTAGGGGCACTATAATAAGGAAAGGCCCATTAACTTTCTTCTTTTCCATTAGGTAGGTAACCAATGCAATCGTTTGGATGGTTTTGCCAAGACCCATCTCATCTGCCAGGATGCCATTCAAGTTGTTGTTGAATAGTGAAACCAACCATTCCAAACCCTAAAACAATACATAATTCAAATATTTCACCTCTACCAGGATTGGTCAAATAAATACATACTTTTTACTATTCATAGGATCAAAATTGTATATCTTAGGGCCTAATGTGAGGTTTTTTCACATCAACCCGCTCTCGACAGCGAGAACTTTCGATTTCGCGGTCACCGTGACGATCGAGTTGATGTGAAATAAACTCACACTAGGCCCAAATATGTATACTTACCTTGATTTGATATTCTTTTAGTTTTCCATTAACAAGAATGCTAGCCTGTTCCGTGACAGACTCGTGGACCGTGTGAGCAATACTGAAAAATAAGTGTACATAATTATATACAATAACTGAATGAATAACGTTTATCACAGACGACAAATAGGATGTAGGTGACATACAAACATACACTATTTATTTTGACTATAAACAATATTTATACGTATATATTTAATTTTTATTTACAATGTACAATATATAATTCAACACACATTATAAATAAACAAATATTACATTATTATAACTATTAGTATTTATCCACAAACATTTTCTACACGGCCGACGATGTTACAAAATGTAGGTAGCACCACGAGTGACAACTTGCGACCGTCGCGATATAGTATTCGGTGCCGTGCAAAAAATAAATTGATAGTTATTATAATATCGATCCCTACAGTTATTTCTATATCGTTAATCGTCTGTGTATTCTATCTGTTGTGTTGTATATATTTCCTACCGTTTTAACTATCTTATTGTGCCTTCTAAGGATATTGTAATTTTTGTGTCGTGTGTGTACGGTGAACATTAAAGCTATACCAGTGAACAGGATTGTTTGTTTTATAACTAACCGTAAGTAATCAACACCAAAAAGACTAAACTGGTATAGCTTTAATGTATAGCGTTTATGCTAGTGCGTAGTGCTATAACTGGTATAGCGTTTATGTTATGGTTGTCGTTGTTCGTTTTTAACACTTGCTTGTATTAAGAAAAATGAAAAGTGCAAAAACTACAAGACATATGTTTAAGCGTAGTGGTTTAACCGGTCGCCACGCCGCTTCCTACGACACTTTGTGTGATCCACAAATTGTTGTTCTGAGTCTGGGTGTACTTTGTCTCCGTTACATGTATGTTTGTAAAGTCCCCCGCAACACAGGATTTATTCCTAGTGCGGGCGTTGTCTTTTGAAAAAAAAAAAGATTCTAATACCTGTAATAAGTTTGTTCTTCCGTTTTATACTCGTCGTCTTCGACTTTAGCCTTTTTGATCATATCTTGTGCCTTTTCTTCTTCTGTTTTGTCCTTCTCGCTTCTCTCGTCTTTATGTTTATCTTTTCTCTTTTCTGAAGAATAGTAATAAAATAATAACTTAAAAGTATCTATAATACTTATAATTCCTGTAAAGAAGCCATATCAAAAGTCGGAAAGCACAAATTAAGCACCAAAAAGTCCCTTTATCTTATGGTATAGGGGGCAAACGAGTAGCAAGGTAACCCCTGATGGTAAGCGACTACCGCCGCCCATAGACACACATAATTTAAGAGACACAAGTTAAGTATCCCCACCCCCCAAATTAGAAAGGGATGAGGTATGAGCCTCTGGTAACCTTACTTATTCGGTGAAAAGCTACAACAGAATTACTTAACACCGGTTTTCTGTGAGATCATGGTACTACTCTGGTCAGACGGCCCACGTGTGCCGATGATAGATAGGTAGAAAACTCTTTATTTGTATACCGTTTCACAAAGTAGTAAGGTACATAAAAATGTCAAACATGTAATGTACAAAGGGCGGGTTTATTGATAAGAGCAATTTCTTAGTATCGTTCTCCCACGTTAAACTTTCACTAAACGTTCTGTAACTAACCATCATCATCCTGGCTATCATCACCAGAATCTTCAGAATCTGACAGTACTTCCCATCCAGGGTGAGTCTCCATCCAGTCTTTAAGCTGAGATAATAGTGGCGCGTCCTCTCCTTTCAATATCTATAAAATACAATGAGGTCAAATAAGCGTAATTTATTATTATAACTCCGGATATATGGATATCCGCATTTATAATATAAATGGATATCTAAAGAATCAAAAAGTTTCATGTTGGTCTTAAGGCGAATTCTCGTAATAACAGTTCGGTCTCAATTCAGTTCCGATAAACTTTCAATCTCACAACTGTCATAAAATATATATTCGTAGTAAGTAATAGTAAGGTGTTACTAAGACTAGCAGATTACTCATTCAATTTTCAGTTACAATACAATACGATGTAATCACATTACAGTCAAAGTTGGATGTTTAATATTTTTCTACGAAAGTACCTTTTATGACAGTTGTGAAATCGAAAGTTAATCAGAACTGAATTAGGACCGAACTTTTATTACGAGAATTGGCCTTCTGATCATTTCTTTGTTGTTAGATCGTGAACGGCTATTTCATTGTTTGATATTTTACCACGTTAATGGTATTCTAAGCGTGCAAGGGTAAAAGAAAAGTAGTAATAAAGATAAATTTAATAAAAAAAAATACTTTAATATTTGCTATAGTGGGTTACCAATGTTATAGTCACGAACCTTCCAGAAAAGTTCATTGACGGCACGACACTATGAACTTTATTAATCTCGTATAAAAGTATGATATGGTGGGCGATAGATTCTCGAAGTTTTTTACATTTAAAACGATTTCTCGATTATTAGAAACACCTTTTGATAACTTAGTAGATAAATGAAATTGCTAGGTCTAGTGAGTAGTATAAATACAGGTACGCCTTTGCTGGTAAGACAGTTCAGTTTGAGCTACAGTGCGATAAACATTGGCACTCATCAAAGCGAATAAAAGTAGACTGAGGAGACTGAGGAGACTGAGGAGACCTCAAACTTCATCATACCGCCCTTTTGGTTTGACTTGTGGGTGAAAATCTTTTAGGTCCGCTGCGCAGTCTATGTGACTACTGTAAAATTATTCCCGATCATCAGTTCGACAAGTTTTAAGACCTAATGTATAAAAAAATGTGGTTCGTACACATAATCGCAGATTATGTCTGTATTTGATATACATATTGATATACATATACTGAGATACATATTTATTTTTATCGTGCAGGCACATCCCTGATAATAATTGGAAGTAAGTACATTAGCCACTAACCTCGCCCGTTTTCGGATCCATAACGCCTACCCTAGAATCTGATGTTTGAGAGCTATCATCCATAGCATCTATTTCGCCACCTTCTAGCAGCTTCCTCTTCCTCGATTTCTGTTAAGCAAAAGAAAGTAAAAGACTTCTAGAAAGAAATAGAAATCTAACCAAAATAGGTACTTTATTTAACCTTAAATGCTTTATATAACGTTCAATCCAGATTTGACGGTGACTCGTACAACACAACTTACGTTTACTTATTAATTTTGACGTATTCAAGAGAAAATATGTTGTAAGTATAAATATGTATGTTGTTGTCAATACACCTAAAAGGGACTGAAAATCTTCCAGTTCCCTAACCAGATTAGCTGCAATTGTGGTCGGCTATACAACAACTTGCTTTGAAGTGTTGTGGAATGCAATAATTAATATTTATTGAACATAAAAACTGGAGGTTTTATAAACATATGCTGGTTTGTTAATAGAAACTGCTATACTCATGATGAAAAAAATATGGTTTATGGTACTTTAGTGACTGCTAAATGTTTGACCTTATATATTTTAGGCCAAAAATTCACTCACTAATGAACTAACACAACACAAGCCACAAGCCACTGCCATCATAGATGGCACCAAATCAGTTCGTGAGATAATAGTCTTGATAAAGTAAAAAATATTATTAGAATCTACATCAATGGCAATGATAGGAACGTTTATATACCCTTTTTCTCCGCTCTTCCTCTTGTTGCTTTTTGCGTTGTTCCTGTTTGTGTTGTTTGACCATCTCCGTGAGACTGGCGATATACTCGTCTGTCTGCGACAGGAGGAATGCCAATCGCTTGTCTTTCTTTTGATCGATAAGCTTGCGGTAACCCTCTTCGTCTTCCGCCATCAAACTAAACAAATAATATAACCATAAACAATACAAAAGAACCCAGTACCCTGAAAATTTCACACATTACATTTTATTTAGTTATCGGGTGCAGGCCACTGATATCCATAGTCTTTACCAGGCCAACAGTTATCGTAATCGTGGATAAGTAAGATTTGACAGGGGTTGGTCATAACAGAAGATGGTCCTGACTTTAATTTGGAGTTGTCATTGAAAGATAGCAAACATACACAGGTTGTATAGTTTTTACCAGAAACAATCTATTCTGTGTAGTATATTATAGTAATAGTAATAATAATCATTTATTTACATGAATATGAGTACAGGGTTGGACAACTCAATTAACAAAGGTTCATCATATCCTGCCGGGTAGGCGTGCAAAACTTTTCGTCAGAAACTGATACCTACAGAACATGCAATACATAAATTAATGACAATCAGTTTTATTGGTCAAATATCAGGCAATTACAATAAGAATAATTAAGTGGTCAAATAAAGGTGTTAAGTCAAATTATTGATAATATGGAAATGTCACCGTCAAAGCACACTAGTATCACGGTCATTTAAAAACTCATCAATCGTGTAAAAACATTTATTAATGAAATATTTTTTAAAGTGAACTTTAAATAAATGTAGATGGAGTTCTCTTATGGCCCCAGGTATTCTGTTGTAAATTCTAGGTGCCATGCAAAAAATACTCTTGCTCATTAGTGCAGTTTGAGCCTTTCGCATGCATAACCTATCATTATCTCGTCTGTTCCGTATCGTTTTGTCTTGAAGACGTTTAAATATATTAGGATTAGACTTAACGAAGACTGCTGTTTCAAATATATAAAGTGCCGGAACAGTCAAGATACTGTTGTCTTTAAAAAATGGTCTACAGCTGTCAAGTGTTTGTAGTCCAAACATCGCTCTTATTACTCTTTTTTGAGATTTAAAGACGAGTTCTCTATTCGTTGAGTTACCCCAAAATATAACGCCAAATCTTAAGATTGATCCTACCATACCGTGATACGCTGTTAGTAGAGCATGTTTATTTAAAACCGGAGCCAGTTTGAATAGGGCATATGACGCAGAACTGATTCGCTTGGAGAGTTCTTCCGTATGAACTTTCCAATTTAAGCGTTTATCTATTGTGAGCCCTAGGAATTTAGTTGTATCTACATTGCTTAATGTGTTGTTTTCATGGTGTACATTAACATATGGCATCAGAGTATGTTGACTAAAGAACATTACTTTAGTTTTTTTTATATTTATTTTTAGGTTATTACTGTTTAGGTAATTTATGATACACGTAATAGTCTCATTAATGCGCTCTCGTAAGTGTGTTCGTTTTTACAATTTACGTACGTTACAGTACTGTCGTCAGCAAAAAGTGTCATAGGATATTTAGATGCTCGTGGCAAGTCATTTATATATAGCAGAAACAATAAAGGACCTAACACCTAGTATGTACATCTACAATACTATTTGTAATGTCGTAGGTTTTCTACCGAAATTAATTTCACAATTGTATGCCCAAGGTTCTTACCGTCTCATACGTTCTTTTTCTATACGCTCCTGTTCCTTCTTCTGCTCTCGCTCTGCATTTGCGTGATGGTTCATGATGGCTTTGTTAATACGAGACAGTTTTGCGATGTTATTGCGGTGGTATTCCTTGAAGTCCTTGGCTAAAAATGTATAAGAATTAATAGCTTTGTCTCTCTGTATCCATGAAAATTCTAAACTTCATTAAGGAAAATAACTTAAAACAGTTCAAATTCTCTCTTCAATTTATGTTGAATCTTAAATACCACAGTTCATGCGCAACATTTCACATTCGGATTAAGAATATTAATTTCGTAGTAAGTCTTACCATGTTGTAACACCGTTTGTAGGAATTCTTGGTGCTTCTGACGGCGTTTTCTCTCAGCTTCAAGTTTCTGTTGCTTCTCTAATTTTTCAGTAGCTCGGGCTTCACGTAATCCCTGTCGTTTCGTACGTTTGTACGCTTTTATATTTACGGCAGTCTCTAAGGTTGTATCACGACGGACTTGGCCTAATATCTGTTAAGAAGAAATTTCATATTTATAAATCAACTAACTGACCCCGCAAACGTTGTTTTGCCATATACATTATGTCGGTTTACCATAGCAGTGCCATCTATTGATTACTTACTCAATCCAGTCGAAAAGTATCGACATCTGTTAAAATCTTTTGGAGTTAACAAATAATTGTGACTGTCAAATAATAACAGACAAATAATTAGCAATAAATTAAAATTGCGACTATAATTTGAGATTTAAACTATCCTATCTCTCAAGTTGGATCGAACTGCACATGATGTGCGAATTTTATTATAATCGGTTAAGTGGTTTAGGAGTCCATTGAGGACAAACATTGTGACACGAGATTTATATATATTAAGATTAGTCTAGTAATATCCTGCAAATTTACAATAATATTGAATAGACAATACAAGAGATAGTCTGGATACAGATAGACCCTCTGTTTTACATAGCTGGGTAGTATAACTTGAACTTTCGGCACTATGACATGTTATATACCGGACGCAGATACTTTTTAAATTTTTACATCATCATCAGCCCATCGCAGTCATCTGCTGGACATAGGCCTCTCCCATTGCACGCCACTTAGATCGATTTTGGGCTTCTCTACACTACGTTTTATTTTTTACATAGTGAACTCTAAATAAATAAATTTATATCCTACCATGCATAAAATTAGGGTATTCCAAATTTCAGGTTTCAGGCATTATTTTTTGAAATCTCTTCACATATTAATATACAGATTCTATTACACATACATTTATGGATCGCAAGGATTTTGTGATTAATTGAGGAAAAGTAATACCTCTGCTCTCAACTGTTTCTGGAAATTTAAAACACGAAGAGCTCGTAGTTCGATTTGTGCCTGCAATCGGAGATCATCGGGCATGTTGGCTGGTAAATTCGATAGCATGTCGATACGGTGTGCGATACGAGCTGCAATCCTGTAGCGATATTGAATAATGTCATGTAGAAAATGATTTACATTTAGAAATTTACATTCAGAAAACCACATCACAGTGATTAATATTAATTTTAACTAATAATGCATACATACCTGTTCTCCCTTTCATTTAAGATTTGTAGTGGGTCAATGCCTACAGGCTTGGGCATACTGGTGATACGGTTTTGCTTAGCTCCTGGTATAGGCATACCCTAAAAAAATATTTTTGTCAAGTAATAAGATTAATTAGATTTTAGGTTTTTCTATTTATTTGTGAAGTATATATACCTGGTGCTGTGGTTGTGAGCCCGGAGCAGCTTGACGCAATGGTGCCGGTCCTCGCAATGGGGGCGCCCCACCTACAGGCTGCAAATGGAAATTTGGTAATTTTCAATGCTTTAAGTCAAACTTCAGTAAACACTGTTAAAAAGATATTAAAAAATATTTACCGGATTCACGAGAGGTGGTGTTAATTGGGTAGGCGGAGCCATTTGGCCAGTCATCGGTAGTGGAGTAGGTGGTGCTCCACCGCCACCCCGTGCATCTCCCCCCGTGCCGTTCGCGCCTGGCTTACCGCCGGTCGCACCTACACCGCCAGAAACTGAGGACGGTGTACCTTGGCCCTCGCCGTAAAGCGGTTGTGCCGGTGGCGTTGGACACTCCGGTGGCGCCTCTCCAGTTCTCTTACCAGCAGCTATCATCGCTATTTGCTGTGACAGGGGTTGATTTCGCGCAAGACTTCGGTAGGCGTTTATTTGTGCCCTTAAATCATAATCAAGTAATATTCGGAACATATTAAATGCATTAAAAGAATACACTTATCGGTAAACAATGTCAGCTCTGGTATTAAAGTTTCCTTTCTAAATACAACGGGTGTTTGCTGTATGTGGATTTACTAAAGAACTTATTTTGCACACAGTTAATTTATGCTTTCAACAATTGTCACCAAAATCAGAGAAAAGTCCCGTTTTTTCACCGGTCTTCATAATATTAGAGTGGAGCGTGTGGAGTAAAAGTCCAATGTCAAATTATACATTTTTAAACGAATTTGTGATCTATCCATACAATAGATTAATATTATATCTACTTACTTAAGTTGGCAGAGTTGGTTGTTTGTGAATAACCCTTTGCCTGGATCCTGCGGGTTAGTTCGAGCTCGGATTGCCAATAGCTGCGAAAATCTGGGATCCTCCTGAAGACCCTTTTCTTCCATAGAGTCTATAGTACGCTGAATGGCATGCAAGTTGTCGGGGCCAGGTGTAGGGAGGGACTGCATTGGCGACGAAGCTGGTGGAGCACCATTAGCCGACGTCGCAGGTGGTGGCTGACCATGTGGTGGAGTTTGGGCTGCGGGTGGATGTGGAGGACCACTACCCTGTGGTTGTGGAGCAGTTGGTGCAGTAGAGGGTGGCGCAGCTGCACCTCCCGCAGTTGCAGCTGGAGGTGCGTGGCCATAGCCAGGTGATGCGGCATGTTGTGGAGGTCCCTGGCTCGGTATCATTGTGTGGTGTGGTGGCATATGCCCCGGCGCAGCCGGTGGCATGCCTTGTCCATGCACGCTATGGGGTGGAGGGCCTGCGAGTGGCAGTGGAACTCCTGACGCTCCAGGCGGACCCGGTGGTCCATTACCCGGTGGTGGACCTCCACCCATCGGTAACGGAGCCTGCAATAGTTTTTTTGTATTATTATGTTGTAATACACTGTAAATTTTGAACTAATGATATAAAAGTGTTGTGAAAGTTTAGGTAATGTTAAACGTTGTGAATGACGAATATCAAATTTTTTAAATGCCATTCCTGTAAGACTAAAAAGTTATGTAAAATGTTTAGTTTCTGGAATACACAAAACATGTTGAATAGTTATTTAACACGATCGATACCACGTAAAACAGCGAATAGAAAATCACGATTAAATGTTGATAAAAATTTTGGACGCAAAATATACCATAGCCTCATAGATACATTTTGTATATGAGATATAATGTCGTGCTTTGTGCTAAATTCTGTTATTTTCATTTTATTACATGTAGACAATATTTTCTCAAGTTCGAATGATATTTATGAAGAGAACTTAAAAAATTATAGCATATATGAGGTAAATGCTTTCAGCAGACGTGAGCGGGCTGTGTTATACGCTCTTTACACAAAAGTAGATGATATGGTATTTATCAACGGGATCACTAATGAAGCCTCCTTGCCTATGGATGTACTTGTTGGTAACCATGCCACAGATGAATTCGAATCACTATTGCAGTCAAACGACATTGAGTATGTAAAACAGATGTCAATAAATAAGTAAGTCCTGTATATCTTTAAGCATAATATTACCTGTATTTGTTTACCACATTATAGTAAACAAATGAGTTTGATTATATGGTGTGCATATCAAACTTGCAACCGTAGTTTGATATGCACACCATATAATTATGAGTCTTCAGAAAACAAAGCTGTATCATTTACCATATTTCATTCTATAAGTATCTAAATAGCATGGTAGTTCAAAATACTAGGAAACCGGTCATGATAGAACCCCAATGAATATTGAAGCTGCTTCATTTTAACTGTTTTATCATTCAACAAGTATTCAGCCAATAGCAATGTCTAAAAGTATGATAGCAAAAATGATATTTATTACCAGGTAACTTTGCTTAGGTACATACCCAGGTACCTAGCTTCTGTTTCTCTATATATATTGTGTGGTCTATAGTTTAGTCTTAATTAATTTTGTTGTTATGTTTTTGGCCAAATTGTAATCAATTCTACGATATATATTCTATATATCAATTATATAACATATCAATTCTTTATATCTTTTGTATGAACACAAATTGTGAATAGCTTTCAAAATGATAAGCTGCGGTTTCTTTTACCAGAATGTCAGAGTCAGGTAGTAGGGGGTGTCTGCATCGGCATTTAAATGAGAAAGTAAAAAATATACTACAAAAAGAATTTTTGTGCTATAATGTAATCAGACAGTGGATTAAAAGTAAAACAGAAAAGAGTAGCATAATAAAAGAAATAAAAATTGGTCAGACCTATGAGAAAAGAGACATTTTCGTATTGCAATTGTCTTCTGGTAAAAAGAAAAAAGCTGTTTTTCTCATGGGAGGTGAAGAAGGTAGAGATTGGACCTCTCCAGCTATGCTTCTAAACCTAGTTGAATATATCTTAGACAAAGCAAAAAACTTGGAAGTTCTGATGAAACATTATGATTTTTACATTCTGCCAATTTTCAATCCTGATGGCTATACATATAGTATGGTGAAGGTATGTTTGCTTTATACACAGTAATTAGTTGTTTACTGTATACATTGTACATAAATCTATATCGGCCAAAATTATTATTTCAGGATAGATTATGGGCAAAAAACAGCAGAATTTACTTTCCAAAAGTCCCTTGTAATGGAAATGGATCTGTTGTAGGAATAACTATCGATAGAAATTGGTATTTTCATAATAAAGAATATAGTAGGTATTTAAAAAATATATGACAAGAGCAATCAAGGGAAAATATAGCACTTTCCCTATAATGCTGTTTTGTTTGCTGATTGGCAGGGGGTCATATGGGAAAATATTTTAATAAAAGATACTCTTATAGCAAATCCATTTGATTCAATTGAGTATGAGTATTGTTTGTGTTCATTTATTAATGTGTACAAAGAACTTTATCAGAATATATTAATATTCGTAATGACATCAGTTATCTTTAGATATTTTTTTAGAATATCATACATCTGGAAAAATATATTTTTCCGAAAAATGACGGAATGACTTGCGAGAAAATATATGGGTATATGTAGTTTCTAAACTTCATATGATTTGGAGGTGGTTATTTTTTGTAAATAGGTTATGAACAGACCTTAATTTTGGTATTTAAATCTTTTCCAAGTGGAGTTTAAAAAAAAAAACTCTTTTAAAATATGTAGTATTTAATGTGTTCTAATTGCATAAATTTTAGATTTTTAATTATTCTTAGTTTAGATATTTTTTTACTTTACCTAAGTACTTTTTACTTTATCCATATACTAAAAAGGCTTGACTAATCATATATGTCGCTCCAGAGTTTTACACTAATGTTCATTAGTTTTATAGGTTTTTGTAATACAAAGAGTATGCCCGAGAAACTTGCTATATAATACATAGTGCGGAGCTAAATTATGTTTAATGTGCTTAGGTAAAAGAGGTGGAACTCATAAGAACTGTGATGCAGTAATCCAATGTTTAATGTTATACATCCTATGTCAAATAGACATTGTTTACTTAAAGATGGTAGTTCCCTTTGTGGCAAGACTGATGATAAAGATACCTTTATCATCGAATCGAAGAAGATAGTCTTATAAAATAATAAAATATTATAGATGGAAATTACGAATGTGATCCAGTTTTCACTGGCCTGAGACCATTATCTGAAGAAGAAACCATTGCTGTTTCTAAATTTCTTAACAAAATTGCTCTTGGCTTGATGGCTTTTATTAATATCAGAGGTTTTGAAAACCTTGTAACAATACCCTATGGTTATGATATAAAGTATTGTAATAACTATGATGTGTTGGTGAGTATATAAGTAGCAAGTATATTATAATACTAAAATATCTAAAGAGCTACAACAACATACCTTCATGGTTGGTTTCTCTTTTTATGACATTGATTTTAAATAAGAATGGATTAAAAAACAATTTCTTCCTATTTTAAAGAAAACCTCTATTCTTCCTATTTTAAAGAAAAACTAGTAAATAGTATTTTTTTTTTTACCCAATAAAAATACAATACGGTTCTCCATTATTCTTTGTCAGTTTTTGTTCAAATCAATGTAATAAAAATAGGAAGCACCCAGGCTTCTCCAAAGAAGCATCAAGTTGAATGTTCAAAATAATAAAGTTTGTTGTTGTGAATTTTTTAGACCTAAATAAATAGCATACCAAAAACTACTTTAAGCTACAAATGAAAAAGCTATGAAAAGAAAAGTTACACAATACTAAAAGGGGAAATTAAGAAGGTTAAAATTAATTTCTTAGGTGAAATTTAGATGATTTTCAAACTTGATTACATTTGTAGCTTCATCATCCTGAACCCTTTTTTTTCCTACAAACGATGCTAATGATGTAGTATGAATAATAATGCAGAAAAACAATAAATTATGCACAAACCACTAAGTATAAAAATAATTTAAAAAAAATTGGAAAAAAGTGCTAAATTGTTTGTAGATTATTGTAGTTCCAAAAAAAATATATAGCACAACTTCATTTCAGAAATCTCATTTAAACTTCAAAATAACGTAATTTTGAAAAAAAAAAACTGACCAGGAAATTTCAAACAATGTATTATGCTTATTGTTCTTTACTTAAAATTGTTTGTAGTTTAATGTAGTAGTAGTAGTAATCATTTACTTCCGAATAACTAAAAAAAAAGAATGTTTAATCTTTACTTATTTAAATTTTGTTAGCTTCGAAATTTTGTAGCTACAATTGAAATTATTCAGAAGTAAATGATTATCTTGCTACTACATTTAAATTACAAAGAATTTTAAGTAAAGGACAATAAGCTACAAACCTCTACATCGTCTGTAGTACCCAGGTCAGTAAAAAAAAAAAAAAACTATAAGTTTCCAAAGTTGGTTCCAGCGTGATGGAACTAACATTTGTGCATTAAAATCATTGATGGAAAAAAAATATAACGGATGAGATAGTGTGGGCAGTCAAATTAAATATAAATTTTATATTTTTTTTATATGTTTAGATAAGTAATAAAATATTTACAGATAGATATAGCAGCTGCAGCACAAGATGCAGTGATAAAGAGTCACAACTCTACATTCTACTATGGCCTAACTTCCAAATATATATGTAAGTATTATATGTAGTAATGAAGCTGAAGCTAGCTGCTGGACTTAGCCGCTGTAGTATATGCCCGATCCCCAATTTTTTTTCTTGGTGAAACAATAAATAAGAAAATCCCTGGGCTTATTTTCTTCCTAAGGTAACGGAAAATACTAATCTTTGTGCCAGAACAGCCCAAAACTTAAGTATTAAAAAACTTTTACCCCTATTACTATGTTCTATTTACAAAAAAGATCCAAGCTTGTATTAAGATCACTTGGTCCATTTGAAAGTTATGAATCATGCTAAACTTTATAATATATTTACATGCTTTTGAAAACAGCTACAGTGGAAATAGTTCAATTACTAAGTTTAATGAAATAAATAGTAGTTGTACATTTATTTTTCTGTTCTATTTTTCAGACAATTTTAGTGGCAATGTTGCTGATTGGGTTAAAAAAGAATTTAATATTCCAATAGTATATACTTTTTATATGAAAGTGGAGCCCTATATCCTACCTGCTGCAAGTGATGTAGGTCCACTTACAGATCAACTAGCAACAATGATCAAACAGGTTTTACTTTTAGCAAACACTTTTTATAGCCCCTTATTTAATGGACAACTTAGAAATTCAAATGCTCTTATTGTTTTGTGTTTAAATTTATTTTATCATTTCATAAGTTCAGTTTGCATAAAGAACTTTTTTTGAATTATTTATAAAATGACGCCTTTTACACAAATATGTGTCTATCTAATACTATCTTTATACTTATGAATAAAGACTCTTTTGAAATTTCAATATTGTCAAACCTTTGCCTATTGCCTTTGCATAAGTAACTTTTTTAATTCGTTAAGAATAGTCTAAACAATCTAATATATAAAAACCAATGCTTGATTATTTCATGCACAGCAGTATTGCAGCATATGTCTAATCAGTCTGTTCGGTTTTTACCCCCTTTCTGCCTTTGTTCTTAAATGTGAAGCAAAGAACAAAAGCTACTTTTAAGTAGCAAAAACATGTTTCTGATGGATGGTGAAGAAAAATTTCCAATGTGTATTTTTTAGCAGAAAGTTTAAGATACAATTTAGATTGTTGATCACATTTTTCTTTTGTTTTTAACAACTTTTACCAATCATCTTGAAATACATATACACATTACACATACATTGGTAGTTACTCAGGAAATGACATAGATTAGCTTTCAACCAAAATAAAATACTGTTCTAAAGAGGTCAAAAAATCATTTTAACTGTAAAACGGTTAACAAACTTTATTTTTAAAACTAATGATTATAAGGTGATTGTACAATGTTGTTGTTGTTGTTTATTTTCATTTCCTTATTACCTATTCAAGTAGATAACATTTATAAATATATAGACATGAATTACTTGTTTTTTAACTTAAGTAGTTAGTGAAGTAATTCACAATTTTAAAAATGGCTTAATTAAAATTAGGGTATTCTATATACATACATATATTACTTTCCTTGTGGACAGTCCTTACCACAGCTACTGCCTGTGGCTTCACTTGTAATTAAGTAGATAAAAACATATATTCAATAGGAAAAAATACATCCCTTTTGTACTAGACAATTCAAGTAAAGCACAAATAAATGTCAATTATAATTAATTACCTGTCCGGGTGGCATATGTCCTATTTGATGCTGCATATATCCATGAGGAGGGCCTTGACTAGACATGTTAGGATGTTGAGGTCCACCAGGCATATTTGGATGACCATTAGGACCAGGTGGGTGAGAACCAGGTCCTATTGGATGTCCTGGAGGTCCCGGAATATGTGGACCGACCATATGTGGAGGCATTTGATGAGTCCCAGGTGGCATACCAGGATGTTGTGGAGGCCCATTAGTATTTTGCGCTATAGGATGAGGTCCCGATGCTGACATATGATTGGGCAAAGGTGGTTGACCCGCGCCGGAGCTATGAGATGGAGGCGGACCGTTGACATGTTGTTGATTATAAGGACTATGCGGTGACTGCGGCGGCGCCGGACTCTGTGTCGGTGGACCCATTGGGCTTGGCGCCTGAGGAGGTGGCATTGGACTACTTTGAGGCGACGGGCTAGCCATCTTTAATAGGATTTTCACATTAAACGTTCATATCACAATTATTTTCACAAGCCACTGACACACGCTTGCCTCTACAAAGTTAACGCGTCTATGCAAGTTCAATGAAGTTCTTACACAACTTTCTATTATTTAAACTTTGAACGGTGTATAACATATCACTTTTTACTTAAATGGTATTTGCTATATATATGCTTTTGCTCACAAAACTATTATATTTATTAGAATAACTCAAAGACACCGAAATCAATGAGATAAATTCTATGGTCGATGTTGCCACTGCCACACTACAGCTTTTCTAGTAATATTACTGTACTCAGTGTACTCTGTGCTACAGATATTCTCATATTATTCAAATACTCCTGTGTACGTGAGTACAGATCACAGGTACAGATATTACTGTACTCGATGTATTCTGTACTGCACTACAGTAAAAAAGTAAACAATTGAAGAATTTGCTGATACCCATTTTAATAGGTGTATGATGTGCCACTCAATTTTATTTATTTTGCGAAAACATTGGGGTTTCCCCTATATATATATATATTTATTTATTTTCTTTAAAAACAACTATTTTACAGGCTTAGCCCAATGCAATAGTGTTATACCATCTACTTATTTATTATAAGAAATAATTCTTAATGCTGTTATTGTGAATTCACTCAGTGAGCAATAAAATAAATCTACTTCATCCTCAATTATATTCAGAGTACGTAGTGCAAGCGAGTATATATATATATATATATATATATATATATATATATATATATATATATATATACTCGTATATATTTGAGATATTTCTATAGTAATAATGTCATTACAGAGTGTATGTATTTACAAAAAAAAAGTATATATGTATTTATATCAGTTGTCTAGTACCCATACTAGCTCTGCTTAGTTTGGGACTAGATGGCGTTGTGTGAATGTGGTACAATATTATTATTATTATTAATACAGAATAGTAAGAACAGAGAGATCGCGACTGTATCTGTTAAGTCTGTAATAGAATTCGTCATCTACATGCCCAATTTTTTACCATGTTTAGGTTTTTCGAACACTGTTGGAAGTTAAACCTTCATTCAATTCATAATTAAAACACTATTGAGGAAGAGAACCCATACAAACACTACTTATAAGGTACAGACTTAAGTCACGCTAAATAACTTCGCCCACGAAGTTGGCTACAAACCGAATGTTGCACAGGTACACTGGCAAACAAACGTACTGAGAATTCAAACAAATACATTTGTACTGTTTGCCTGCATTATTAGGCTACAAACAAGTAGGTAATAATAAAATTCAATTTATCTAGTTCAGAATATTAGATAATGTATGTGTGTTACATCTATTTCCGAAAGGTTAACATGACTGTTTTAATACTAAAGCACGCGAGCACATTATCAATAAGTAGACACTTCTAAAATTATGTTCAATATTTAGTTAATTAAGGTGTAACTCAATTAGTAATTGGCAGTACATCGAAGTTTTCATAACAGGTAAAGGTAGGTTAATATCAGGCGTTGGGAATATTAGAGCAAATTCACATTTTTTACTTTATACTTGTCTTCGTCTCCTGTCAAAAATGTCATCTATCTATTCAGTATGAAATAAATGGGCGATTTTGAGAAAGTGAACAAAATGTGCCGAACCGGTTAAATTTTTTATAATATTTTCCTAACCGATGAACGATAATGCTGAAACATTTTATGTTAAGAGGCGCAAATTATGAACCTTTGAATCGCTTGCTGGGTTAAATCTAAACAAAAGGATAAATAGAAACCGGTGCGACGTGAAATGATGGAATTCGAAGATGATTACACTGAAACCGCTTGGACATATATTACTCTATGTGGCGAACCTACTATTTACGAAGGTCTTCGATTTGCAAAAGATTTGATTATTGCTAATGTCGTATTGCGTGTTTTTATACAATTTGTACCATTACCTCATAACGTTCGACACAGTTTAAGTTTAGTGGTAGGAAGTTTTTTATTATATCACAGTATTGGACCGCCTTTTATATGGACAGTCGGGCTCACTACGGGTACTTACATTTGCATCATATTGTTGTCATTTGTTACAAAAAGATTGCGAGGATTGTTGATCTCCATAACAGTTATTACGTTTTTGATATCATGTGAACTGTATGTGCTTAATCCAAAGATGTGGCAACAAATAAGAGGTATACAAATGATTGCAGCTATGAAGATAATATCTGTAGCAATTGAATTGGACAGAGATCTCTTTAAGCGAATGCTCAACCCTGTTGAATTTGGAGGATACATACTTTGTCCAGCTAACTGTATTCTAGGACCATGGATATCGTTTCACACTTATAATCATTACTTAGAAGTTAAATTCATATCAAGGAGATGGTTAAAAATCATGTTAGTTAATCTATTTTGCTCTATATTATTTTTGTTTTTATCGAATTGTTTTGTTCCTTGGTATATTGATGATGAAATGCCTAAGTGGTTAACTGCATATAGAGATGCACAATCATTCCGAATGTCCCATTATTTTGTATCCAGTATGTCTATTGTATCGATGATAAGTGCAGGTTTTGGGTTAACAAATGATTGCCACTCAGAAATTAATGTTACAAAGCCTTTCTTTATTGAATTACCAAGATCCTTAGTTCAAGTTGTAATTTATTGGAACATGCCAATGCATCAATGGTTAAAAAACTATGTTTTCAAAACATGTCAACCATATGGTCAATTTACAGCCATATTTATAACTTATGCAGTTTCATCATTACTACATGGGCTAAACTTTCAGTTTTCAGCAGTCCTTCTTAGCATTGGTACATTCTCATATGTGGAGTACAATTTCCGTTACAAAGTATCAGCTGCCCTTGAAGTTTGTTGTTTAGCTAATCCCTGCTCCAAACAGTGTGATCATAAGTATAAAAAAAATAGTTTACTTGCAATAATTATAAATACTGTATTTTCATTGATAACTATTATTCATCTTGCCTACTTAGGTGTTATGTTTGAAGCATCATTTTCAGTCCAAGAGACAGGTTATTCTTACTACCATACTATTAGTAAATGGGAAGATCTCAATTATTTTAGTCATGGTTTAGTTGCATTTATGTTTGTGATTTATTTGATGATGTGATATTTATAAGTTAAAATTATTTTAGTATATTTTGAATCTCTTGTGATCTCTCTCAGTATTATCCTTTTCATACTTTTATACTAATAGAACCTCATGTAGGCATAAAAATAGTTAATTTCTAGTTTAGACTTGGCTTCATATTAAACTTTTGAAGTAGAATAATTTCCTCACAACCATTTCTTGATATTTAAAGGTACCTAATTGCTTCCACATAATTAGCATTGCGACTTGGCAGACCAGCTTTTCCACAAGGCTATTCCAAGTTCTATATGTAGCTTTTTTTTTTCATTATTTATGACATATCTAGTTTTAAATCAATAATATACTCTAATAAAATTTACACTTTTAAATTGATTTCTATGATAAAAAATTACATTGTGCTATCACACTGTTACTTTTCAAAATCTGTATGGGTATAACCTACCAAAGTGTATATTGTACACAAGAACATTTTTCAGAAGCCCTACTAAGTTATGGCACAGACATTATTAAAATGACTTAGGTAGTAATGTCTTTTTTTAGTTTAGCTTTTTAATCTTTACTCAGGTTAAGCTTACACCTTTTATTAATATAATCTCTTGAGAGTTCCTTTCAACTGTTGAGAGTAAGTTTCTACAATTAATAACTTTGATAAAATATTCTTCTTTCATCTTTGGCAAATAGTTAACTTTGTACAACATAAAGGTGCCATGTAAATAAATATTTAAGTACCAAACATACATAGTTAAGGTTACATTAATATGCAACTACAATAAAAATATTATGAACTTCATGGACTTGGTATGATAATACTGCTAACGGAGTAGAGATTAGATAACCATAAAGGACTGAAAAAAAAACAAAAGCTATTCATATTTATTTCCACTTTATTATATTGTCTAAAATTTGAAAACATTTCTTATAATAAGAATCCAATGTTTTTACATTTACTTCATAGACTTCTTTTCTATTATCTAACTGGACTTTAAAATTTACACCATCTGTAATCTCACTAGTCTCAAACTCTATATTATCCTTGCTTGAACTAAAGTATGCTGGTCTTGTGTAAACTAATATTACTTTATATTCTTTAGTAACTTTTTGTATAATTCTAAGTAAATTTTTTATATACACATCCATTTTTGTTATTTTGAATCCTTGCTCTGACCAATAGAAAGATGTCAGTGTATCAAACAATAACAATGATATATTTGAGTGTTTTGAGAAAATATTATCTAAACTGTAGATTGTTGTGTAAAATTGTGTTGCGTCATATATTTCGAAGAGAAAAAAGTTACTTAAGGTTTTCTGTAATACTTTATCTATTTCGCTTTTCAGTTTTAGCTTATCTACATTACTATTCAAATTGAATTCGATTCTCTTTTCTAAAATTTTAATCAATTCATGAAAATTAAACTGTCCAGCAGTATTAAACATAAGAACACCTACTGATTCTGCATTTGGTTTGGTCTGGATCAATGCATTACAAATTATATCAATAAGTAAATATGAAGAATTGTTATTACTGATGATTTCTACTACATTGCCGTATTTTAATCCTCGTTCAAATAAAACCGGGTAAAAATTTTCTATTTCTTGTTTCTTGGATAATCTTGCGAGGAGCTGAACACCAGATTCTATTTTAAACTTTGCTGAAGTCATCATTATTGACTTAGATAGCGTACGTTATTTTGATTTAAAGTATATTAAGAAGCGATATAATCATATTTAAGTTTATTATAATAGTCACACACCTCTTGGATGACGTTGATTTACAAAAATATCGCGGTATAATCAACCTGACAGTGTGACTGTGTTGCCAATAATTTTCCATATTTTCCAGTAACTTTTAGTCTGGAGTAGTCACGACTCACGAATATCTTTTATTTTAAGGGCCCAGTACATATTGGGCCAACTTAGGCCAGTGCAAGCAAACGCCAATGTGGACACGGAGCAATTGTATCGATTGGCCATTTTGCCGCGCATTCGTCATGATGTCGGTTTTTTTTTGGGCACACTTCGAAGGAATCGTGGCGTAGCTTGGCCTGTGGTGTTAAACACTCGTCCAGTGTTAAGTTCGTCATCGACTGCTGACGATATAGCATACTTTTTAACATTTTAACACGCTTTACAAAACAATACTTGTGAACACAATAAACGCGTGGTGCATGATTTCAATTGTTGTAAAAAAATTGTTACAGAAATTGGTAAAAGTAAAATAATTATAATATTATGAAATATCTTAAAAAGCATCCTACGCCTTTTTTTTCACGACAAAATGATTTTTCTTTTAGAACAGAAAATTATTTTCTACTATGGGAGGGTAAACCGCTTCAATACGGAACGCGTTGCGGCACCTGTCTGTCTGACTTCCCTTTCTCTCACGCATATGGCAGCGGTAGGCAGGCTCCTTCTCTCTCGCTTTAACCCACGTCGCTAGCCGTATTTCGGCCAGACGCTTTAGATAAAATTTAAGTAATAACCTAAACTTTTCTCAAGTTAAACAATTTCATTATTAAATAGTTCAACTTAGAAGTTCAACTTTTAAACTATAATTTATTACTACACACTGCTACTAGTACACTACTACTACATCTTATATATAAAATTCTCGTGTCACAATGTTCGTCCGAAACGTACGAGGAGTACGTCCTCCGAAACGGCTTGACCGATTCTCATGAAATTTTGTGTGCACATCGGGTAGGTCTGAGAATCGGCCAACATCTATTTTTCATACTCCTAAATGGTAAGGGTGACCCATCCCAATTTTTTTTTTGTTTTGCAATACAACGTTTGCCGGGTCAGCTAGTTAAAATATAAAAAGTGGTAGGTAGGTATTTGTTTCATATTTTTAAAGTTACATCCATAGGGTCATATAGGTAAAATAATAACAATATGTCATAGGTTTAAATACTACTTCTCTCTCTTCTCTTTCCTATCTTACTAATGTTATGAAGGCGAAAGTTTGTAGGAAATAAAAAAAGTAATTACTTCCAAGTCCATCGCAAATGGTACGCCAGGCAACAAGGAGCTTTGCACCATGTGTAAACACCTTCGCGTTGTTGGCCTACAATTGTGCATTGTGGAGCCGGGCCCAACACTGTCCATGTTAAATTTATGTATTGAAGTTCTAAAGGCTGTAGTAACAGCCTTTAGAACTTCATTACATAAGTTATATGTATAAATAGACATGACCACACACCAACATTCGCAGATATTTCGGAAATTTACGACGAGATGTCCAGTTTTTTTAAGAAATCAGCCATCCAGCAGATAGCGATTTGGTTTCTGTATCTTTTAGAAGAGTAACACATCTGGTTTTGAGGATTTATAGTACCTAACGCTAGTAAATTAAACAGGTTTACTACAGTTCCAAAGAGGAGAGATAGGTTGGTAGTAAATGGTACAGAAGACCACATGATTAGTGTAATTTTGACTAGTCGTCACCACTATTATTATTATTATATTTCAGAAAAAAACTTTTCTTAAAATAAAGTAGATATCATCATAATCTAAAGCATGAATTAAAATGATGTTAAATATAATTCGAAATCAGTAATTTTTTATTTATCTCTACTCTGCAATCACAATCATGATTACAAATTCCTAAAAATGTCTAGTTAATCTAATCATCGTTCTTTCCAGTTGTATTTAGCAACCGTGGATCTCAAAAATTTGTCTCTATCCGTTATTCGTCTACTATGAGAGCTAAGCCACACGACGCGTTGGCAGTGCGGTGTGGCGCCGCACCGTAATGAATATTTTTACTCTATTTTCTCTTTAAAAAGACAACGTCCGCACCAGGAATAAATCAACTTTACAAACATACATGAAAGGGACACAAAGGACGCCCAGACTCAGAACAACAATTTGCGAATCACACAAAGTGTTGTCACATATGGGAATCGAACCCATAACACTCATCGCAGTAGGAAGCGGTGAGGTGACCCATTAAACCACTACGCCATCCATGTTGTCAAATTCGCGTATAGGGGACCACACGGGTGGGACGGCACCGCATTGCAGCGCTGTTTGTGAGATATGGTCCATTTTGATTGAAATAAAGTTAGATAGAAGATGTGAGCAAGCACCTACATTTCACAACATCTGCGGTCTGCGACTTCAGAGTGACCGCGGTGCCGCTCTGGCGCATACATCCACCCTCCTGATGGACCGGTGTGCGTGAGACGCGGCACCGCACCGCACCATGGTATACTACCATGAAAATTTGTATGTATTACGACGCAGCGGCACCGAACAGGCACCGCGCCGCATCGTGTGGCTTCTCTAAAAATACAATTATTTTTCTAGCAACACTAAATTACTATTCGTAAACAGTACTAGTTTAATGTCAAATAATAAAATCAGTTTCATTTCTATTTGATGTTTTATGCAATGAGATTTTATTATATTTGTTAGTAATTATGTTGTAACATGATCGCAAACTTTGCAATATAACTCTTTATGTTCTAATAGTGTTTATATTTATGTGGACAGTGGGACTAATTCGGTAATTTAGTTTGTATACATAAAGATGTTAGCAAGAAAATGTTTAGGTTGTTTATTATTAATAATATTCTCGCTTTTGATCGAATGCGTAATAACTGAACTAATTACATTGTCAATAATTGGTTCCGCGGTAGCGGCTGGTGGTTGGTACAAATGGGACACCTTAAAAGACTATACCATTTGTAAACACATGGAATGTTGTAATGATGACCATGTGCCTTTCGATATAAATAGTAAGTATTGATTTTTGTTATACTATTCATAACTATATACAAATGTTTTCATTGCCATGAATAATTTTGTAATATTGTAATGTATAAATACAAATTAATATGCAATAATTATTTTCAGAGTTAAAATTATCGCTATCACAAAGGATGTTCGGACAGCCTTTAGTAAATGAGTTAGTACACATATTACATGCCCATAAAGAGGCTTTGAACAATGATAGTAAAGGTAATAAGAAAGCTCTGGTAATAAGCCTGCATGGTTGGCCTGGTTTGGGCAAAAACTATGTATCCACTATGATAGCTGAAGCACTTTATAAGAAGGGTATGAAGAGCAAGTATGTAAAGCTATTTATGGGAATAAAAGATTTTGACTGTAGTAACTTGAATGAAAAGAAAGCAAGTATACATTTTACTCACTCTTAATAAGTTACCTATCTTAAGTATAAATTTTTTGTATTTATACATTTTGGACCCAGCATTGTGGGTTCATGCAATGAAGTCTATATAGTTTGTTGTGTTCAAATGTAGAAATCTCAGAAACTATCAATTTAAAATAATTGTTTTGTATTGGGTAGAGTTTTTGTAACAACCTTAAAAGCAGAGCAGTGAGCTGTCATGCAGCTAATTCATTGTAAAACATGGCATACAATAATATTAAAATTATTAAAATAGTAGGTATCTTTATTCAGTCAATTTTTTGTTTAATTTTTTTCATGAAACATACAGGTAATTAAGAGTATTAAGAGTAATAAAGAGTATTATAATTATATTTTTTTCATGAAACATACAGGTAATTACAGGTAATTAGGTATGGTGGAAAAATGTAAACAATATTCTTTTAATTCTGTTGAAGTAGGGTAGGGTTGTCAACCATATTTAAGATATAATAATATATCTCACACATCTCACACACGGCCGTCTGATTCCAAACTAAGCCTGTACTATGGTAACTAGACTACTGATAAACATACTTATATATTTTTAAATACATACATATTATAGATAAATTACACCCAGACACAGAACAAATACCGTGCTCATCACACAATATTTGTCCTGGGTGGGAATCGAACCCACAACCTCTGGTATAGCAGTCAGGGTCACTAACCACTAGACCAACAGGCCTGTCATGATATAATTAATATTAATATTAAATGATATAATTACACATTAATATTAATATATTTATTATACACATTTATATTAATATATATATTAATTATAGGCTCGCTTAATATTTGCTCGCTCGGTATTCTATTATATCCTAAATGGCAAGGTGAATTATTTCATGGAATAAAAAATTTTACAGAAAGAATTGGTGGCTACGTTGAATAAATTAGTTAAAAGGTGTCCAAAAGCCTTGATAATATTTGATGAGATCCATGACATGTGCCCTACAGTCTTAGACACAATAAAGCCCATGCTTGATCATCACCATGCGGTAGATGGAGTGGATTACAGGCATGTACATATTACCCTATAGACCATTCGGGTTAAGAAAATATTGACGAATCTATCAAGCCCTGCCCCCTGACCAATCAACTTCCAAGCTATCATACAAAGCTATAATTTCCTAGTAACTGATTGGTCAGGAAGCAGGTGTTGATCAATGCGTTACGGTTTTCTTAACTTAAATTGATTACTGTATTTTATTTTTTAATTTCGGCTATTAGGCTAATTCTACTTTCATAAATAATTTTATAATTATTAATTAAGTCATTAATTACTAGAAGAGGTGACTTCAAAATAATGATAACTGAATGTTCTATCAGTGAAGTTGTTTTATTTATCCTGTCTCAGTGTATAAATTCCTAGTAAGCTTGATGCTTGTATAGAGCTATAATCTTTAGGTACCTGTATTATTCCGTCACTTAGGAAAAGAAATTGCTATGTCAGATTTTAGGTGTTTTCTATGTATAATTTACAAAAAAGTATATAGGTGGTCTATCAGGCAATTTAGTTTTCTTTGTACAAGCTCTGCTTAGTTTGATACTAGATGGCGTTGTGTGTCAATTTTCTGAAAATATCAATATTATTCTGTACAGGAATAGCATTTTTATATTCATTTCAAATATTGGTGGACCTCAAATAGCAAACAGGTTGTTGGAACTTTATGAGGAAGGTGTAAAAAGGAATGATGTTGGTTTTCATGACTTTGAGCAAATAATTAGGACAACTGCATATTTTCAAGGTCAGTGCCACACATTTTTTATTCTGTATGAGAAGAATATAACAAACCTTAAACTCTCACTATACAATCGGGAACAAACTTCTGATTAAAGTCCCAAGCCTTTCTACGAAACGATAAGTTCTTGGAATCTGATTGATAATGGACAGGGCTTGATTGATGCATCACTATTTTCCTAATGTGAATGGACTACAGTTGTTTACCTACATTGTTATATGTTCTTGAACTAGACCTTACCTACAGTAGCTATAGCTTACAGTAGGTATTTGTCTGAGTGGCATGAGGCGCTGGTAAGCGCGCCTCAGCCGCCCGGTTGTTCCCGGAAGTGGTCCTCCCGAGCCCTCTCCGCCGCCTCCTTCTGGAGAGATGACGTCTTCACTGAAGGATGCAACTGCGGTAAAACACCTGTCACTTCCGGCCATGGCCGCCTCATGTCACCCTGAGTGTTGCCGCGGGTCGATGGGACAGGTTTTCTCCTCAACCGCGACGTCAGCGTGTTCTTAACGTCGCCTAAATAGAGAATTTGCTCGAAGTATTGTAGCATCCCTTGTACATAATTTAATGTCTTTCAAAATATTAAATTATGTGTAAGTCGAGACAAGTATTATTAGGCTACTTTGAATTCACTGTCAAATAAACTATGTGTCAAATAAATAAAAACGTACGTTTTGTAAATGTTTTCAATTCGACCCCAACATCACTCGTGTTCTCGCTAAGTTTTCGATTGAATTTTATACCGAAAATTGTAATGGTGATTATTTTTAACATTGTATTTCAATGATAAAAAAAAACAAAAAACCTCACAAAAGGTTAATACATCATCCATGTTCAGTTACTAATTATTATGCATTGCATACTTTATCATATTTGTGGAGCTAATGATAAAAACTCGTACCTTTTATATATTTAAAACGATTTAACGTATTGTTTTAAGACAATACCATAAAACAAATTGTAATCTATAATTTATACTAAATGTAATACCGAATGATACCGATTCAAGCTTTTAGTGAACATTGAACATTCAGAACATAAGTAATTATTTCATTACATACCAGACAACAAAACTATGTTTGCTTTTGTCTCTAGTGGATACCAAAGTTTTACCTAGTTGGTTTTAGAATGACTGAATAGAGTGATTCAATTGTCTTTTCATATTTAGCGAAAATAAATCTTAATAATATAATAGCTCACACTTAAAAAAAAATTGATGGTTTTGATCTCAATTTAACAGTTAAACATTTGGTGACCAAAAAGGTCATAGAAAGTTGGTATGTTCTAAAAGTAGCTTTCGTTACAGGTGGCTTTGAAAAATCTGCAACTATAGCAAATCATTTAATCGACCACTATGTGCCATTTTTACCACTAGAACAGCAACATGTAGAAATGTGTGCACTTGCTGAATTCCATTCACGGTCTATATACCCTTCAAAAGAAATGATATCGTAAGTATATCCAATAAACTATCAGCACATATTTCATTAATCTTTAAGCCAAGTTTATATTGTCAGTTCCCACAAACTTATAATTACATACACTCTGTTACATCTTCTATTTGTTAGTAAAAGTTCTATGAAAATCAGTCTGACGATTTCAGAGATTAATCGGGTTAGAAAAAACAGACAATAAGTTTTAAAGTTATTTTGGAATATTTATCGTAAAAATGTCAATGTAATTTGTAAAATGTCAATCTTGACAATGAAGCCCAGAAACCAGAGGATACTTATCGCGTATATCGCGTTACAAACACAAAAAAAATACAGACAAATTGATAACCTCCTCTTTTGTGTTTTTGAAGTCGATTAAAAATGGGCAAAAATGGCTCTTTTTGCACTTTTAGATTAGAATATCTCAAAAAATTTACGTGATAGAGCAATTCTGCGGCCTTATTTGAAGTCAGGGCACCATTATCCTTCTGGAAAGTATACTCTGGTTTCTGGGTAATTTTTTTGTTGGCCTGTGTAATTAATTAATACAAACAACAAACGTTTCCAAGCTTTCGTACGAAATGATTGCTTTGAACCTGGTTGGTGAAGGGGCGGGGCTTGATCGATACGTCGCTACTTTCTTAACTCGAATGTACTATAGTCTTATTTAATAGATATAGGTCGTACATATTTTTTTTAATTACTTTGTGACTATTAATTTGCAGCGAAGCATTGTCTGTCATTACGTATGGTCCAGATGAAGATAGACCGATATTTGCCAACAATGGTTGCAAGCGACTAACGAGACAGATTCCTTACATCATTGCAAAGAACAAAGTAAACACTGAACTTTAGAAGTAAATGTTAATTTTAAGTTAACGCTGTGATATTTTCAGCTGATAGATTGTTGAGTTGCTCGTTTTAAATATTTATTTCGCATTTTCTTTTGTACAAAACTAAAGTTTTTATTTGATAAGGTATATTGCCACAATTTTGATTCGTAGTTAGCAGTTGATAAAATATCCCTACTCAGTGTTCTTTATGTCATGCCACAAGTTTACAGTATTTTCTCTTTACACACTAATCATTATTCCATCTTAGCCCTTGTAACCAATATTTTTGTAATATGGAGTAATTTAGAAAAGAAGAACGGCAAATGTCGGAGGTGTAAATCGAATAACAGTAAAAAGAAACTGAAAACCAGTTGGTACATTCTTGTTGTACTATAATTATGTTAAACAGAATCAAACAGCTTTTAAGGTGTGATTTGTGTATGTGTCTGTATATACGCATTTTGTTTATTTGTAAATAGCGCAAAACTGTTTTACGCGCTTAATTCTTTATTTTATAACTATTTTTTAGTTTTAATAGAAACGGTAAATCTTTTTGCCAATGTGCCGGATAACCACCTTCATAGTCAAAGAGAACAGCCATTCCTAAGACATTTATTCCTCTCAGATGTACATTGAAGTGCTATAGTAATGGTTTAAGTGTAACTAAAGGTAGCCTTACTAAACTTATATGTAAATAATGTTTAACTTTAGTACATAATATTTAATATTCGAAATTAATTGTGGTGTTTACTCTCTATTTTTACAAGAAATTATTTTGTCTCACTAAAAGTGAGTTGAAATAAAAACAATCCAACAGAAATATGGTATTTTAATCAGTGAGTAATCCTTTTGCCATAATTTGAAAAGTTTACAGGGTTTACAATTATCTGGCAAAAAAATCATTATACCACTTCCAGTCTTATGTACCGCATGTACGTACCAATATCTTGTCAATAAAAACGGCTTTCATATCGGTGGTCTGTAGTGCAACTGTCTCGATTTGATAAAGAACTTCAGGAGGAGGAATTCTACAGTTGAATAAGTAAAATTCGTAGTTAATATGAGCGATCTCATCGTCAGCGGCTGAGATATAGCGTCGCATCGAGTAATATAGTGTTACTGTCAGAACGTGTACCTATTAGGCAATGGAAGCTCTAGAGCTCCTTTAATTTCTGCTTAGATGACGACAGGCATTCCAGTTACTCAGTCGCATATGAATGTGTAGTGTAATGTTATTGAATGTTAATTCTTATTCTCATTTTGATCCAGATTCTAGATTAGATTAGTTTTTTAGTACAGATACAAGTGAATAACAAGCAAAAAGAGGTATTATATTGCCATCGAGATGATGCTAGCAATTGATGTGTGACCTACTCAAAGTTCGTGACTTGTAAAATTCTTTACCTACTTTAATGTTCTCGATAAAAAAAGTGATGAAAACTTATTTCTTTCATATTTTGGGACACTATAAATAAGTTGTGTTCCATACATTTTAATAACAATTTAGTATAATTTATTAGTTTGATTAAATTAAATACGATTGAAAGATTCATTATATTAGTGAAACTTCAACGCCTGCATTCACACCATGCCCGGTCGAGGGCGCAGCTTGTCATCTCCTATCACTGCTCTTATATAAACATTAGGGAAAACACTGATGACTGAAAATGACGATGATTAAAATAATATAGACAGTTAATAGTTGATATTTATTTAAAAAATTATATACTACTTTCTAAACAGGTTACATGATTTTCTTCACAATGGCCTAAAATGTAGACCAAGGTATATTATCGACGAATACAGAATGCAAGCAACTAACATACTTAAACAAAAATAAAGCATCATCACAAATGCAAGCATTAGGTAACTAATTTAACCTGTTTCTTGTACCTATAACTTTTTTTTATTTATTTTATTTATTTATTATCCACACTTACTACTATCATTACAGGTATCTCCTAATGCGATAGCGTAACTATTACAAAAATACTTGTTTTACATAACCTCTAACTTTTTGTTTCGTAACATATAATATATAATACTGTCTTTGTGAACTCACTCAGTGTACAGCTAAATAAGTCGATATCTATGGCTACTAGGTTTAGGGTGCGCAACGCACGCGTTAGAGGCGCTTCGCTTAGCAAATTAGTGCGTCCGCGCGGCACCGCCAACAATGGCGGACGGCGTCGCCGCCAAACATACCCGTCCGGTACACACATGCCTACCAATCCTAATATATTGCTGTCGTGGATTTTTCCCCTTAGTAGATTAAATATATAGGAGGCAAGACTAAGGTCCCTTCTGACTCTAAGCTCGTTATATCCGACCATGCCCAAGACGAACAGAGTCGGATACATCAGTGGGTAAAATGGGTAAACCCCGTACAGTCGCAAATATAAAAACCTCACAAATTTGTTTTGGACTCGCTCCAGCATGAGACTATATTTAATCTCATGCGGAGACCAGATGACTGCGTTGTATTCTAGCTGACTACGCACTAAAGCATTGTATAGAGTAATTATGGCTTTAATGTTGGTAAACGACTGAACAGTGCGCAGTACAAAACCTAGATTCCTGTATGCTTTTTTACAGCACTTGACTATGTGGTCACGAAACGTTAGCTCTGTGTTAAGACTTATACCTAGATCCCCAACTGTTTGGACCCTAACCATCGAGACCCCATCAACATTATAACAATGTAAGTTGGGATTACGTGTACGAGAAAAAGTAATGGTGACACATTTATTGGGGTTAAATTGCAAACGATTTTCCTTGCTCCAAGTCACAACATTGTCTATGTCCTGCTGCAGACGCCTACAATCATCGTCATCGTTCACAGCGAGAGACAGTTTAAGATCATCTGCAAACAGCAAACAATTTGCGTATTTTACTCGCTTTGGCAGATCGTTTATCATTAATATAAATTGCAGAGGTCCCAAATTACTGCCTTGACTCACACCAGACCAGGTAAAATATGGTTGCGAGGTGTATCCCGCATAGTCCACATACTGCTCCCGGTCCATCAGGTAACTGCTGAAGAACTGTAGTAAATGGGGAGTAAAACCGACACCTGCTAGCTTCTTAAGCAGCACGTCATTATCAACTAAATCGAACGCTTTCTTGAAATCAAAGTAAGCAGCGTCAGCCTGACCCCCACTGTCCACCGTAGGCAGTAGTTGACTCATATAGTTTAGGAGATTGGTGGTCGTGCTCCTCTTTGGCTGGAATCCATGTTGAGAGTCCGAGAGCTGTGACCTTACCTGCATAAATACGCTCTTGTAGATAGCAGACTCTAACACCTTCGCCGGCGACGATAGAACTGCAATCGGCCGGTACTCGTCAACTTTATCCCCCATCCCACCCTTTGGCACGGGTACTACACGAGTAGTTTTCCATCTATCTGGCAAAACTGCTATTTGAAGACATTGGTTAAATATGTACAGCAACGGTTCGGCCAGTACTGACCTACAGTCCCTAAGTATGAAAGGTGGTATACCATCTGGCCCACAGGATCTCTTAGGCTTAAGCTGTGCAAGCGCCTGCTGAACTTGACCTAGTTGCAATTGTTACAAGTGAATCCGTGCCGCTCCATTTTCAGTGCCCGCACTCAATACCGCTTTGCTAACATCTAACTCGGGGCGATTGGGACTATACACAGAGTGAAAATATTTTGCGAACTCAGTCGCGCACTGCTCATCGGTTAATATCACCCCATCCTTTAAGATTCTTTTCGGAACTCTGCCACCTCTCTTAGATTTAGAATAGTTCCAAAAAGACTTTGGGTCTATCTGTAATTGGCTTTGAACCTGGTTCCTATACAGTTCCTGTGCATGTGCAATCATTTTTTTAACTTTAGCCCTACACAGAGCGAACGCCTCGTAATCAGTCTTTGACCGGCTTGCCTTATATTTTTTATGCAGAGTGGATTTTAGTCGAATGTTGCGAATTATTTCAACAGTGTAAAACTCGGGATAAATGTATCTCGAGCTTACACGACTTCGCTTTTTTCTGGGTACACAGTCATCTATTATGTCGGTAATTGTTCTATAAAAGTAATTTAAACTTAACTCAAGATTAAGATTATATATTGGCGTCCAGTCTGCGGATGCTAACAATAAATAAAGCTTAAAGAAATTTGCCTTTTTAAAGTTCCAACCTGCGACAGATGATGTAATATGCGTGTTCCCGTCGGGTGGTGATGAGTCCACCGGCCGCCAGCGCTGGCGCGGCCGCAGCTCCACCGACACATCCAGTGGTGGATGATGCGCGTCCACAGGTACAAGCGGGTAATCTGAGGCCCGCACACTTACATTTTCCGCTAACGAGCTTAATACTAGATCTAAACAGCGACCATTACTATTTTTCACACTATTACACTGAGTGAATCCACAATACGACTCAAAGTATTCATAATAATTGCAAGTATATGTTGAACACGAATACAAATTGAAGTCTCCAATAACTAGTACTTCACTATTTTTATTACACAATTGTTCTATTATTTTAAACAATAATAAATAGTCATTTTCACTGCTATTCGGGGGAATGTAAACAACACATAACAAAAATAGTAGTCTACCGTGCAAATAAACATTAGCAGCAACTAATTCGAACACCTGATCGTCGATATTGACGTCACATGGGCCGGCCACTCGTCGTAGCTCTAAGCGCGGTGTGGCCACGAGACACGCGCCCCCCTGCTTTCGGCCGTCCGAGCGATCGCAACGTAATATAGTGTATCCAGGCGGCACCATTTCTGCATCTTGAACTGATAAGTAGCATCCCGTCTCAGTTATTGCAAACAAATCTGCACCTGATGACGCCACTCCAACAAAAAACTCTTCCAGTTTGGTACGCAGCCCTCTTACATTTTGATAATAAATATCAATTGTGGTATTATGGCCTTTCTCTTGATTTGTTGGGTGGTCTCCGAAACCACACCCACTCACAAAACTCTATGTTAACTGCCCAATTTTCCGGCTGACATAGTTTATTATATTCACTTTCTGGTACTCCTAT